CGCTCTGGGCTTCATGCTCGCAACATTCTGGAAGCGAAAGTCCTACCCAGCAAACCTGTTGTTCCTATCAGGCTTCACCATCCTCGAAGCGTACTCAATCAGTGTGGCAACATCTTTCTACGACGCGAGGGTAGTTGTGCAAGCCCTCGCACTGACGCTTGGAATATTCGTCGCCTTGACGCTCTTCGCATGCCAGACCAAGTACGACTTCACCGACTGGATGCCATACCTGTTCGGCGCGTTGTGGTTCATGATCCTGTTCGGGTTCGTGGCTATGTTCATCCCGTTCAACAGCACCATGGAGATCATATATGGTGTGCTTGGCGCGCTCATCTTCTCCGGTTATATTCTCGTCGATACCCAGATGGTTATGCGGCACTATCATGTTGAGGAGGAGATCGCTGCATCGATCTCGCTCTATCTTGATGTGCTTAACTTGTTCATGTCCATTCTGCGGATTCTGAACGGTGCTAATAACAATAATTAATTGCATTGAAATGTCGGGGGGTTGAGAAGGGATATGTGCAATTTTTGCCTGAATTGGGTACTTTTCGCGAGTCTTGGTCCATTAATGGACAAATAAGCTTGGGTTTTGGTGCTTCTCGGAACTGGTTTCGCATGAGGGAGGTTCTGCTGTATATCGGGCCTTGCTTAACTCGCTTTCTATTGTACACTTCTCTTCATTCATATCTTGAATTTCTAAAGTCTGTTCACCGCAAGTTTGCCTTGAATGCTATCTTCTTTCTTCTTTCCTTACACAAGCAAAGCAACTAGCCCTGGAGCCATGATATACCCGAATAATTATTAGCACTCAACCAATATAAAATTAAGCAACCAAGTCAAATAGATACAATTCTCCAAACGCCCAGCACGGACAACCCAAATCAAATGAAATTTAAAACCATGCAGAGAGCAATATCCAATAGGATAGACACCACAGCGAACATCTAGAGTAACGCACAAAGGGAGAAGAATATGTAAAGAGAAATGAGCCTGATGAACAGGTAAGAAATGCCCAAGGAACAAATGTTCTTCAGACGGTATATGGCAGGGCCAAAGATCATGACAAGACCAGGCCTAGGCCAACAAGAGGGGGGAAGAATTTTCATGCAGAAAGTAAGGGACCTATTAATGCGAGGTTTTAAAGAAGGTGTTCGTAATCAGACACACAATCATAACAAGGAAGCCGTAGAGCGCCAACGCCAGGCTGAGTCGGCGAAGCAGTGCCTTGCGCCAGTGGCGGGTGCTGCGGAGCAAAAGGCCACTCCCAGTCAATGAGCGAGCGAGGGAACCCTCGCCATCATCACATTCGTCATCCCCCGAGAGATCATCCTCTGCCTCATCGTCCTCTTTCATTAAGCCCTGGTGGGTAGGCGAGTCGGGCGAGGAGATTTTGTAGTAGAACAAGCCCGGGAGAATGAAGCTGATGCTTGTGCTGCCAGTGCTCCCGACGTATGCCAGCACGGATTCAAGGGAGGACACGGTCATGGCGACTAGGTAGCTCAGGATTAAGATGGTGGTTGTGATAACGGAGAAGCGGAGATCGCTCATTGGCTCTGGCGTGCGGTTTCCACGCGGGCCTAGCAGTGGGTGTCTGTTTGGAGAGCTCTCTGTGCCAGTGGCTTGTGGTCTAGGACGCCATTTCAGGACAGCATCGACCGAGGCTCGACATGGGTGACATTGTAGTGGATAAGAGAAGACCACTAGCATGACGATTGCGGCGCGGCCGATCGTTGCGTACACGCCGGGTGGGTACATGCCGACGATATTGCCGCCTACGCTGTTGCCAAAGGATAAGTATCCGGTGATGGCAACGAGGATGTATGTTGCAGCTGCGCTACCGGCGCTCGCAAAAACAACACCAGTTGTGCGGAAATGGCTGTTATTGCCGATTTCGTTGAGGATTGAGAACATCTGGCATGCTTGTTAGATAAGAACCCACGGGTCACAACTTGAAAACGTACGTTTTGATGGCAAGTAAATGCAAAGACAATAACTGGCAGACTGCTGAGAGTCGGGACTGCGCCCTCCCAATGGCCCACGCGAATCGGGCCTCGATCCCCCATTGTGTCTCCCTGAACGAACTTATACACAACCAAGACAACCAAATAGGCCATGGAAACCAAGGCCGCAATACTGGTATACTTCAAAGAGTCTAAACGGCGCAGGTAGGAAATAGGAATCACGATCAACCTAAAATCAAATGGTCAGGATTTCCCCTCGATTCGACACAATGCACAAGGCGACGCACATAAAAGCTGTAACCCAAAAATGGCGATCCACCAGGAAATCGTATGCTGGCTCGCTGCCGACGAATCCCTGTACTACACCCGGCATGAGATCTCCAATGATGATGAGATAGCTGACGCCGACTCCGAAACATTTGATCGCAATTGCACAGTCAAAGACAACAGCCGCGTTGGGGTATGTCAATTGTGAGAGGGCAAAGAATGAGGCACTGCCACGGTCTAGGTATTGCGCGCATAGTGATTGAAGGTAGAGGCCGAATCCTGCGGTGGCTGCAGACCACAGAATCACGCAGACGCCGAGGACGATTCCCATACGGGAGATGGCTAGGGGCATCGCAAGCACACCGGCACCGATGACTATGTTGAGAAATTGTATCAGAATTCGGATCATAGTATGCATTGTGAGCTTCCTTGCACCTACTCGTATTGACCAGGTTGATCACGCTGCTGGCCCAACTGGCCTCACCCACGACATCTCCAGGTCTTCCACGGGCAGCACGCCTAATGAAATCCAAATTAGCCCCCGTCAACATCAAGACGCTGTGTTCCAACCTACCTCCGCAGCATATTCTGGTATCCCCCTGATGGAACCCCGAGCGCGGCCTCTTCCATTTTGATATTGGTTATCTTTTGCGGAAATGGTGTTATCGGTCAAAGATAGGCGCGCAAAACATTATTAACGGCCGCTACCAGCGGGGCCGAGATCAAACCAAAAGATAGAGAGTAGTAGTAGTTTAGTTAAAAAGAAAAGACCTGGAATTGGAAAAGGCAGGGGAGGTATTAAGGAGGGAAAGATCCGTGACCAGTTGAAAGCTTCCAAGCCTTCCAAGACTTATCGGGATGACACATGACCGGCACTTCCTCGGGGCCTGATCCGGTTACCTAAAAACTAAAACACTTTGCATTCCTACATATTACTACCTCAGCTCCATTCAAAGCGCCTTGGGCTGTTTGAAACATTGTCGGGATTGTATATCCATTCGTACAGACAAAGTGATACTAATCATAGCTTTGACAATCCCCATCCTTTCTTTGACAGGAGTTGATAACTCTCTTCCTCAACCGCGCGATGATCCGACGCCGTGGCTCCAGGTCGATTACCAGGACCTGGATCATTGAACTGACCGACGGCTCGCACTGTCTTTGAAACCTCCAGAATAGTACCTCCCTCCACCTTAAACTGCGGCCCACGACCCGACCGGTCCCCGATAATCTCGCTCACCTGTTCCTGCTGCACAAGCGCCAACATCACCTCCGCCACTTCTTCAGGTGTCACCCACGCATCAGTACTATCATCAACCATCTTCAGCTTCTCCGGATGCTCAGTCCAGAGCGGGGTCTTGATAACGCCCGGAGCTACGGCCGTGACTCGGATCCCAAATTTCTTGTCGAGGTTGGCGAGCGACCGCACCAGACCACTAATGGCGTGTTTCGTGGCGCAGTAAATCGGAGCTGCGAGATTCGCGTTCTGACCTGCAATGCTGGAGATATGGACGATATGCTTCGGGCGGCCGCTGGTACGGTGGTTCAGGAAATGAGCAATCGCCAGCTGCGTCGTGCGGATCGGGTGGGTGATGTTGATATCGATCAAAGCATATCGGCCGCCAGATGCCGAGTCCTTGCTTTCGCTTGAGTGAGGCGGGCGCCAGAAGTTGCTCCAGTGCTATATGTATTGCAGTTGTAGTTGACTTGTACAAGTAGTTTTACTGAGGTTGTTTTTGTCTTACCGGCTCATAGACTCCCGCGCCCGGGCAAACAATATCAATCTCGCCGAACTCCTTCTCCGCAACCTCGAACATCCGCTCGAGCTGGACCCAGTCAGTCACATTAGTCTCTTGGAAGACCACCCGTGCAGGCCCGGTCTTGTGCTTATCGGCTAGCACTTGCGCCTCGGGACGTAAGGCTAGGTCTGCGATTAGGACATTGCAGCCGTTTTCCACTAGCAATTTGGCGAAACTGAGGTTGATACCTGGCTACAATGTAAGCTGGCCGTCTGATACTTCCAGTATACAGGTGACATACCGGAGCCAGCTCCAGTTATAATGGCAGATCTTCCTTTCACCGAGAGGGACATGTTTAGAGTGTCAACGATTAATTTCCAGCAGGGGATTCTGCCCTCTTTTATGCAGGGAATGGACTTTGTGGAACTTCCTCGGGGTCTTTTTCAGCGCATTCCGTGTCCATTTCTAAGCTTCGCGGGGTAGAAGAACACATAACCGTCGAGGCGAGAGGAAGGTGGACCGAAGCCGGCGTGATGGCCGAGATTCCTATACATCCCTACATATGTAGATATGGGCCCAATGGCAGTCTACTTCCCCGTTGTCCTTGGGCATCAGGTCGTCTGACAGCATTTCCCCTCTTGTTTGCATAATCCTGCTCTATTTATGGAGGTACTTACGTATATTGTTCGATGTAAACCTGTGCTATAAGCCGTAGTTCCGGATCAGCAAGTGGGACATTAGAGTAGGCTCGGTACGCCTGCCTTTGGCTTTTAAGTCAAAAACTGTGGAAACTAGGTGGATTGCTTGAGGGGGGGATACTTGTCAAGCATACATATCTACAAGATATCTACATATAGGCCTTCGGTAGACCTGCCCTATCCAAGTAGTCAAATAGCAGTACATACAACATACAGCATTCAATTGATCATATCCTTCGAGTAAGACAGCACAGCTTCGATTCAAGTGCCGTAGTTGGTATCGTAGTATAGCATGTAGTGTTCCATCCGTATAGTACTTGGGCTTCGTCACAATGCAGATCTTCAATCCCGAAAGCCTTCTCGACAAATGCCGGTTTGCCGTATTCCCGAATGATGTTCTCAAACAACCAAAGCTTCGAGAAAATTTATCTCCACTATTGCCATTTAGCCTCATGAATGATTCTTTGCGGACTGATGTCATGGCGAACAGCAACGGTCGGGTAAGTATCCCAATCAGGTAACTTTTCGGCACATCGTTCTTTCCGACAGCGGCTCGACTACTGTTTATGGGATAATTCCGCCTCGACTAATGTATGCTGTCTTCCCCACGAAAGACATATAAAGCACTGGTGCAGATCCCCGCAAAGTCGAGATACACACTTTGAATTTATTTCAGCCATGTCGATCTCAAAATTTATTTCAAAATCCGCTGTCCGAGCGGCCTCTACCTCGGCCCAGACAACCAAGGCCGCCGGTGATATCTCATCGGTGTTCCCTAGCTTAAGGCCCGACTACAAGCCGGAACCTCTCCCCGCACGGTTTCAGGAGCTGAAGGAGAGAATTTTTGAGAAGAACAAAGATGCAATCACCAAGAGCTGGGAGCGATTGCTTCCTAGCTTGGATGAAGAAGTGCAAAAGATCAAGGCAAAGGGCAGCGACGTACGTGCACATGTAACCCGCAATACTGAGCAAAAGACTGACAAATACTAGATTATCCCATCAATTGATTACTCTGATGTGATCTCTGGAAAGGTGTCTGAAGCCGCATTAAAAGAAATCCGCCACCGAGGCACCGTGGTCGTCCGCAATGTAGTCCCCCGGGACCAAGCCCTAGAGTATAAGCAGCGGATCCGCGACTATGTGGCCGCCAACAAGGAGCGAGTCAAGGCCTTCCCGGCTGACTCCCCAGCTGTTTACGAGCTATACTGGACCCCATCGCAGGTCGAAGCCCGTGGCCATGAAAGCATGCTCAACACCCAGCGCTTCATGCAGCAGCTGTGGCATTCATCCGACCCTAACAGCAAGATATCAACCACCCACCCGCTCACCTACGGAGATCGTCTGCGCATCCGCGATCCAGGCGACTCAAAATTCACCCTCGGCCCGCACATAGACGGCGGTTCCCTCGAGCGCTGGGAAGACCCCGAGTATTCTCGAGTGTACACCAAGATTCTGGAAGGGAACTGGGAGAATTATGACGCATGGGATGCGCGACACCGTCTGAACGCCAACATGGACCTATATAACGGTGCCGGAGCATGCTCCATGCTGCGGTTCTTCCAGGCTTGGCTTTCCATGTCAGACACCAAACCCGGTGAGGGCTCGTTGCACGTCTGCCCCATGATCAACCACAGCACAGCGTACACCATTCTGCGTCCTTTCTTCGACACCGAGAGCTCAAAACCGGCCCTGGATGCTACATTCCCGGGCTCCGTACCTGGTGCTTGCCAGGAGTACAACCCAGTCACACACCCGCATCTCGATCTCGAGTCTACTATGGTTCCAGTACCGCAAGTTGCGCCTGGTGATTTTGTTGCGTGGCACTGCGATTCTCTTCACTCCGTGGACAAGGAGCACCGTGGTACCCAGGACTCGAGTGTTATGTACATTCCCGCTACCCCACTGTGCGATATGAATGTTGAATACCTTCTTAAGCAGCGCCAGGCTGCACAGAGCTATTCGCCTCCGTGGGATTTCCCTGGTGCTGGTGGACCCGGTGAGTCGGGATTCAAGGGTGCTATGGATTGGTCGGCGCTGAGCCCGGAGGGTCAGCGTGCTATGGGTTTAGGCAACACTCCTTGGGAGATCACCGATGCCATGAGCGAGGGTGAGAAGGAAGCTGTCCGGTCTGCCAATAAGGCCTGTTTCGGTGTCTAATTTGTTTGGTTTGGATGGCATTTTTCTGGAGTTTCTGTTTGAAAATTTATTTCAAAGCTGTATAACAACTTGTATTTGAAAATGAGTCTTGATTATTACTATTGACATGAAATTATTTGAAAGTCACGGCATATTAGCCTTATCCTCGAGCCTAGCCCAACAAACCGCAATGCACTACGTAGTGCCGCGGCGAATCGCCACTCGCAACCTTGGCAGAAGAGGGGCAGCTTTTGCCTACTTGGACGGACTCCCCGACACAACCCTTTTTCTTCTTCCTTCCCTCTCTAGTCTATTTCTGTTAAATTTACAAACAATTTAAACAATCATCATCACCATGGATTTCATCAAGAAGGCTGCTTCTTCAGTTAGCGGCAAGAAGGGCGATAACGCCGACCACAGCACCGGGCAGCAGAGCGACGACTACGTTGACAAAGGTGAGTGGTTTATTGTTCTTTGCGCAATGTGAATTTTTGACTGACAAGCCTTTACCTCAGCCTTCGGTGCCGGTGTCAAGAAGTCCGGCTACAATGTCGACCGCAGCACGCAGGAGAAGATCACTGACGGTGCCCGCGAGGCCTACGAGAAGGCCACTGGGTAAGTGACACTCCAAATTCCTTGGGTTTGGATATCTGCTAACATTTGATTCTGTAATACAGCAAGAAAGTCAGCGACAAGGTCTCCAACTAAACGAATCATTGGATGCGAGCAATAATCACATTTGGGGGGAATGAGTGAACGAATACCCAGACAGAATCTGCGCAGATAGGACAGACATGTCAACCTAATTAAACTTGTCTATACCTCGCTTGACACGAGTTGTGTGTGTAGTCAGTCTAATTACTGAACCCATCCGTAAAATGGCAAGGTTCATGTACGGAGTCACGGTCAACGCGTCCGGAGGCTATCCAACTTGGTGGCTTAGAGGGGTAGGTGGCTTGGAAGGTTTCTGCCCACGCACAGCCACCTTGATGCAGAAGGGATCTTCACTTGTACCATGGACTGTCGAAAACAGACCAACGATACGGGCGGAGCTCGGAGCTAAATGCATCACGTTACCATTGAAATCAATAGCGCGGATCTATGTTGTGGGTAGATCTTGCTTAAGTGGGCCCGGAAAAGGTAAGATCCTCGATTATGGTTGGCCCATCTTATTACATTATCGCCTTTCCCAAAAAAAGAAATAAGGGCCCCTCCATGGTTAGCAGGGCTACGTTGCATGTGTGTTTACGGAATAGAAACATCTCACTTATTATCAAGTGTTGTCATATTGAAGAATCTAGACTTTGGCTGCATAATAGTACATAATGATACAGCCGAATAATGAGGGGAAATGAACTCTATCCTCTCATAGGGCTCGGCTAAGTCCGGCTCCGAGAAACCTGAGCTACATAATTCGACCGGCAAATCAGGGTCGCGCATGGCTTTCTCCATGGCGTGATCCCCTCTTCGTAGATTGGATGATATCACAACATCAGAGTCAAATATGGGTCAAGTATGGGGTCAGTTCTGGATTAGGCGACTCAAGCTGAACTGTGGCTCCCAAGGTTCGAGCAATCAATATCAAATAAGCACGAAACTAGTGAGCTCTGGAGATGCTAGCTTCTCCGTGCCACGATCATTGGCCCCTGCTCGCCTCGCTTGTCCGAATGTTGTCATTGAGGGGTTTACGGTGTAGGGAGGGGTGATTCTCTTCTATTCCATTCTGGCCCCGTCCCTGGTGGGAGATAAATAAAGCGCTCGCCTTCTGTACCCCTTTAAATCACCACTCTATATCCTCTTCCTTCCGAGACCAATTCATCTTCTCACTCCAAACACAACTAAATCCCCCTAAACATCCCACCAAAATGTCTTACCGCAACGAGTCCGACAGCTACGGCAGTGGCAACCAGAGCTCCGGCTACGGAGACAACAACTCCTCCAGCTACGGCAACAAGTCTAGCTCTGGTCGTGACCAGGATAGTTACGGCAGCAGCAACCAGGATAACTACGGTAGCAACAATGACTCTTCCAGCTACGGCAGCGGAAACAAGTCCAGTTCTGGTCGCGACCAGGACAGCTACGGCAGCAGCAACACTGGCAGCAACACCTATGGCAGCAACAATGACTCCTCCAGCTACGGCGGCAACAAGTCTAGCTCCTCTGGTCGCGACCAGGACAGCTATGGCAGCAGCAACACTAGCTCTTCCAAGAAGGATACCTACGGCAGCAACAATGACTCCTCCAGCTATGGCGACAACAACTCCTCCAGCTACGGCAACAAGTCTAGCTCTGGTCGTGACCAGGATAGTTACGGCAGCAGCAACCAGGATACCTACGGCAGCACAAATGATTCCTCCAGCTATGGCAGCGGAAACAAGTCGAGCTCTGGTCGCGACCAGGACAGCTATGGTAGCAGCACCAACGACTCCTCCAGCTACGGTGGCAGCAACACTTACGGCAGCGGCAACTCCGGCTCTGGATCCAAGAAGGATACCTATGGCAGCAACAATGACTCGTCCAGCTACGGTGGTAACGACTCGTCCAGCTACGGTAACAAGTCCAGCTCCGGCCGTGACGAGGACAGCTACGGCAGCGGCAACTCCGGCTCTGGATCCAAGAAGGATAGCTACGGCAGCAACAATGACTCGTCCAGTTATGGTGGCAACGACTCCTCCAGCTACGGTAACAAGTCTAGCTCTGGTCGCGACCAGGATACTAGCTACGGCAGCACCAACCAGGATAACTACGGCAGTAACAATGACTCCTCCAGCGGCAGCATTGGTAGCAAGCTGCTGAACAAGGCTGAAGGTTCGTGATTCCTATCTTTGCTGGAAGGCTTTGAGGATTATATACTAACATACGTATCATTTTTAGGCTTCCTCAACAAGGGCCGTGATTAAAGTCGTTATTCACTGTCAAATAAGGCAACCAGTGGAAATGAGCGATTTTGCTGGGTTGTGTTGTTCGGAAACTAGTACATAGCGAGGCACAATATACGATTTATCTGTTACATTTTATGGATCAAGAATATCTATTTCTAGCGCTAGATCATTGGTATTTCTTTTTGTAGAGGACTGTCGATTCAGTCTCAATGCTGGGAGACCTCGGTTCTTCTCTTGCTCACTTCGAGTGGTAAACACGTAGAAGTGTTTTTCTTTTGTAGAAACCGTGCTTTTCACTGCAGGTTTTCTGCGGTGATTCAATTATTTTAATCTTTCTCGCTACAATACTATAGAAGGAAGCAAAATACAGAAAAGAATGTCCTCCCTAATATCATCTGGAGCCAACTAGGTGTCAAGGATAAACCCTTTTCCTACTATGCGTTATACAGGTGGGTGAATGTTGCTATTACATGGATCTTAAAAGGTTTCCATAATGCCTTCTTTTAGGCATATTCTACAGGACTTGAGAAACTAAATACGCAATTATGATCTGAAACAGCTAAGTCTACCATGTCTACAAGGTTTCCGGCACCTTCGTTGCTTATTCTGTGCTGTTGATAGTGAGCGCCGTAAATCACCAACTTGAGTAAAGGGTGCTTCGGTGGTGGACAGAGTTAATATTCATCTCATTTGATTGCTTGCAGGCAGGTACAATGGTATATCTCCACTGTTGGCTCACAATTGTGTTAAACTTTCGATTTTATGGAGATACAAATGAGGTGCGATTGGGTAGGATTGTACAACCAACGCGAGCGAAAATGTAATCAGGCCTCTCTAACCCGTAGACCGACCTCCTATAAAGCATCTAAGCTCTACGCTAGCCATCTTTTGCTGCAAGGGCGAGGAGAAGTTGGCTCTATGCAAATTGAGGTCTGTTGCATCGGACACTGATTCCAAATCTAGGGATATGTAAATACACTCAAATGATATATTGGTTACATTATATACTCTAGATCTTAATTATTCTTAAGCTAAACCTTAATGACTTGCAATCCCCGTCGGAAGTTAATAGTACTTTACTCTATAAGGTGGAAACCCCCACTACTCGCTCGTAAAACGGTAGTCAAGATTAGGTTGGCGCGAAACGTTTACCCTCGCAATACGACTACATAGTCCCTGTATGATGATGCAATCATGATAGCGAGACTAAGCTAAGCGACAAATACATTGCTAGGATTTTGATCAACCACAATGTCCGAAACACAACTTGAAGATCATCAAGAAGTCAGACCTCAAAACACCCAAGATGACCTCAATCTTGCCTAGGATCTTCCAACGTGATTGTGTATCATGCGCGCAAGTTATCTCATCGACGCCTTGCTTTTTAAGTGCGCCAATCCTTATTCTGTGAATTTGCTGTTCATTGGAAGTAGTTGCTAATTGGTGCTTAGTTCATTTGACTGCATCCGGCGTTCAGCTGACGGACATTTCTGGGTCTACAAAGGGCCACGAATTTGAAGGAAGATGGGACGAGGTTGCTGAATTACTAGAGAGCTCTCCCCCTCCAAATCCACCAAATGGATATTTGATTGATAAGCGTTGTTGGGTGCTTCTTTCGAAGCACTTCAAAAGTGGTGAATTGAACCTGGAGAAGTTGCTCGAAACTCTAAGAGAAAAGCCCGTACAAGGGCATATTGATTTTGAATATTCTGCTATGGGTGAGTCCATTTCATAATTTGATTGTATTTCCATAGCAAGAAAGCAAATTTTGCTAACGTTGGCCTATCGTAGGCTTTACATCCAACCCGCCGAAATTCCATCAATGCTTCCGGAATGCGGGCTTCCGCGCAGCTGCTCGGGCTCTGCCAGCCACGGATGGATCGTACGTTCTACGTGGGAGTTCCATTGATAAACACTACTTCGAATGGATTCCACTTGAAATAAGATTGGAGATTGCCACTTATCTATCAACTGTGGACTTCCTCAAACTACGACTCTGTTCAAGGGCAATGGCAGATATATTCGAAGATCAAACATTCTGGAAAACAAGGTTTTTCATACATGGCGATAGAGGCTATCTTGCCTTTCTCACTGAAGGTAACCAGGGTGCAAAAGACTGGCGACTGATTTACCGTTGCACTCAAGACCTTTCTAAATTACACCCTCAGCTACGCGCTAGAAGACAGCATTGGCAGCATAACCGATGGCTGAGAGATGTCTGTATTATGACCAGAGAACAGAATCTTCTATTGCATGCTCAAGTTGACAATACAAAATCTCTATGGTGGCAAAAGGCTGCTGGGAAGCTAAGGTGCCGCAGGGGACATTGGGGGTTGCTAAATGCGGCTAATCGCAAATTGTGTTCAAACTGTTTTACCAAGCATGAACCGTTGACTCAATCAGTTCCCTTCTCTAGGGCTGTGGTGGGACTCGCTATCTCTGTTCTTCCAGACTCACGCTCAGACCCAGGAAACACCTTTGTCGCCGGCTTGGAGCTTATTTATCCTAGTGATATGCCGAATACTGTTCTCGGCTATCGCCTTCCAGGAAATCAAATCATGATTGATCTTCAAACAAGGCCGCTTAGGGGATTCGAGGTGATGATTGGAGAAGGAGGTGTTCGCGCAATACTTCCGCTTTTCAACAAGATGAACGATTGGGTTGGCAAGCCCATTGATGGATCTGATTATTTCTGCGGGCCCGTGCGAATTTCAACAGACAATGAGATACTAGCCCTTTCGGCGGATTTCGATGTAAGTCATGCTACTCACCGGCCTGCTTAGGTTCTTGTGAATGTCATTCTAACAGCAATGCCTACAGTATTGCAAACTCATAGGTCTTGCAATAGGAACTGATAAACCTCATTCCTAGCTGGCTTCAAATCCTTCTAATTAAGGGCTCTGGCTTTAATATAAATTGGCTGATGTAGTGGGAGACCTAGCTATGTGAGAGAACTCGACTCCGACAGGCCAAGATCTGAATATTTTTGGCTACGTCTTTAGCTTGTTATATGAAAAGTAGACGTCTTGCTTTTTTACGTTTACGCTCATATCTATTTTTCCAATATTTTTTAAGTTGGCCAAATGCTATCCATGGGTGCCTTTCTGCCCAGGTTCTAAGCAAATCATTCATTATCACACTATCATGGGTAAGGGTTGATGATAGCCAACTTCAACAAACGTCTAGCCAGGCCCATGTGCTATTGCATATGTCAAAGTAATGGAAGGTCAGGCTGATTGGCAGAAGCCATTTTAGGGAGCAAAGGGTAGACTGAAATGATATGAACTTCTAGTACTGTAGGTGAGTTCATAATCTCTTTGTAGTTGCTCACTTGGTTGATTGATGAAGGAAGAATCACCCAAGATTTGAGACACTACATATGAAGACTGTATACGTCAAAAATCCCCAAAGCTGTAGCCTGCAGATACGGGTTGAACCGTTGGTGATAATTCTTTATAATTTGTACGGAGTAATACAAAGCTATGAAGCTGTTGAAGGATTAAATGATCTATAGGCGTCGTGAAAGTATCCGTGCTGCTTTTCATTGTTCTAAAGACCAGAATATAGTACTTCTGAATTTTATTATTGTCAGGAGAGGACTACGTCGAAGTGCATGGTGCAATGTGAGACAGATTGATTGAAGAGTTGTAGAAGCTAGGTTCTACAGAGCTATGAAATCTGACAATTATATACAGAAACTGAATATTCCGAGCAACTACTCTTGAATAGAAGCGCCTGCCTAGATACTCCACAACCAAGTACCTAGATAGGCTGCATTAATCCAGTAGAACTTTGATTGGTTGGTTGGTTGGTTGGTTGATTGATTGATTGGTTGGTTGATTGATTGATTGGTTGATTGATTGATTGATTGATTGATTGATTGAATGGGATCAATAGTCAAAATACTCAATATGAATTTTCGAATAGCCCACTAAATGGTAATCAGCAGGTTGCTTGATAAATAACATCCTTTACGACTAATATCTTTCGATTAACCTACAACCCACGTTAATACCGTGAGTATCAAGCCCTGGAAGATGCTTGGCCCTTATATCATGACTGCAATGCTAACGTCAAATCGATAGCCCTGCGTTGATTCGGAGAAATACAAACATGGCGGTAAGTCTCCAAAGCGTTAAACAGAAACGTGCTTAGGGCTAACCTTGCTAGTATGCTGAAAATCCTGTCATCCATTCCTATATGAACGATGTTACACCCAATTGCCTTGAGGAAAAGATAGACCATTTATGGTTGAATATCTTGCAGTTTTATTTTTCTCTGAGTAGCGGCTTTGGCTGCGAGAGAGAAGCAACAATTGCGACCCGAGCAAAAATAAGAGCTAATGTGACGGTGAGTTTGGTACGTAACAGGAAGAAGGCCAAGGTTGTTTTTGTGGAAAATAAAAGACCTTCTAAAGCGAAGAATGGACCACAAAGACCAGCATGGACTCGAGCTGCAGACCAGTTGCTCAATTACATGCTCCAGCAAAGAAATGCTCACCTACAGTTAACCCAAGATCTTTGGGGTGTTGTTTGTATCGGCTACTATACCAAGTTTTTTGTTCTGCGGCATGGCCAACAAACCTTACAGCCTTACAATGGTGATGTGAGATGGGAATCTAACGTCCATTTCAATGATATCGCGACTATTTTGTCGAATATCCAACGTGAGATTCGGGTCCAGTCTAGGTCTGCGCAATGAGAGAGGTCGGGACGTCCATGGTTGGCGTTTGATCACCGCCCGAACTCCATCCGGACTCCGCCAAAAGTTTATTGACAACATCCATTCTACATCACCTCCCACCTCCCACCTCCCCCTCTTCAATGCTTCAATAAGAGCCACTCGTCAAAATGCGGCTCCAGATTGCGCTTTTTTTCACCGCATGTTTATCGCCCGCGACGGCTATCTACTCTGACGAGGTCAATCACATCGACTTCCACCATGCCCTCCTCGGCGCCCCATCTCCCGACTCGACCTTCTTCCTCAAGCCATCCACATCTTCAAATGCCTCCCTCCTCTACACCCTATCCGACAAGCTGCTCGTGGGTGCCGTGAACCCCGCGACGGCGCGCTGGTATGGCGCCAGAACATCTCGCGGTCGGCGGACTCTCCTGCGCATGGGGCGGGTCTCTTGCGCGGATTAGATGGAAACGATGCCGTTGTCGCTGCTGTGGGTAACTACATCGCGTCTTGGAGTGCCCAGGATGGCAAAATGGGATGGGAAAGTCGGGTCTCCGAGGGTTTAGTTGCTGATCTCGAGCTGTTGGAGCTTGAGGATACTACCGCGACCTCTGGAGTGAGAGATACGATTGCTGTGATTGCTAGCGGGGGCACCGGAATTGTAAGACGGCTACATGGCAACACTGGAAAGTCCGTGTGGGAATTCAAGGATGCAAGGTTGGTTTTGTCTTCAACCATTTTTTACAAGTCCCAAGCTAATATATTGTTCTTCTAGCGGTGACGTTCCGTTCCAGGTGTCGTCTTCCTCCACGGAAATCTTCTATATTTCACTCCAGTCGGCTATGTTGAAGGGCTTCAAGATCAAGGTCACTGTTTTGGATCCATTGACTGGGCGACAGACTCGTCAACAGATTCTTAACTCTGAGGCTGATGTGGCTACCCCGGAGTCCGTCCTTTATGTGGGCGCTAATTCCGCCTCGCCTATCATTGTCTGGGCCGACAAATCGCAAAAGTCCCTAAAGGTCAATGTCATTGGTACCAAGGAGATCACCTCTATCGCCATTGACAATACCTCCGGCTCCGAAATCCGACAGATCACAGTCCACGCTCCCCACAAGCTTAACGCTCTGCCCCATTTCTTGGTCCACTTTGCAACCGAGGCCGGAGCTTGGGCTGAGGTTTACCACGTGGACTTGATGTCTGCTAAGGTCACCAAGGCTTACCAGCTGCCGTATCTGCCCGGCCAGTCGGCGGTCGCAGCCAGTGTCATTGACGCTAACGTCTATTTCACTCGAATCACGGACTTGGAGGCTGTTGTTGTATCATCCGTCTCTCATGGGATTCTGGGACGATGGGATCTGCAGAAGCCTTCTTCTGACATTGCCCTTCACTCGGTATCCGAGGTTGTTGCCAAAGGAAAATCTGTGGCGGTCAGGTCAGCGCTTTTCCGGAAGCACGGGGATTGGCAACTGATCCGAAATGGCCAGATTGAGTGGACTCGGCACGAGGGTCTCATTGATGCTGTCGCAGCTACCTGGGCGGAAACTGACGCCCAAGAGGATCTAGCTCATGAGCTGGAGGTCGAGGGCCATGAGACCTTGTACGGCGCATACCTTCACCGGGTGAAGCGTCATGTCCGGGACTTGGAACATCTACCTGACTGGCTGAAGGATCTTCCTAAGCGCATTCTGAGCAGTATCTTGACCGACGAAGTGTCCAACCTGGACAGCTTTGGAGTTGCCAAATCAGTTATTGTCGCCACCAAGAACGGCCGTGTATACGCCTTGGATACTGGCAACCACGGCGCCGTTTCGTGGGGCATCCAGGCAGTGGAGACATCACAGTGGAATGTGAAGGCCATTTTGACTTCGCCAGGAGTCGCGACCATCTACAACGACGACGGAAGCTCTGTGACTGTGGATGTGTCGACTGGAGAGATCGTTTCCCGCATCGAACCATCTAACAGCAAACTCCACTCAATTGCTGTCTTCGAGGCGCAGGATGGAAGTTCGCTGACCACCGTCGGTGTCCGTGAAGACGGTACTCCAGTCACTGCATTTGCCAACGAAGATGGGTTCTTGGTAACCACCAGCATTGATGGCCGAGTCCTCGGCTGGGTTGCAAAGGATAACAAGACTCCAGTGTGGGAGTTTGTTCCTCCCTCCGGAGAGAAGGTCGTCAAAGCGACCGCTCGCCCTGCGCATGATCCTGTTGCGTCTATCGGCAGGGTCCTTGGAAACCGCTCGGTCCTTTACAAGTACCTTAACCCCAACCTCGCCCTGGTGACTGCAGTGAACAAGCAGACCCACACCGCCAGTTTCTACCTGTTGGACGGAGTCTCAGGCAACGTCCTTCACGCATCCACCCAAGCTGGCGTGGACTCCACGCAACCCATCGCATCCGTGATGTCCGAGAACTGGTTCGCCTACTCATTCTGGGGCGATGTTGACGCCAGCGAGTCCTCCGCCAAGGGCTACCAACTGGTCATCTCGGAGCTCTACGAATCTCCTTTGCCCAACGACCGTGGTCTCCTTGACTCTGCTACCAACTACTCCAGCACGGCCACCCTCCCGTTGCCCCACGTCATCTCCCAGGCCTTCATGATCCCCGAATCCATCTCCCACATGGCCGTCACTCAAACGCGCCAGGGCATCACCACCCGCCAGCTTCTCTGCACTCTCCCCTCTTCCAACTCCATTGTCGGCATCCCTCGCCCCGTACTCGATCCCCGCCGCCCTGTTGACCGTGACCCCACCACGGCCGAGGCCGAAGAAGGCCTGTTCCGCTACGCCCCCTATCTCGACTTCGACGGCAAATGGTACCTCTCGCACACGCGCGATGTCGCCGGCATCAAGGCCGTGCTCTCTCGCCCTACCCTATTGGAAAGTACCAGTCTTATCTTTGCTTATGGAAGCGATATCTACGGTACCCGAGCCACGCCCAGCCAGGCATTTGATATCCTTGGCAAGAGCTTCTCTAAGCTGCAGCTCGTTCTCACTGTGGTGGCACTCGGAGTGGGTGTCGCCGTTTTGGCTCCGATGGTAAGTTTTCTGTCTAGTTTCTCCATTTCTCCAGGTAAATTTGCTAATTATATTTCTATATAGACTCGGAGGAAGCAAGTTAATGCCCTGTGGAGGGCTTAGGCCTTCTAGGCTGATATGCCAGATATCACGTTGTGCTTTAGACTGTAATACATATGTTGATTGTCAAATTCTCCACGCGTAGCAAACATCTTAAATACTCACATGCCACTGCGAAGATTAGTCGCCACTATACTAAAGCCAACCTGACCTGTTCAAAAGAAACTGCGGTCTGATATATAGAAAGTCATTGGTCATAGGGAACATTACATTCATTCATAGATTGATATGATATCCAAAGGATCTAGCGTATCAAACAGTATAGCAAAACAAAACAAGAACAACCAATATTAACAATCCTCCGCAACTGTACAGACCTGATATGTACGATTTTTGACACCAAAAAAAGATCAAATCATCAATAATCCAGCCTCGCGAGGTCATCTCACTCAATACAACGGCATAGGCGACGAATTGACATAATCAACATTGTGCTCAACAGACTCAATGCGATCAGTACAAGTCCCAAAGATGCGATCCCAAAGCCTCGTCTGCTTGCCATAGTTATGACTCTTCCTCCAACCCTTCCGATGATGCAAATCATGATCCTCAATAACAAGCTCCGCATCAAACCAACGCAAAGCCCAACTCAACGTCGACGGCGGCGTAGCATGCACCCGGAGCCCACTATGCCCCGCCAACTCCGCAAACACCACATACTGATGACAAACCCACCACTCGTAGAACCCCATCGGCATCCCCATAAACCGCATGCTGAAATACGTCATAAGCGGGATACCGAGGATATCGAAGAACTCCTGCTCAGAGTCCGCGTACAGCGTCAACAGCGGGTTCGGGTGCTTAGTGAGGTGGTGGGTGCGGTGGTATTTCCACAACGCGCCGACATCGTGCATCACCCGGTGGTACCAGTAGAACCAGAAGTCGAGGATGATCCCGTACAGTCCGGCTTCGAGGGGCAGCCAGATAAAGCTCATAGTTGAGGGTGGATGTGCGGCGTGGTAGGCGATGAAGACGGTGAACATTGGTCGGAAGGTCGATGTCGATATGAGTGAGCGGACGACCTTTGCGACGCCGACGTCTGGGACGCCGTCGCGGGCGTGCTTATCGCCGTCTAGGAAGCCGTGATGGTGGCCCAGTCGTCGGAGGACGTGGAGTTCGTGGATGGCGATGGCTTTGAAGGCGAAGCCGTACAGGAAGAAGGCGCCCCAGGCGCTGAGGTTGTGGCCGGTGAACTCGACGTAAGCATGGTGAATTAGGAGTGGGATGGCGGCGTGCGTGAGCACCCAGCGGTGCATGGACCAGTCTGGCACGTAGGGCACGGCATCTTCCTTTAGATGAACTGGGATGTTCTGGTCGAGGTGTTCTGGGTGGATGCCGAGTAGTTCGTAGAACCAGTGGAAGAGAGTCCACTCTGAGCGGGCTTGCTGCCGCCAGGTGGACTTCATGGAGTCCTTTGCATTACGATTCATGGCTGATTCGTAAACAGTATAAGGGTGTTGAAGTGCACACTTCAATATACCCCAGGTACGGGGATTAGTGGGTTTAAGTGCTTGGGCTTATTGTCGATCCCTCCCCAGTCGTTCGGGCATTGGCGACACTCGGCACATGTGAAGAAAGCCCACTTCTTTCATGCTCCCCGCAAAAATGAGCCTCGGGCGTTTGGCTGGATTGGAACATGGCGTCGATCATATCTCATCTTGGATTCTTTCCCAACAACATGGCCGTTTTAGCGTGTTAGCTAGCGCTTGGGCTCAACATGGTTGCCTCATGTTTGTGTTTCGGGCTGATTCGGGGGATGATATCATAATACAGGGGCATTCATGAGTAAAGGATGCTTTTTTCTTTGGTTCATCAGGATCTGATTCTAGATGTTCGACGTATTTGGTCGTATAGATGTGATGTGGAGACGTTGCCCTGCATCTGCATTGCAAGGACTTGCCGAGTCATGTGGTCAACCAAAGCCCTCATTCCTAATTGGTCAACTTATACCCGACTGAGGTTTCTGGACGTTTCATGGATTTGCGTATGATTCATTATCTGATAAAGATGATCTACTCTCTCTTGAGAAATATCCACAGGCGCTCTGATATGGTATAGACTTATGAAAGGTTATATATATTGCACATTTTACATCCAATATTCTAGTACTCCGCACATTTTATATAGACAAGACGTTCCATAAGAATTGAGCTTTTCACCATATCCTGCATTTTACGGCCAACATTTTCCATCTCTCTCGCTATAAACTGTTGAAAGTACACTGAGGGACTATACAGCATGTAAAATGGAGGGAGTATCTCTTGCAAAGTGATACTAGGAAGTATAAAAAAAATATTATAGAACGGTCTAATCTCTTCATACATAGTAAGAAGCCTATATTTATAGGCTTCTCCTTCTCCCCCTGGAATCTCTCAATTGATCCATTTGTAATAGAAACAAAGTGGTGGAATCAAAAAGAAAGAGCTGAATGAGCGGTGATAGCACTGAATGCTGGATTCCATTGAATAAATGCAGCCTGAATTGAAATCGCTTCCTGTGCTACAACAAACTGCATCGACGGCGCTAATCTCGATTCCGTAGGACTTCGAAGCTCTTGGCATGGGGGTTGCATAGTGATTCGTAATGCGTAGAGCATGCCGAATTAGGGTTAGCGTTGGTAGCTCCATGTTAATTACTGAGAATTAACCTGGATTCTCAACATAAATACTAAGAAGGGAAAAGACACCGAAAACATCCAAAAAGGTAGCCAAAAAGATAGTGTAGTGTTATCATGAACATAACGTCCCTAGTATTCATTCTAAGTCAAAGGTATTATGTTATCGAAATCAGAGGCCGCCGGCCGTCTATTCTTGTTGATTATATCTCAATCCGATTGTATAGGTGATCAAACATCAAGTACGAATGAAGGTTCATGAACAGTGTAAAGCTGAGATAATTTCACATATGGAGAACAAGTCAAACCAAATCAACCAAAGACAGTATATCAATGTTAGGAAGATGAAATCAGAAAGCACATATCCCAACAGGCCACTACGGACATGATGTATTAGATACGTGTGTGTAAGCACATGAAATTTCCCACTTTATAATATAACCCAGGCAAACAGATATCCAATAACAAAACACAGAGATAGAAGAAAAATGCCTCGGTATTGAGATCTGCGCTATCTTGTCCTATGTCACATTGCTGATGGTAAATCCAAACACAAACCCCAACACGATTAATGCTGCTGCCTTTCTATGTGCTTTATACGGCAACATGAGTCTCATCCGCAGACAACTGGTCGATCTTGACCGCCACGTTGTCAATAGTCTTCTCACTATCGTCTACTTTAGTCTGCACGCCATTAGGCGCCGCCTTCTCTGCAGAGCCAGCGGAGTTAGCCGCTGACTCAACCGAAGTCTGTGTCTTCGGGATGGGAATGGTTTCCCTCCGCTTGTTTCCATCCACAGTACCTAGCACCTGGAGGTGATCACCGTTGAACAACACAGGGCCCTTGAGGATATTCTTCCGGGTTTCGCCGTCGGTGAGCGGCTGCTCGATGCCGCGGAGCAGTTCGCGGCTGGGATCGTCCAGGTTCGGCATTTCGCCCCACGACCAGTCCAGCTCGCCGCCGTATTGCTTAGGGATGCTGGATGGCTCCATGAAGGAAGTGAGAGTTGGCCCGACCTCTGCGGCGGAGAGAATGAAGATTTTTGAGGTGGTGCCTGGGTCGAACCAGCGCTTGATCCAGCCCCAAACGGTTGGGAAGAATGCGGGTGCTCCGATAATCTAACAATGGGTTAGTTCCACGATCTTATCTTCAATGGAAAAAGCTCTCTGACGGATTAGACAAGGGAACAACATACAAAGATTCGATCTAATGTCTCGGGGTAATGCGCCGTGGCCAAAACACTAGCATCCTGCATATGACCCTTCAAGTTCCAGAACTGCTTCAATCCTACACCGTTGACATCCACAATATTGGTCGACGCCACGATAGGCGTCTCCGGGTTCGGACGTGGGAGTGCGGAGGCAAGCGGCATCACGAACCGGAGGAGGTTCTCATACAAAGCGAAGAGGTTCAACAAACGCGCTGGGACTGTGGATGATTTGTGGGTTTCGGGTGTACCGGTACTCATGGTGGAGTTGTAAGCGGCGACAGCCTTGTTGTCCAAGTGGCGGATCTGGAAGACGTAGATAGGGATACCGCGGCGATCGCGACGGCCTGTCCACTGGGGATACTGTAGAGACACTAGATGTCAGCACGAGATCTGTCTTCGTTCGCAAAGGATTATAAGACGCACCATCCGTCGAGCAGCCTCGTACGAGTCCACGCTGATATTCTCATATAGCTGCTCGATGGCGTTGTCTTTGCGCCAGTCTTCGGTGTCCTTGAATTGAGCCCATGCGCCCTCGACGTCAAACTTGCGAGCTCGGAGGAATCGCCTGCGCAAATAATCAATATCAGCATTCGATCGTCTTGTTCAACTTGTCCATTGCTAGCTGTGGCAGGGTCTAGCATGGACGCGTCACATACAATAAAGTCGCATCGCCCAGGCTGGCGGGCTTCGCTTCGACGCCATCTGCTTGTTCCACAGCAGGGGTGTAGTATTTTCGCTCAGCGCACAGCGTTTTGAACTCCTGTAGCTTCTGCTCCTGCTCCGGTGTAAGGTGGTGCAAGTGTCCTTCGAGCCATGCCGTGCCCGAAGCTTGTGAGGCGGAAGCAGCGGGATCGTTCTTCGGGGCTGAATCGGTGCGGGCCAGGTCCTGTTCGGAGTCCTGCGGAGTTTTGTTACCCCAAAACATAGTGAACTCTTATCTCTTATGTTTGTTTACTTTTTTGAAGGAGAGATCGTCCTTCTAAAACAGATCTCGGAGGTGGCGGAGGGAAAGAGGCGGTGAAATAAAATTTACGGTATTTGGTCCCGAGGTCGGTGCTTTCTGGGGTTGACGCTATATTTGTGATACATCTCTCTCTATCACACATTTTGGGTGGGATTTAGGTCTCTTTTGAGAATGTTGAATGTCGCTGAGTTATGGCCTCTTTCATCTGTCGCAACACATCTACCTAGGTACCAAAGTACTTTGCAGATCCATCGATCAATAAAGCTAATCGGCAGGATCAACCAAGGTAGCCAGCCCTAGGAACGAACCTCCAGATGAAACTAGATGTGCCAGTGTTTTGGGGAGCATGGCATAAAAACACAAAAATGTAATAAAATTCCGGCCTAAATTAAAACCAAGCACCATATCTCAGGGTACATGGCACAGCCAGATGCTAATCATAGGGCCAACCCCAACCATATCTGTACAGATCGCCCTCATACAGCTCAAAATTTAAATAGATACAAGAAGTTAGTCCTCGGTCAGATCACCATACTCCCACATACCGCGGCGCTCAGCCTTAGCCTCGTCCTCGAGCGTGCGCAGGTTGGAGAGGGTGTCGACAGAGGCACGCTCCCACGCCTTCAGCTTGCGGGGTACCATGGCCATACCCTCGTGGACGATGTCGGCGTTGATGCTGTTGTCCAAGTTCTTGGAAGCAGAGGGGTCGAGGAGAGTGACGTGCAGGGTGCCGTCCTGGTCGACGTGGTCAACGTTTGCGACAAGCTGGCGGTCGAAGGTTTGGTCGCCGACGAAGCCGACGGCGTCCTCGAGGTAATCCTCGGAGGTGGGGAACTGCAGGAGAGAGAGGACCGCATCAATGGCCTGGGGGCGGAGGGTCTGGCCGGAGAATTGGGGTTGGGTGAGAGGACGGAGTGATGCCCATGGCAGAATCTCGGAGTTACCGTAGTCGATGTAGACAACCTCAGCCTGCTCCTTCTCGCGATCGTTGCGGCGCACCTTGGCGCGGTACCAATCGCCGTCTTCGGTGAATTGGGCGGCAACCCAGTCGCCGGCCTTGGGAGGGCCGGGCAGCGGGGTGTCGTTCGCCTTGTTAATGTGGAATGTGCGGAAAGCGCTCATCAGCTCGGTGAGCGCGTTGGTACCGGTGCCGATCTGCTGCAGCTTGAGCTTTGCGGAGGTAGGGTCGATGTAGGTAACCATAACGTCGCGGTAGTCCTTGCGACGCTGGGCGGGGGCGGCATCGCTCTCAGTGCCAGTTCCGGCGCCATTGGCGGCCTCGGCTGCCTCAGCCTCAGCAGCCTCCTTGACGGGGTCCCAGTCGTGCCACAGACCCTTGCGGGCGTCCTTGGCCCGCTGCTCAGCAGCGAAATATTCGTTGGCATGACCAGACTGCTCAGCCGAGTATGCATGGACGGTGGCGAAACCCTCCTCCAGCAGAACAGTTGTGAAGTTCTCCTTGTTGATGTACAGGCTGCCGATGAATCCGCCGACCTTGTCAATGGTCTCAACGTCAATCTCAACGTCGCGCTGCATGCAGCGGCGGTTGGCAAGGTCGTGGGCCTCCTGGCCGAAAGGCTCACCGGCGTCGCTAGGCCCGCGGGAAGAGCGAGGGGCACGGATGCCGGAAAGGACGAGAGTCAATTTGGCGTTATCGCGGGGAAGCAGGACAGTGAAGCGAGAACCGGACTTGACAAAGTCGACAACAGCAGGGACACGCTTTTGACGCTGCAAGATACCAAGCTCTAGCTTAGCCTTTTGCACGCTCTCTGAGTAGTCCACGACCTGTTTCGCCTTGGGAGCCTTGGAAGTCCACATTCCACGGCCTTCCTTCTGGGCATCAGCCTCAGCAGCGAGCAGCGCATCGTAATCGGGAGACCGGTCAGCGTCATCCATACGGTGACGAATGACAGAGGAGTAACCAGCCTCCACAAGAGCAACACCAACGTTGGTGTTGCCCTGCACAACAGTAGCGACCTCGCGCTCCTCGTAGCCCTCATTTGCAGGCTTCTTGCCGTTCACGGTGACCAAGACATGCTTGGCAATCACCCGCTTGCGCAGGAACTCCTTCGCCTCAGCAGCAAAGGGAGACTGTTTGGGGTCGGAGGGCTTCGGCTGACGGATACTGGCCAGACTGATTTTCTTCTCCTGACCAGCCTTGTTGCGGATGAAGAGGGTATCCGCATTCAAAACACGGGTGACAACGTAGTCCACAGCAGCGGCACCAGCTGTCGTGGGTCCCGTGTGGCTAACCCACAATCCCTTGCGGTCAGCCTTCGCTGTAAGCTCGGCCTGGCGGAGAAGAGCCATGTCCGGACCCAAAAGTGTCGAGTGGTGGTCCTGGCAGCGGGCCAGACCGGCCTCAAGAAGGAATCGAGAGATGTTTCCGTTGGGGTGAAGCACGGTGGCCACAATCTGTCCCTGCGGCGTAACACCAAGCAGAGAAACCTTGACCTTGCGCTGCAACAACCGTTCCTCAACAAACTGTTGTGCCTCATCACCAAACGGCTCAGCCGCGGTCTCTTTACCATCGGCAGTTGTGCGCTTAGCGGATGGTGCCCGGATACCAGCAACGGCAATGACAGTCTGAATGTGCTCTTGCGGCTTGAGCAGCAAACGCAGCACAACACGGTCACCATTCAGGACTTTCTCAATGATACCCTCCAGCTGTTGGCCCAAGTTACGCTTAACCAAATCACGAGCGCCAGTCAACTCGTAGCTAGTATCAATGTGGGCATCGTCGCCACCGCCCCAAGTTCCCTTTCCTTCGTCCTGGGCGAGGGATTCTAATGCTCGCAGGCGTTCCAGAAGTGCAACGGTCTCCTCGGATTCATCTGCGCGCTTGCCTGCTTCTTCGCGGACTCGTGTCCAGCCCTCCTGCACACTGATATCGGGCAATGAGGCGTCGAAACCGGGCAGCTTGATGGTACCGTAGTCGCGCTTGGCACCGGTGGGGATGGTGTACACAACGTGGAACTGGACGACTTTGCCGACGAGGAGCTCACGGAGGAATTCGCGGGATTGGAAGGCGTATGCCTATAATTGATTGTTTAAATTAGCCTTGTCTCTTTTTCTCTCTTCTCCTTCAGTCATTGCTATTTTATCCCATGCTGTATGTAGCTCGCATGGACCAGAAAGGCCACTTCGAGATCACAGCAAGCAACAATCTGGCCTTCCAATGGTGCAATCAACAGGTAATCAATCTCAACAATGTACCTACCTCATCACCCTCCCTCCTTAACCTCGGAGCAGAGACATAAGCCAAACTCAGGACTCGTTCTTGTGAAGGGTTGGTGATATGCGACAGCACGACCGTGTCACCGGACAGGACGGACTTGACCCGGGCTTCAAAAGGCATACTGAATGAAACAGTCTCCACTACCACATACACAATTGTGATGAGATTGAAGACAGAACCAGAATAAAACTAAACACAAGTAGGAGAAAAGGAAGTTGAGAGCAAGGGGAATGTCCTGAGGGGAAACGTGGCCGGTGTTTAGACTTGTGGGGGAAAGCGGTCAGCCGATCCGAGCTTCTACGGAAGTCTACGAAGTATCGAAGCTATACAATCGATCATGACAGATATCCATAATATGCACTTGTCAAATTGGCATTCATTCATGTATCCTAGACGGAATATCCTGCAATTTTCATCCACCAATTACGGCGGGGATAACAAAATCCAGGTTTCAAAAGGGGATAGAGCTGCACATTTATGCGGCAATACCAATGACACCTGAAATATCTTATTAGCATTCATCTCCACTACATCACGCCTTCATGAACTTACCGCAAGCAGGGCGGGGACCGGCGTTACCGGTCTTCTTGGACTCCTCGTTACCACCTCTGCCAAGGTCATCAGTACCGGCGTGGACGACCAGAGTGCGCTAAGAAGATAGGTTAGCAATACTGTTTCGGCAATACCAGATCTCAATTATAAACTCACGCCCAGAACGGACTCGGCACCAATCAGCTTGATAAGGTTGTCCTGCTTGGAGCCGTTGGCGTTACCCTCAGCATCGGTCTTGAAGTTGCCAAGGTCACCGACGTGACGCTCGGAGTCGGTGGGAGCACCGTGGGTCTTGCCGAAGGGGTTGACTAGAAGCGATGAGTATTCGATCTCTCCTCTTCATCTTCAGCTCATCATGAATGACATACAGTGGGGGCCAGCGGAGGTGCAGCCGTTGGTGTTGTCACCGAACTGGTGAACGTGGAAAGCACGCTCAGCGTTGGCGTCGTGGCCGGTGATGTTCCAGGAGATGGTGGTGGGGGCACTCTCGTTAGCCTGCTCGAAGGTGACGGTGCCGGCGACCTTAGCGTCACCACGGAGAACAGCAACTGCAGGGAAAGAAAAGTGGTCAATGAATTGTTCTAGAAGGCTTATCGAAGGCTGCCCAGCATGCCGCTGCTGGATCTTCAGGGCCCTTGAGGTTTGGTCTCAGCCTCGGGAACGGCTGGTGCCGCACTGGCCCAGGATGGGAATTCCACGCTTCTAGCAAATGAGCAGCGATGATCCCCATATTTGTCCCAGGGGCATTGGCAGACATCCAGACAGCAGTGGAGAGCTAGGACGAGGATGCAAGCCGATAGGCTCGGGTTTGCGATCTGGGTCACAAGGTGCTCAAATCTGCTCACACCCAAGGTCCCCTTGCCACAGATCGTGGGGAACTTGGAGGCTGAGGAGCTTATGTATGGCCCAGAGAGAACCAATAATGGAAATTACTTACCAGCCTTAACCATTTTGATTATCTTAAAATGTTTTAGATTGAAGATTGAAGAAGAAGGGGATTGTGAAGAAAGAGGAGAGGAAGTGGGCGGACGAAGATAATAAGGCGGATGATGTTGACGTGACTACACTCGTATCAACAAAGTACTGGGTACATGTATTGTAGTATAAAAAGAGCTATGTACAGTGGTACTTGGTACTTAATACCACAACAAAACATCCCCCACCTTCCCAAGTGGGCAGCGAGTCGGAACGAGGGGGAATGACATAATGATTAATACATAGGTAACATACTAAACACTTCAATTTTCAATTGGATATATAGTACTACCTCTTCGGGTGTAAACTATGAACAATTGCCATATTACTACATGTACTATCATTGATGTACGCCAATATTGGTACATATTTCTACTCTGTACCTACTATGTAGAGAAGTGTTAACTATGTAGCTTGTAATACCGTTGCACCACTGTCTCACATCCAAAGCTTCAAACCATCCTATCAGCAATTTAACACAACCTCGGGTAATATAAAATGTATCATATCAATGTCCCGGCATGGATGAAATGACACCATCCATGGAGGAAGCTAGAAAGCACCCGTGGACTAGTGCGGGGGTCTGAATAAGCCGACCTGGCCAGATTCCGCAGTTCCCAAGTTTACCCCTCGAGTCTAATTTTCTACTTTGGTACACACCAGAGAATAATAGCACTGACAAATTCATCAATTCGTATCTACCGATTCCAATTTTTGGGAGATCGCCAATTTACAAAAAATTAAACAATTAAAAAAAGATCAGAACCCAATCTAAGCCTGGATCTTCTGGGCAAGAAGCTGCTTGAGGGTAACGGCATCAGCAGCGAACTTGGAGATACCCTCACGGAGCTTCTCAACACCCATAGCCTCCTCGTTGAAGTCGAAGCGGAACTCAGCCTCGTTGTGGAGGTACTCGCGCTTCTTGATCTCAAGGCTGGCGGCACCAGCGGAGTTGAGCTTCTGGGGCACGGCCTCGGTGGAGTTGTAGAGGTCCTCCAGGAGGTTGGGGGAGATGGTCAGGTAGTCACAACCAGCCAGCTCAGTGATCTCGCCGACGTTACGGAAAGAGGCACCCATGACAATGGTGTTGTAGCCGAACTTCTTGTAGTAGTTGTAGATGTCCTGGACGGACTTGACACCGGGGTCCTCCTGGGGGGTGTAGTCGCGCTTGTGGGCAGCCTTGAACCAGTCAAGAATGCGACCAACGAAGGGAGAGATGAGGTAGGCACCGGCCTCGGCGGCGGCAATGGCCTGAACCAGAGAGAACATGAGAGTCAGGTTGCAGTTGATGCCGTGCTGGGACTGGAGGATGTGAGCGGCCTTGATGCCCTCGTAGGTGGAGGCAATCTTGATCAGGACACGGTCCTTGGAGATACCGTTGTCGGCGTAGAGCTAAGTGGCAAGGGTCAGCTTGAAATTGTCGAGAAGTCATTCTGATTGAACTTGTGAACGTACCTTGATGATCTGAAGAGCCTTGTCGACGGAAGCCTGGGTATCGAAGGACAGCTTGGCGTCAACCTCGGTGGAGACCTTGCCGGGGATGATGTTAAGAATCTCCTTTCCGAACTGAACGAGGAGACGGTCGAGGGTGGCCTCAACCTTCTCATCGAGGGTCTTTCCGTTCTGCTTGCCGTAGGCAACGGCAGTGTCGATAAGAGCGGCATACTCGGGCTTCTTGGAAGCAGCCAGAATCAAAGAGGGGTTGGTGGTGGCATCCTGGGGCTTGTACTTGCCAATAGCTGTGGTTTACGTTAGCTAGCCATTCAATGCTGAAACCAATGTCACATCGAGAAATCTGGAATACATACTGGCGAAGTCACCTAGAAATTTAGTGTTAGCATGTTTTCAAATGCAACCTAGTTAGGGTTGATAGCTTACCAGAGTCGCAAACGACAACGGTGCCAGTGGCCTTGAGCTGTTCAAGAGAAGAAGACATTTTTTTATGTATTGAGAGTGAGATGGAGAAAGTATGAAGAAAGAAGAAGAGTGGCGGACGGCGCGGTGTTTAAGAAGGAGGGGTGGTGTCATTGGACCAGAACCAGATCAATTACCGGGTACTTGTAATTGGTATGGAGTTACCATAGTAAATGGAAGTACCTGGACTGTGCCCCGTTTTTTCAGGTGGGATGGTGGGGCAAATGACGCTGCACGATGAACTTAGAGAGCTGCCCCTTCACAGGTCCAACTTCTTTTTTTTTGTTTTGCCATTGCTTCGTAGGCTCTTTATTCTTCTTTCTCAATCTTTGCAGTATTTCTACTCCTGATCAATTTCAATATGACTTCATATCTACTCTCCTTGAAATGCTTGAGCAGTTGTACTACAATCCCAAATCCGGCGCAGAGTGCTCCGCCTTCCCCAACCGGAGGATGGTAGACCGGACAACGGCCCACTACTGCAGCGGTCTTTGCAACGCTCACCGGGGGCCCGGTTAAATACACATCGACGGCTACTCATGGAGAAATATGATTTCCGGACAACTTGGCTAGGTATGGACCCTGAGAATTTTCGAATGGAGGTTGCATCAAACGAAAGTAAACGCCACTGCCTGTAGTAACATGCTTTTACCTACATACATCTATGTACATATATATGTATCGTTTCTTCAATCGAACATCCTTCCGCTAGTGCGGTTGCCCATTTCCTCGTGGGAATCGTACTTTAGTCGGCTCAACCACCGGGTAGCTACTAGTTATACAAAGTCCACGGGTTATTTGATCGTTGACATAAGACTGGAGGATGTTCATGACCGAAGTAGGGTTATGCGGCCTACCCAAGTGCAGCTTGTACCTCACCCGCAGAAGCATCTTACAGGGGGAATTCATAGGACCGCGTTCAAGTTTACTCTCAAAACGGCAAGAGGCAAGAGGCGCACAGTAGAACGGAAAGCGAAAGGGGTTGAGTGCCAGAAATTGTCTGGTAAATATGCTTTTTGGCTATGAATATGAGATCAAGGAGAAATGGAGGGTGTTTAAATAACACCAAGAAAACTAGCGGCGCTGGATGCAATTCCATTCATACTACTATCATGTTAGCTTGGCCAATTGAACATGAATCCGGGTAATAAAACTTACCACTCGGCCAGCCTCATCCCCCGTATAGACCACGTGGGGGAGAGCCAAAATACAACTGATACCGGCGTTGATATTGGCACCATTGTCACGACTGCTGTCGGTATGATGCAGCTGTCGGATCAACTCCAGCTCAAAGCGGCCACCGCGAATAGTCTTGCTCCAGATGTTGACCACACCACGAGTATGGCCTGTCAACACCAATTCACGCTCCAGCCATTCATTCTGCACCCCCTCGTAGAAGACGCAGGACAAGACGCGATCGTCGCCCGACTCGCAGACTGGTTGGTCAATCAACACTACACCATTGAGGGTATATAATGTCAAGCGATTGCCTCGACAAACCATAATGTCTCCAGAAACATCGTTGATTCGAGCACACTAGTTTATCAGTAAAGGACAGCAGGTGATAGAAAAAGGGAAACATACATCGACCGCACCGTCGCCGGGAAGGGCTCGCACAAATGATCGTCGATTGAGATCCCATAGCATAACCTGTCCGTCATTGGAGGCAGATAATAAAGCACTGAAGGAGCGCGAAACAGCAAGTACAGTGACTGGGCTTCGATGTCCAAAGAGTGACCCAATGGGCTGCAAATCAACAGACTTGGAGGTTGCAGTGACCGTCCATAATGATATGGTACAGTCCGTACCGCAGGTGACCAGAGTGCGGGAATCCGCAAAGCTGGCATGAGATAATTGACCAACATGAAGGTGCTCAAAGTGACCCAGGAGCTTGCGAGTGTCGGCCGCGTAGAAACGAACACTACCATCGAAGAATCCCCATTCCATATAGTAATCATAGGCTGGCGGTACGTTGAGCCTCAGCGCCGCGGTACACAACAAGCGGTCTTGTTTCATTGATAGGGTGGCTACTCGTTCTTCAATATCAAGAAGAGACAAAGGCATTTGGGTCAGGGATTCCGCAAGAGTGTCCAGCCGGAGTATGCGGTGCCGCTGATCTTCCCTCGGGGCGTGAGGTCGTTGGAAGATTTGGTGAGGAGTTTGCCCAAAGTTGTGAATAATGCCGATTGTGGCTAACCGTTCCATCGGGTCATCAATGGCATCCAAGTCTTTGGCACCTTTGTATGAGAGGTGGTGGAAGACATTGACAGCCTCGACGGCTGCCTCGCCCTTTTGTTTGCTGCCGAAAACCAGATCAATCCAGCGATGCAGGTTCTCGGAAACATAGGGACTCTCAAGTGCCTCCCGGTGCTTAGCGATGAAGATCTTGGGATCGCCCTTTGCCCAAGGTGGCAGCTCAACCGAGTCAATGGCCGTGGTCATGTTTTGGAGAAGTCCAAAGTCAAAATGATTGGAGTTCACCAGGAATTCCGGAAGATAGAAGAACTCAGGAGTAAGTTCTCGAACGTCGGTCATGTTCCCTCGCGATGCCGACTCCCATGCCTTGCGAATTGAGTAGAAGAGGCGGTCAGCATGATCAAAGGAGCCGCCCTGGAGTAAAAGATATGACTTGACGAATGGTTGCAGCCGAATGAGGTAGGAGCTGACAATCATGGCAGAAGAGTAATGTGTTCCATAATGGAAAGGGGGAGAGTCACTATCGCCCATCTCAGCAAAAGCATTGTATCGCTCACGGAAGCCCATTTCTCGGTCTAGTGTTTGGCAACCCATGGGCTTGGATAGGTCCCGGAATGTGGCCGGGTTGGTAAGGTCAAGTTCCTCGCTTGTATAGTCTGCCAGAACCCATGGGAAAATGGGGTATTGAGTTAAGTCGTTGAACGTACGCCCAGCAAAGGTGTTGATCAACATCAGATAATGAAAGTTGGAAATTTCACCCTTGACCCATTTTCGTGTTGCTGGGTTTGCCGGAAGGTGACCGAAGACACTAGCAAATTTAGACCCGAGGGACTGTGGTGCATCATCTTGACTGCGAAGGGTTTCAAATCGCCAGATGTCTTCTGGTCGCGAGTGTCCGGTGCTTCCCGTGACCTGTGGTGCCCTGATAGCCAGTTGGTTGCACAGATCGTCTCGAGCTCGTGCTGAGAGCAATGTCAACAAATAGCTGGTGCCATCTGTAAAGAATATCTCAAGTGCAACATCGCGGAATAGGAATCGACGCTTGGAAACGCTGACCAAATCAGACCATTTCCAGCTCCTTGTCTCATGCTCCTGCGAGCGGCGATCATTTGATTCGCGACCAGAAATCATGCGCACATAGGGATCTCGTTCCTCATTGGGGGCTTGCCAGACGTTCACAATCTCGCCATCTGCTCTCTGGAAGAAATTGTCCAGGATATAGATGCAGTCCTTGCCGAGAATTGAAATACCTTCCACTGCTTCCAGACCAATGATTCGAGACAGGTTGCACACGCTTTGAACCTGATCGCCACGCTGAAGAGATCGCATCACCTTCCGGTTTCTATCTTCATAGTCTTCGAGCTCGATTTTCGGGTCGTCAATCATCTCAAAGTTATCCTCCATAAGGCTCCTATTGTCGGCATCGCCGTTCGGCGACTCGCTTCCCACATTCTCAGGTTCCCCTGTGAGAGGATGAGCCGTCAGAGTCTCACCCTCTGATAGTGCACGTATACGGGTGTCGATTTTGATTGCTGGGGGCTCGGAGGCTTTACGCTTAGGCTGATAGTCCTGTCGCTCCCCCGACTCATCTGGAACCAGACGTAGTCGCATACGGCTGCGACCTTCTGTCTGGTCTAGCCACCATCTCCTCTCCTTTTCTTCTGTGAGCAGGCCACCTGGTCGTCGCAAGTCAAGCAGTAAGTCGGAGAAAGCTGACCACATGAAAGTAGAGCTATCTTGAAGATCTTGCAAGAATCGTTGAGACTTCAAAAACTCGGACGCTGCGATGTTCGAGATCCAATGTGGCAAAGTAGCCTCGTACTTTCGCGCCATGTCTTCATCAAATTTCTCGATCTGAGCCCATTGTCTGAGTTTGTCTTTACGTTTCGATACTCGAGACCTGACGGACTCCTCGGTACTTGTATTCTCCTCGTGGACGAAAGTGTCCCACGATCGAGAAAATACACCAAAGAACAGGGCATCCAGATCGTCGCGCTGGTCATCGATCCATAGCAGGAAAGCTTCGTCGTCCATTCCGGAAAGAGCGTCGAAGCCATCAGCCAATCGACGCTGGAGAGAAACAGAGCCATAGCTGAGAAGTGTTGTTATCTCATCTGGCGCCTGTACTAATATGATTCTCCATAAGCGGGTAGCGGCTGAGCGGACATCACCATTTGTGCTGATTAGTTTCGTGTATAGCAGGTAGCATAGCAGATGTAAATGTTTTGATTGGGTTTCAGCCGCCGAGAGAAGGACCACCTGCCAGTAGTTCAATCGGTTTAGCAATGTCACGGTTTCGGTGTCATCTGCTTCTGACAACTGAAATAAGATAACTTTGTACAGAGTCGAGCGAATCGTTGCTGTAGCCTGGCTACATAAACGAATGCTTTTCAACTGAGATATGTCCGGGCGCTGGAGATACTCTAAAATTGTACCAATGAATTCAAGTGTGGATGATGCCCCGTTACTGAACCAGCCTTCGTATACTGCCTCCGTCAAATGTGTCGCGAAGCGCCCGAGGTTCGTAAGTGTCCGGGTTTCATGGAGCAGACCCGGTCGGACCAGAGGAAGATCTTGCAATGCCGAAAGCACACAGTCAAAAACCCAAGAATTGAAGTATGCCTGGTGTTCCAGGAAGCCGGGTGGGGTCTTCAGATAGAGACCAAGGCCTGAAAAGTCTTTGCGCCCTAAAAGCTGATCCTCAAAGACGGCTAGCACAAGCCTGAAGACTGCCTTGACAACGGGATGATCAGTGGAAGCTTTATTTCCAATGAAGGTTGGATTCATGAGCCGCCGTATCCGGGCAGAAGAGGGCTGGTGCTTGGATTTATCAGACGAGACCAAAATGAAGGATGAGCCACGTTTTAAAGAACCAGTGCTTTCCTCAGGACTGCCCAAGGAGTCAACCATGGTTGTCTGCAAAGCTGTCGATGCATTTTTAGTACTCGAACGCGGTCGTAGTACTAGATTGCTGTCATCGAAGCTGAGTCCGCTGTGTCGGAAATTCAGTTCTGTGTTGGGGCTGACGGTATCAGCACCGACAACAACAGGATAAAGCACAGAAAGTAGCTCCTGCACGTAAGTAGATTGTGCAGTGAAATCTTGGAAGCTTGGTGATCTGGCGCGTGCTTCTTCTAAAAATTGAACAACCGAATTGATGAGAGCAAGCCCAAGGATATTCTGGTCTGAGGGGGTTGCATCTAACAGTAGAAAATAGGGTCAGTCAGAGAACGACCAGACCATAGTCATGAGTGGTCAGAGCCTACCAGGAAGCTTGAGAGAGTTCATTTTTAGTTTATCGCATTTAGAGGCACGCTCTTCTAGAGAGCCTTGAGTGTCTTCTTGCGCATCACTTGCCATGGTTAAATTGCGCACCCCGCTCTTCAACATATTCACAATAACGGGCAGCATATCTGGGAAGACGACCTTTACATCGCCTTCGGCCAAGAAAGCTCTAAGCAGTTCGGACGGGTCGAGGGGTTTGTCGAGATCCAGCAAAGCATGATCAACCCCGAAAAAGATAGAAAAGCAGATAGGCCACAATGCGGGAACATCCCACCATCTCTTCAGACGGTGTTCTAGAATGATGTATCCACCACTCTTCTCCGCAAACTTCTTGCTGTATCCACTGCCAATGACCACGACTAAGCGGGCTAAGATCTTCGTTGCAAGTATCGCAATCTCGGGCTCATCCTCGCACATGAGATAAAGAAGCCACTGCACAGATGGTTAAACAAAACTCTCTTCAAGGCAAATGATCATCCACATACCTTGTTTGTGACAGCCTTGGCAAATTTCCTCAATGGCGTAGGGTCCTGTGGGTTACACAACACGGAAGAGTACAGCCGTAGCATTTCAATGCCCAAAGTCACGCTGGGAAGGTATTTGCTTTCTGATTTCGCCGACGCAGGTCGAGGCGATGTAGCCACGTACCGAAGGCTCTTCTTTCTCTGAAGATTTGTCGGAGTCTTTGGCTTATGGAGTACATATGTGATGGACAAAGCTAGTGAACGAAGAAGGTCGGGAGAGGGACTGCTCTCCATCAATGAGCGGAATGCCGATAAGCAAGGTTGTAGAGACTCTTCGGTCACCTCTCCACTCTTCAAAGTTTCCAGTAACTTTTTGTTGACACCTAGTTTGGTCAGCTTGAATAATAAGAGTGGCAGTGTGATGAGGAAGCACACTTACGCATACGACTAAGACGCCTAGCGTTAAATCGGCGATAATTGCTATCGGCGGCAAACGTGCGGAATTGAGAGTAATATAAGCCAATCACCTGAGATTCTCCAAGTCGCCAGACGTCCATGTCCACGAGCAGGACACGGTAGGCGAGCGGGTTTGTGATGATGGAGTGGTTAGGGGTTTCGAAGTCATAGCCAACAAATCCGAGAGTCAAATGTAGCAGGTCAAGCATCAAGGAAGCCAGCTCCTCGGGATCAGAGCTAACCACAGGGATTTTGAACGCAGTCGGGGAATTACCGATGCAGAATCCAAGCTTCTCCCGCAATAAGGCTGCAAGAATGCCATATCCATTCTCTCTTTCCATGGCCTCACTGTTTCTCCAGTTGTCCTGCACTGCTTCGTAGAGAGCCTCCACGGCCATGCGAGTGCTTTCCGCGGTGCTGGCCGCCTTGATCAAGCTTAGGTGGGCCGCGGCGCAGCCACCTAGACACCAACTAGCATCATCCATCGCCCTAGGGACGGCAACGACAGGATCACCTGTCAGGATGCCAACCCCCTGAGGCTGGGTTAAGCCGTCATTGATAGCCGGAGTGGCGCCGTTGACAGCAACAGCATTGCCACCTGACTTGGTTAACTGATGCAGACTCTTTGCTGCCTGCCGTGAGAGACATTTTATCAACTGTGATTCGTCGACATTATTGCTATCGTCGTCGTCAAGAACGGCGACAGAAGAGACATTGATCAAAATCGAGCTTTCACGAATCAATGTACTCGCCCGTCTACGGATGGCAGTGACAATGTCCGAGGCTTCCTCTTTACCCGGGTGAAGATGTTCATTCCGCAGATTGAGAGTCGCAGAGGCCCTGTATGTCTGGAAGGAGCCTAAGCAATCCTGGAAATTCCCATAATAGCGAGGCCCAAGGTTGTAGAAAACAGCTACCATGTCGTCGCTATAAGCCTCGTCGAAAAGCATTCCACTGGCAAGAGACCACCGGGAAGTGGACACGCCTTTTCCGAGACGCATTGCAAGGTCTTGAGGGGTGCCAAAGAATGCCTGCACGCGCGAGGGCTTGCTTGAATGATGGCTTACAGGAACGGATGGGTATTCGATCTTCAGTTGTTCAACAAACTCGCCGTCTATGAAAAGAGATGCGCGGGAAGAAGACATTGGCTTCGGTCTCTTCTGAACAACACAAATATGGTACCAGCGATTGGGCTCGAATTTTGCAGACTTGAACCGAACACTAGGACGGGAACCTCGAATCGAAGTTTGAAGAATAAAGTTTCGAGTGTCCTTTTCGAGGTAGGCAAGAATGAAACATGTTTGGCTAGCATCGAATGCTCCAAAGATAGTAGTATGCGTGCTGGAATCGAACTCGTCAAAACGGGCCCAGGCTGCAAGAGTGTAGCCGGAGGAATTGATAGGAGGGAAAGGTCGACCAAGTGTTGCGAACTCGACTGAACAGTATCCATGGCGGGACATATCGAACTGTATTGATGGAGGCTCCTTAGAGGATTTGAGAGCAGACAATAGGACTTTTAGAACTTGCGGGTTGTCATGCGCCCCGCGGTATAAGGCGACAGCATCTTCCAAGCTACTCATGCCCTGGACGCTGAGAAATTGGGCGAGATCTTGATAAATTGCTTTCTCCCTGTCTGACCGCCCACCATCGAATAAGAGGGGTAGGATTGAGGTGAGCATATCAGTGGCATGCAAGGCTACGACGTTCCTCCGAGACTGCGAGGCCAATTGGCAGAGACATGCGGGCAAGGCCAGGCGTAACATGTCATATCCAGATGACAAAGAGGAGTGCATCAACCACACACGAAGGAACGGTCCAAGTAGTTCCGGTACTTCCACCGTCTCAGCCGATCCAATGAAATGATCCACAGCATCCTGGACGTCTTTCGGAGAAGGAGAGTCCTTATCCTGGGGAAACTTGGTGCTCAGTGTTACAAAGATACCCGACACTGTCTCCTGGCATAGAGCTGCGGCCAAAATGGCGCCGTAGAGATGTTGTGCGTCACCCTCAGTTGTGTCTATCTTCTTGACAAGCGCAGTGAGGATTTGTTCCAGTGCAGCAATACCTCCCCCTACTATCTTCCGAGCAAAATATCGCTTGTTGCCAAAATGATCCTTCAGGCCCTCTGCCAATACACCGAGGACATCTTTGAAGATACCCAATAGGCCTTTTCGTTCCTCCTTGGATTTGTGTACCGGATCGTAGAGCTCGGCTACCTGGTCCGCCAGCGACAGCAGCGTTTGAAAGCCCTGGAGATGTCGGAATGCATCTTTGGCGGTGCGTGGACGTGCATCATCTATGAAGGTGTGGCGCAGGCGGAGAAGAGATTCGGTCGTCGACAGAGCCTGGGACAGAGTGATCTCGGTGCCTGCACCGACGCTCTTAAGCTGGTCAATGGTTGGGGCTAGCTCTTCGGCCAATCGTTCGGTCGATCCGGAGGGGGAGGGAGGGTGGAGGGGAGCCGGCGGAGCCATAGCCAAATCTTATCCACGTCCGCTCCGATGGCGTATGACCATCAGAGACCGTGAATGTTCAATAGCGGGTACAACGGTCTGCATTGGTGTGTGACAGTGCTAGTGCCAAGATAGGAAGCCTAGCGGTTAGGAAAATTTGCAACACTCGTCATCCGCAGAACCCATGTCAAATATTCAGCCACCTCTGTAATTCGCTATCGGGAGGGGAAAGTTGGATATCAGGTGACTCAGTGCTCTTGGGGGGCTGAGGATATGGGGGCTGGACACATGCACACGCCTTGTTGTATTGTAAAAACGGTAAGCTTCAAAATTACGAGCGATCACTGATAGGACATGATAAGCGCGATAAGACGCCGCTCTGAGCAATGTGGAGAAGCTTGGAAGTGATCCTATGATGTGATGGGCTGCTCCGCAGATTGACAGAGTTGTATCCAATAATGGCACTCCCATGGAAGACAAGGGGGACTGGACCAACATTTGAGTCACCCGAGCACAAAGCACGCGACTTCGGAGGATGAGTTGCCTTGGAGAAGCTGGGCCGTGCGAGGGGGGTTGCCTATGACCTATAACTAGCAAGGTGAGACTGCCAGGTACCCGAGGGGAAGGTGACCACCTGCACCACCTTGCTATAGGTACTTTATTTACCTATTATTTGTGCCCGGGAGATATCCAAACAACTTAAATCATACTTCATAATAATGTCTAATATCCATACATACATGCCATAGCAAGTCAAGTGGATGCTCTTTATGTGGTTCCCGAGACCAAGGTGACCATACCATACGGTATCGGGTACCCCATTTTCAAACAGTTCTCCACTAGATCGACATCGACAGGTCATCCGCCCGGCGTAATCGTATGTAATGCCCGCTTGCATCATCGATCCCCCGTCTCCTCCCTAGATAAGCCTGCCCTTCTCCTCATCTTCCCCCTTCTCCTCTTCATCCAACCTATCCTTCACTCATCCTTTACCACCTACAATTATTGTTTACCCTACCGTTTCTTCCGCCGTGTTTACTCTTCCACTTTGCCCAGCATGAAAGGCTTCCTCAGCCTAACTCTGCTCCCGTTGTTGGCAGCTGCCTCGCCCGTGGCAGTAGGCTCCATTCACAATGACGCAGCTCCTATCCTCTCCTCCATGACCTCACAAGATATTCCGGACTCCTATATCGTTGTATTCAAGAAGCATGTTGACCAGAGCTCTGCGTCCGCTCACCAGACCTGGTTGCAGGAGGTGCACACCGCTCATACCGGTCGGATGGAGTTGAAGAAGCGCTCCCTGTTCGATTTCGACTTTGAGGCTTTCATGGGCCTGAAGCACACTTTCCAAATTGATGGATCACTCATGGGATATGCTGGTCACTTCCATGAGGATGTCATCGAGCAGATCCGCCGCCATCCTGATGTGAGTAACCCCATTCCCTCCGTGCGGAAGTTCCCGAGGTCAGCGGCTAATGTGACTCAAAACAGGTTGACTACATCGAGAAAGACTCTGAGGTCCGTACTATGACCGATGGTGCTGTCGAGAAGAACGCCCCTTGGGGTCTTGCCCGTATCTCTCACCGTGAAAGCCTCTCCTTCGGCAACTTCAACAAGTATTTGTATGCCGAGGAGGGTGGCGAGGGTGTCGATGCCTACGTTATTGATACTGGCACCAACGTCAAGCACGTTGACTTCGAGGGCCGTGCTACATGGGGCAAGACTATCCCCCAGGGTGATGCCGATGAGGATGGAAATGGTCACGGAACTCACTGCTCTGGTACTATTGCCGGCAAGAAGTTCGGTGTCGCCAAGCAGGCCAACGTCTACGCTGTCAAGGTTCTTCGCTCTAATGGCTCGGGTACTATGTCCGATGTCGTCAAGGGTGTTGAATGGGCGGTTGAGGCTCACATCAAGAAGTCCAAGAAGGGCGATAAGAAGTTCAAGGGTAGCGTTGCCAACATGTCTCTCGGTGGTGGTAGCTCCCGCACCCTGGATCTCGCTGTGAATGCCGCTGTTGACGCCGGTATTCACTTCGCTGTTGCTGCCGGTAATGACAACGCTGACGCCTGCAACTACTCCCCCGCTGCTGCCGAGAAGGCTGTCACTGTTGGCGCCTCCACCCTGGCTGATGAGCGTGCTTACTTCTCCAACTTCGGCAAGTGCACTGATATCTTCGCCCCTGGTCTGAATATCCTCTCTACCTGGGTTGGTAGCGAGCATGCCACCAACACCATTTCCGGCACCTCCATGGCCTCTCCTCACATCGCCGGTCTGCTGGCCTACTACGTCTCCCTGGCACCTGCCAAGGACTCGGCCTATGCCGTCGCCGATGTCACCCCTAAGCAGCTCAAGGCCGCTCTTATCAGCGTTGCCACCGAGGGAACACTTACTGACATTCCCTCCGACACCCCCAACGTAAGTTTTCCCCCCTATTTAGATGAACATGGATTAGGCTAACTTTATCTTAGCTTCTGGCCTGGAACGGTGGTGGTTCCGCCAATTTCACTAAGATCCTTGCCGATGGTGGTTACAAGGCTCACAAGACTGAGCCCACTGTCGACGAGCGCATTGGTGGCATCATCGATCAAGCTGAGAAGGCCTTCCACAGGGAGCTCGGCGCTATCTACAGCGAGATCAAGGATGCTGTCTCTGCATAGATTAGAATTTTGTTAGGGTTCTGTCAGTGACAAACCCAACAATCGGGCATATGGATGAATGGATTAACACAGGCGCTCATCACTTTTTCTTTGGTTTTATCTCGGTCTTTTGGATTCTCCAACACGAATCCGCGGGTCTATCCCGCCACTACACTCCTATACACAAATTGTTTTTGCTATTACGCTATTTCGTTGCTTCACGTAGCATACTCGTCTACAACCATAAATTCGGACAGATTTAGAATCTGTTTTGATTTATCAAACAAATGATTTCTCCGGCATTGCACACTCTAAATAGGTTCAAGTAGGCCCTTAGCAGTACATGTATTCATATATTCAACATCTGCTCTACATCACGTCCTTGATTTGGCCCACGTCGGCCTGTTTCTCTAAAGCCCAACACCACTGACTTGCCTTGTCAGTCCGTACTTCTCCCATAACCCCAACACACTGGTCAACGAACTTTGCTGTCAACTGTTCATTCGTCATGGGGCGCTCCAAGCTACCCACGGCATAGTCAACATGCTTCTCAATACTAGCCCACCCCCTCACTTTCACAACAAGATGACACTCATCGGCCCGCAAACTCTCATCAGGGACCGCCCTGAACCGAGAACTCAATGCCACAACCTGCCTATCAAGTACAACATCATCCTCATACTGCGCCGGCGCAGCTTTCCCTAATAACAAACCAACTGCACCACCATGATAAACACTAAACTTAGCCCCCAGCCCATCCCTCGGCGCCGTCTTCCCTGTCAACTCCAGAACAAGCGGATGCACATCCGCAACAACCTCCTCAACATCCCCAATATCAACCCCAACCCTCTCCAACTCCCCATGCAACCAAACACACCCATCAATAACAGGATGAACCACAATCCCACAAGGAAACGGCTTAAACGCATTCCTCACAATCTCCCACCGCCCACCACCCCCAAGCCCCGCAATCTCCTCTTCGAGCCTATTCCCCCCAGAACTAACAACATTAGCCCACCCCCTCTTCGCCTCCAGCGCCTCAACCGAACTCGTAAACCCCTCCCGCGCAAGCAAAACAGCAAGCAACCCATTCTGGGCCGCCCGTCCCGGATGAAAAGACTTCGTATGCGACCCGAACATTTCCCGAAGCCCAGTAACCTGCGTCGCCGCAAGACCAATCGCATGAGCGACCTGTCCAGCCGACAACGCAAGCAACTTCGCCACAGCCACAGCAGCGCCAATCGACCCTGTCGTAGAAGTGATATGCCAGCCGACATCGTAATGCGCCGGCCAGACGGCCAAGCCGACTTTACACTCGGCTTCAATGCCAGCGATCAGCGCGGTTATGAACTCTGTCCCGGAAACGGGGCGCTCGAGGGTCGGGACTATGGCGAGGAGTGCACATGCTACTGGACCTGTTGGGTGGATTATTGTGTCTAGGTGTGTGTCGTCGTAGTCGTGGACGTGTGAGGCGATTCCGTTGAAGAGAGCGGCGTGCATGGCGTCAGTCGAGGTGTTTGTGCCGAGGAGGTGGGAGGTCGGTGGTCCTGAGAAGGGTGATAGGGCTTTGCGGGCTGTCGTTGTTGCGGTGTGTTTGCTTCCGCCTACTATGCATCCGGCTATGTTGTAGAAACTTCGTACTGCGGCGTGGATTACTTCTTCTGGGAGATCGGGGTAGGATAGAGAGACTGTCCAGGCGGCGAGGGCCTGGGTTGCCATCTTGGGATTGGTGGTCGGTTGCCGGTTCAATGTGATATTGGGGGAGTTGGTGGATGGGTTTAGTGCGTAGGTAGATATATATAGTTGTGATATTGGGATGACTTGGAGGTCGGATATAGGAGCCATAGATACTTCGGGTTTAAAGGCGGGGGCAGTGGGGGAGAGGAGAGTCCACTTTTTCTCGGCAATGACCTCAGATTTATGGCTCAAGTGAACTGAATGGTATGGAGGTAGGGCTAATGTGACTGAAAGTCTGATTGAGATTTCAAATGGAAGTTAAAATTTGATTTCATTTCGTTAAAATATCTGTGCAACATTAGGGTATTGCATGTTATCATAAACCATAAGACCCATAATGCTGGAAAAATGATCCCGCTAAACGCCTATCGCATGAAAGATGACAAGGGTACGCCGAGAATGCTGAATATGCTTGGAGAAGCAGACATGAACTGTTTGATCACGCAACAACTCCCCGGACGAAAGACGTTGAAGATTTTCCTTACACCTTCTTCGTTTCCGTGGAATCGTCGTCGGCGGACTCATCCTCGTCCTCCTCTATATCACTGCCGCTGGACTGGTCCATGGCGAGTTCGTCGTCAGAGTCACTGCCACCGAACACATCGCTGTCGACATCGCTATCAGCCCAGAAGTCATGGTCTTCCTTCTCCACGGGCTCGCGGACGGGAGTATCGTGTGTGGGCATCTCGAAGCCGGCGGGGATATCGAGCTTAGATTTCTCGACATCAGCCTTAACAAGCTGGCGGTAGACTTCCGGTTCGTTGCGAAGCAGGACGGCAGCGTCGACGTTCGCGGGGGAGGATGGCTCGGCATCGTCAAGCAGAGAGATGATGGAGATCAGAACCGACTCGACGCGCTGGGCAGGGGACCAGCGCTCCGAGGCAAGCTCACCGGACATTTCATCTTCGCCGGGCGCGTGAAGAATGGAGATGCAAAGCTTGCCATTGGTGTAGATGTTCGGGTGGTGGAGGGGCTGCAGGAAGCGGAACTCTAATAGCAATGAAAACTTCGTCAGTCATATTGAAAGATGAGAAGGAGAGGAAGATGTCATACTTGGCGGGGCATAGGGGTAGTTGGATGGGAACGTCATTGAGGCTTTGAAATAGCCGCCGTAGTACATGGAGTCCGGGTTAATCACGATCAGGGCGACATCCCAGTTGAAGATGTCGTCATCGTGCAACTGTGCAAAGTATGTCAGTAACCTGCAAGTATAGAAGTGTCAAAGACACTCCATAGTGGAATGGTGAACATACCTGGACGTGAACCCACTTCTCTTTGAGAAGGGTCTTGAATTCGTTCATCAGGATGCGCTCCGCCATGGCGATGATCAGAGACGGAAATTTGAAGACGTTGCACCTGGAAAGATGTCGCTGGTGATTGCGTGGGGGCAATCTATTCTTATATAGAAAATGGAGGCGAGGCAGCACTGGTTGCCTACGCAAATTGAAGCTAAAGCAGTATTAATTAAAAAAAATCGTCCGTGTTAGGCAATGATGTCGGGATCACGAGGACCGAGGGGCGAGACCTACTATACCTATTGAGATCAACCGATGCCTGAAATTTCGGTGGCGACCGTGACTAAGATGGGGGCGTCCACAGGTGCCCACCCAGGCGCCAACCTAGGCGCCACCTCTACAATGTAGTATTCTATACATCTGAATACACCTATATCAGTACTAAATAGTAGTAATTCTCCATAAATAAAGTCAAATTTTTGATTCTTAAATCTCGATACTCGATAAATAAGTCCTATACCAAAATTAACAATGCCTAAATTGACTTTGGTTCCATTTTCTTATATTTCCGAGGTTCTATTATTGTCTAAATATACTTCAATCATAATTTTTAAGGGTAATTTTTTTTAATTCTTCTAGCTATAACACTTAGAAGTAGGAAAATACCTAAAAATTACTTTGAAAAAGATACTAAAAATAAATCCAAAAAGATAATCGTTGAGGAATGTTAAACCAGCCTTCTAAGAAGCAGATATATACATATGGATCGAACGACACCGTTACTAAGGATAGAGGCGTATAAGTGGCCAACTATGTAGACTTATTCTCTATACTTTAACTCTCCAATTAACGCGTTAGTTAGATTTATACTCCGTGGCAGTGATGTGATTGATTCAACATCGTGCTGCCCTTGCATGTGACTTTGCAAGGTTCCAAGGTTGCACTGTCTGTACTACACCAGTTGACATTTTGTTGTATTTTTACCTATACCAGTCGAATACACCCTCACCTTTGACCACTGCAAGGACTGATAAAGATGCCGCAGCATAACAGATTCATTCCATCGTTCATTCAGATTCCCAAGGATATCTTCCGCGTGAACTCGGCGTCTTCATCCCGTTCCGGGCTTGACCAGGTCCTAGGCGACCACACGGCGTGTTCGACCTCCTTACAACTGGAGGGAAAGTACAACCGAAGGCTCTCGACCCAGTTTCTTACGAATGTAAATTCATGATAGTCAAAACATTCAGATTTATTTCACTAATATATCTCAGTCCCTAATGGTGCTTCCATGGGTCCTAACTCTAGGACACAGCAGAATCTCGTTCGCACTGTCAAACCCTGGGGTGGTGCCACTATTTACGTATATGCTATTATGGCTGGTATGTTCCTCTAATCCTTGGAAGCTCTCCCGTCCATTAACTAAAGTTATACAGGAATCGTTCTCCCTAACGATCTTATTCTTGTCCACGAATTTCGCGACCATTACTCACTACAGGCCCGGAAAGAGATGACAGTAGAAGGTACAAGGACGAGTGGTTACAGCGATACCCTCAGGTGACCGAGTGAGTTCTTCTATCCGAATGATTTCCTATGAAGCATTAGATATCCCTTGTTATACATAGACAAGTTCTCTATACGGGTTGTACTTTTTACTGCTTTCGTATAAATCTAAAAGGACATCAAAAAAGACATCTAAAAAGGGCATCACATATAACAGCCCTAATATCATCTTGGGCAAATAATCCTGTGTACGGTCAGCACTATGGACCGTCTCTCTATTGTTGCTTAGTGGTTCTTCTAGCGTTCAGACCTCTGGCCCGACATTCGAGACAAATCAGACACTAAAACGGGAACCAGTACCTAACAAAGACGCCTACTATACATGTGAGAATACCGAAAATGCGAAGAGATGTCAGAAACCGTTATATCCGCGCTAAGTCTGAAAGCTTGTGCAGCTTTATTTTGGAAGGAGCCCACTGTGAGCTAATCTATCCACATCATACCCTCTCTTAGCTGTATAAAGAATGGGTTATTGAACTATAAACCAATAGAGATTTTACTAGCTTAGGAGTACCTAAAGCTCTCTTTCGTTAATACTAACCATAAGTCTGGAAATATGAACTGTGTTATGTTCCACCGAATAAGTATTGGAAGAATCAGTGGACTACATGTGTACATAGCACTTTATGTACCGATACCTGGCCCTGGAGTCCATGGTGATGTGATTAATTCGTCATCGAGCTCCCCTTTCCGGCAGAACTTAGCACTAGGTATATATGTATCTCCATTAGTGGTTTTCTGCTTCTCGATTCAACGCCATATCGTCTGTATAGCGATGTTTCAAAATATCCTTCGTCATCTGCAAGCCCCTGCACTTAGCACCTCCCATCTACCGAATCGCCGCCCGTTCTCATATGTGTCGAGGCACTCAGATTTTCCAGCAAGCTTGTATCAATTTCAGATACACCGCGACTCGAGGCTTTATGACAGAGCGTTTAAACAAGACGACTGGGAATACGAGGATGGAATAGAAGTTACTGCGGACGGCTTAGTGCACCCAAATATAACTCCGGATTGTATGCGAACACAACTTCACATTATTGATCTGCTAACTTATTCAGTTTCGAATGGTGCATTGTTCATGCCAAATACGCGCTACATGCAAGAGATCACACGGAGGTCGAATGATTATTATTTGGAAGATGCAGAAAGTGGTAAGCCCGCCGCCGAAGCTCATTATTTGTGTATACCCAAAGGTGATTAAACGCCCTTGACGATAGGTGCAGAACTAACTTTTCTATCTTATAAGGCACAACTATTCCAAAGTCGTTGATTCTTTTCCGTGAACGTACTTCTCGCTTCTCCCTACAACCCGCGCATCCGATGTCACTTGAAGGTATGCTTAAGATAAGTCCCTAAGAGAGGAATAATTGCTGACATTTAGTAAAGGCCTCAATAAAACCTTGACTCATTTTTATCTCGATTTTGGGCGCACCTTCAATCCAGACTCTTGGCTTGATAGGAACCCCTACCATGAGGCGTTTTCTGATTACGAGGAAGAGTGGATGAACCACTGATACGCATGCTGGATTGTATGTCTTTTGTGTTTGAATAGCAGGTGCTAATACGAGAGTATCAAGATTAACCATCTCCTTCCGATGCCTATACATGTCCACGGGTAGTCCTGAGTGCTGTGTAGTTGTAGCTTCAGCATATAAAAGACGATAAAACGTTTTTCCTGAAGGTTTTAGTGGGGAACGGATAAGTAAATTGAGACTGGTCATATGAATCATCCGTTTGAGACATTGTAGCAATTTTCTAGAATTTACGACCCCTCGGGCTCCTAAAAGAGTTTAAGTCGATAATCGCATTGTGATAACCTTGGGCAAAGCAGAAATATTATTAATGGGTATATGGTACCTCGCTCCACCACCAAAGTTTGGTGGTGGCTAATGTCACTCTCTACCCGGAGTCCGTCCACCGCCGGTTTTGGAACATTTGCCATTTTCTCTCTTCGAATTCTTCCCCCGCCCCATATCTCAACACCTTCGAATATCTTTGGTGATCCTTGCTTTGCAGAATCCGAGTAGTTGCCCCTCCGACTACTCTTTTGCCTCAACGGCCCTCGGTTCCGGAACCCTCATCCCAGCGTCAACAGTCCATCTCGACTTTGCGATGCTAGGCTTTTCCGGCAATCCAGTAAAATATTGTTGCTAAAGGGGTGGTTCACAATAATCAAACCCCGGTCGCATCCCGCATTCATTACTGTCGCCAGCTGAAGAGCTGTGTGATCGAGTCGCGCGAGCTCCGAGAGCTTCAGTTTCTGCGAGCTTTGCGGTTAAACATGCTACCGCAATGTCAAGGCCCCGTCTGGGCCGTTGACGACTTGTCTCGTTGCTTCCAGCGCAAGTGGGTCTACACCAATGGCAATCCCGACCGTTGAAATTTTATGCTGATCACGAGATACCTTTTAATAGCATTCTTCAGGTTATACTTCCCCTCACGGTCTGCGGCGGTTCACTGCTGCTGATCCTAATTCGCCTCGCTCATCGATATGTCCTCACCCGAAAAGGTGTCGCTTACAAGATCATCCCGAACCATGACTCCGAAGATGAGGTCCCCAGTGCGACGCAGGAAAACGAGTGCGATCGGATACTGTCCCAAGCTGTACAGCACGAACAATCTCAGGTCGAGGTCAATCGCCCGCGTGGAGAGATCACCGTTGTATTACTCGAAATCGCAGCTTTGATTGGACAAGCTGCGGTCTACATCGTCATTTTGTCGACTCACGCCTGGGGCCGACATGGAACTCTTCCCGCCGTGGCTGGGCTTGTATCGTGGGGCTATATCCTTTTCTTGGTGCTGGTCCGGTTCCTCCTATCGACCATGGATCTTTCTTCCGCGCCGAGACTATGGACCCATACGGCAATCCTGTACAGCTTCCAGTGGTTGTTCAACATCATGGTCTTCCGATCCGCCATTATCCACCCCTTGTCTCAGAACGCCCTGATCCTCAGCAGTGTTCAGTTCACTCTAAGTACGGTGCTACTATTTATTGCACTCACCACTCGCCGAGGCAATAAGCCAGTTCTGGTTGAGCGCGAAGATGGATTGGAGCCTCCGACGCATCCCATGGCCAGTTTGTTCTCTCTTGCAACATTTTCCTGGCTCGACCCTTTGGTCATGAAGGGCTATCGCCAACCCCTGGAGATGGAGGATGTTTGGAACCTGACCCCCTCTCAGAAAGCTGCGAACGTGCTTATAGACTTCCGCAAGAGACAAATGAAAGGCTCTTTGGCATGGAAGCTGATACGGTTCTTCATGGGGACTCTTCTTAAGCAGGGTGCCTGGACGATCTTCGCCAATTTATTCGTTTTCATGCCCAGTCTACTTCTCAAGGCTATCCTCGAGTACGTCGAAGATCCTCGGTCGACCACGCCCAATGCGGCTTGGTTGTTCGCCATTCTGCTTTTCTGTTGCGCCGCGGTCCAGGGTGTGGCAGATGGACAATCCTTGTTCATTGGTCGCAAGATGGGTGTGAAAATCCGTGCGATCATTATTGGTGAAATCTATGCCAAAGCTCTTCGCCGCAAGGCAGGCGCTTCCCTGGAGGCTGCCAAGAAGGAAGATCCAATCTTGCCCAAGGATAAGAAGAGAAAGCTCTTTTCCTTTGGTCGCAAGAAGAAGGCCGCGAATGGAAATGATGCCGAGGCTGGAAAAAAGCCAGACACAGAAGCGGAGGAACCCACGCAAGCCAATGTTGGCACAATCATCAACTTGATGGCGATCGACTCGTTCAAGGTAAGCGAGGTTGGCGCCTATCTCCACTTCTTGTGGGCTAGTGTGCCAGTGCAGATCATAATGGCGATTACTCTGCTCTACCACATCATGGGTTTCAGCTCATTTGCTGGTATCGGCCTGATGGCCCTCATGCTGCCTATCAACCTTTTCATCGCCCGCCAGTTCAACAAGGTCCAGAACCAGATTTTAAAGGGCACCGATGCCCGTATTCACGCCACTAACGAAGTCCTCCAAAACATCCGCATCATCAAGTACTTTGCTTGGGAGCAACGATTCCAAGACATTGTCGGCGAGAAGCGCAAGACCGAACTAAAAGCCTTGCGCAGGCGATACATCCTCTGGTCCTCTGCCGCAACCGTCTGGTACGGCACGCCTATTCTCATCACGTTCATGTCCTTCTTCTTGTACACTGTGGTCGAGAAAAAGCAATTGACTCCGTCGATCGCTTTCCCTGCCTTGTCTATGTTCTCCTTGCTGCGTGTGCCCTTGGACCAGCTCGCGGATATGGTGGCCCACGTTCAGGAATGTAAGGTTTCCCTAGACCGCGTGGACAAGTACCTGAACGAGGAGGAAACGGGAAAATACGATCAACTCCGTGATAGTTCTACCCCAGGAACACCTGCCAAGATTGGTCTTGAAAATGCAACACTATCCTGGAACAGCTCTACTGCTGAATCCCCAGATACCGAATCCGATGCCGACTTGGACGCTTTCCGTTTGATTAATGTCGACGTCGAATTCCTTGTCGGCAAGCTTAACATCATTGTTGGCCCCACTGGATCTGGAAAGACCTCCCTGCTCATGGCTTTGCTTGGAGAAATGAAGCTTCTCGAGGGTCGTGTTCATCTCCCCGGTGGAATGTCCAACAGGGCAGACCTCCCAGTGGACCCTGAAACTGGTCTGGTTGACAGCATTGCTTATTGTGCCCAGGAAGCATGGTTGGTCAACGATACCGTAAAGGAAAATATCATCTTCGCCTCTCCCTATGATGAGCGTCGCTATCGTGCAGTGCTAAAGGCATGCGCTCTGGAACGTGACCTTGCTATCCTTGATGCTGGCGATCAAACTCTTGTTGGCGAGAAGGGCATCAGTTTGTCTGGTGGCCAGAAGCAGCGAATCTCTCTGGCTCGCGCTATCTACAGCAGTGGCCGCCACTTGCTGCTAGATGACTGTCTCTCTGCTGTCGATTCTCATACCGCCAAGCACATCTTCCGCCAGGCTCTTACCGGCCCTCTGATGTTTAACCGCACATGCATTTTGGTAACACATAACGTTGCTTTGACTGTCCCCCTATCGGATCACGTTGTGGTACTTGAGAACGGTAGAATTTCCGTCCAGGGCCGTCCTAACGATGTCGCCGCTACTGGTGCATTGGGCGATGAGTTCCTCAAGTCTCGACCCGATTCCCGGCCCAGCTCCCGCGGACTCTCCCGTGCTCCATCGGACCACGAAGCCGAGGATGAAGATTTGAACGGAAACCCGAATGGAAAGCAAGAAGACAAGGCCAAGCTCACTGAATCCAAGGCTACTGGTAGTATCAAGTGGTCGACCGTCAGCATGTACCTCCGCGCCATGGGCCCGTGGTACTATTGGATCGGTGCTGTTCTTGTGTTCTGCTTGCAGCAATTGGGCTCTGTTTCTACCAACATCTGGATTAGACAGTGGGCAAACTCTTACCATCGCGCCAAGGTCGGGACTGAGGATGCCGGGCAGTACGCCGCCGCGGCCCACCTCAAGCCCCCCACTTTCAACGTTGGAAGCGTTGGGCGCGTGAGCAGCTGGAGTCTGCCCCAACTTGGCGCAAGCTCTGCCGGCGAGGCTGATGGCGAGGTGAACGTGGCTTATTACTTGGGTGTCTATGCACTCCTGGGATTCTTCTATATCGCAATCTCTTTGTCTCGGGAAGCTGTCCTGTTCTGGGGTTCGCTCCATGCATCATGGAAGATTCATGATCGCCTTCTCAGGGCGGTCATGCACGCCAAGTTCCGATTCTTTGACTCCACGCCTCTTGGACAACTGATGAACCGGTTCTCTAAGGATGTTGAGTCTGTCGATCAGGAGGTTGCTCCTGTCGCTATCGGCATGCTCCACAGTCTGGCATCTGTGATTATGATTGTCATTCTGATCTCGTGGATCACGCCAGGATTCTTAATTGCTGGTGTGTTCATCACCCTGGTGTACACTGCCCTCGGTGCCGTCTATTTGAACTCTTCCCGAGACCTCAAGCGTTTGGAATCTGTGCAGCGCAGTCCGCTGTACCAGCAGTTCGGTGAGACCCTGAACGGTATCGTCACCATTCGTGCCTACGGTGATGGTCCTCGCTTCATGGTTGACAACCACCGCCGCATCAATGCCTACAACCGGCCACACATCTACCTCTGGGCTAGCAACCGCTGGCTCGCTCTCCGTGTCGATTGGACCGGTGCTCTGGTCTCGTTCTTCTCAGCTACATTTGTGTTGTTGAATGTTGGAACGATCGATGCAGGTGCCGCTGGTCTTTCGCTGACCTACGCCGTCACGTTCACAGAGAACGTCCTCTGGCTTGTGCGTCTGTACTCTGAGGTCCAGCAAAACATGAACTCTGTCGAGCGTGTAAGAGAATATCTTGATGTGGACCAGGAAGCACCTTCTATTATCGAAGAATCACGACCTGCGTCCAATTGGCCCAGCCAAGGTGCGGTCGAGTTCAATAACTATAGTACGCGGTACCGACCTGATCTGGACCCGGTTCTCAAGGAGGTTTCGTTCTCTGTAAAGGCCGGCGAAAAGGTCGGCATTGTGGGTCGCACAGGTGCTGGCAAGAGTTCCCTCGCCCTGGCTCTCTTCCGCGGTCTCGAAGCCGAGAAGGGTCAGATCATCATTGATGGTGTTGACATCGGATCAATTGGACTGCGGGATTTGCGCGAGGCAATCACCATTGTTCCCCAGGATCCGACCCTGTTCACAGGAACCCTCCGCAGCAACCTCGATCCATTCGGTCTCTTCAGCGACGAGCAGATCTTCACAGCGCTTCGCCGTGTGCACCTAATCGGATCCAGCACCTCAGGCACTGCAACCCCCACAACCTCAAGCAGTCTCACTGCGACGGAAAGCAACATTAACGGCAACGCCAACGGAGTGAGCAGCAGCGCAGTGACAGTAGTCGACAATAAAAACGTCTTCAACAACCTCGACAGCCAAGTCTCGGAGTCCGGCTCCAACCTCTCCCAAGGCCAGCGTCAGCTCCTTTGCCTCGCCCGCGCCCTACTCAAAACCCCCGCGTCTTAATGATGGACGAAGCAACCGCATCCATCGACTACGCCACCGATGCCAAGATCCAAGAGACCCTCCGCGAACTTAGCAATAGCACAATCATCACAATTGCACACCGTCTGCAGACCATCATCGACTACGACAAGGTCCTTGTCCTCGATCACGGCCGCGTCATCGAGTACGACCACCCCTGGACCCTCATCAACAAAGAAGACGGCCTCTTCCGCGGCATGTGCGATAACAGCGGGAATATGGATGTTCTACTAGATGGGGCTCAGCGTGCTTGGACCCAGAAGCGTCTTGTTGATGATTCTTAAGCAACGGCGTTTGCTGTTGTTCTTTTCTTTATTTTTCCTATCTCATAGAATCTCGCGTACATATCCATTGTTACCCTACTTTGTCTATTAGTTATCTGTTATTGTTAAAAAACTTGTGTCGCGCTTATTGCGCGTGCGAATATACTAATAAGGATATAAATGAAGTCCTGAATTTGCCTGCGACGCTATAACTTGTATCGCGCTCATTGTTCCACCGTCCTAGGTTCTCCAGCGTCCTTACTCTCCAGTGTGTCCCTACTCCCTAGTTATTCCCTACTCGCCAGTTATTCCCTACCCACCAGTTATTCCCTACTCGCTAGTAATTCCCTATGGTTGACGGACTGAAAACCTAGGTAGACCTAGACTAGTGGACGTACGTCTAGCTTAGACTTAGGTCCGTAGCAGACCTAAAACCACAACCTTCTGACCACCTAAGCCCAAGGTCCCTGTTTCTAAGTCTAGAGTAGTTGCAAGACCGTGATCTCAAGACCCGCCAGGCGGTTTGTTTCGGCATTACTTATTTTATATTGCGCCACAATAGCAGCGCGACGGGGGCATCGGCGTCATGTCCACGATAAGCGTCAACTCGTAAGGTTTTGATGCTTAAAGCTGTTTCCTTTGAAGTTCTACGTCATATCATTTAAATAATAGGTGGTAATTGTTTATTGGTTATACAGTGATATTCGAAATCAGTTTTACCACCACACTCTTTTGAATTGATTCCCGAACCCTGATTTGAAACACGCCAATCCAATTTTAGTCCTTCCTAAGTAATCCCTGCGGAACTATATTGTATTCACTGGTAACGATAAATAAGTCATTGTTATTTGTCATGTCCATACAGCCAAGAAAGAAAGGTCGACCCATTTTCTTTTGTTCTCTGGTTGTTCACGGATACCCATCAATTGGCTCACAGCTAGCTGGGCTCCTCGCACATCATAATCCATACTCACGTTAGTCTCATCTGGTATTTCCACAAATTGGCCGATCAGAGCGAGATTGGTCATCCCTTCTGGTATCAGGTTTGGACGATCTCCACAAGCTCGGGGCAGTAGTGAGGCTGTCCTCCGTGGCATCACGCATGGGACTGTGATGGAGTTGTTGAGGATTGGTTCCGAAGGGAAGCCGAGGTGCCATAACAATTCAGTCATTATTTCCTCCCCAGAACAAACGAGCATTGGCTTTTTCACAAAGCTACCCTCGCGTTCTGGACAAAGAGCATACCCCCAGAAGGTTTGTACATTGTTGGGTTGAAGAGAGAAAAATGGTTGGCGTGGGATACACACACTCATCTTCCAATCGCTGTCTTTCAAAGATACTAAGCTCCCCTTGCCTGGCTTGTCAGATGTCAGTTTGACGAAGCGGTTGAAGAACTCAACATCCTTGAGTGTAACAGTAAAGGTCTCCAACCTAGATTCTGTGACACGAGTGCAGAAATTGTATGGATCTCCAAACCTCGGATTCTCTGTTCGTAGATTCAGCCACAATGACCAGTTTTCATCTAGCATATCTTCGTCAAACATCGTAATTAGAGGTGGCGGGCTTTTGTTGGTACCACTCGACGAGCCTGACGTGACAGATCCAAGGGAGACGATAACGATGTCATCGGGACAGACAGTGATAGTTTCCTGGGAGCTATCATGCAATACACGAATAGCTGAAACTGTTTCTCTACCAGTGTCCAAAATAATATCTGTGACCTTAGTGCACAGTCTGAAATCAACCCCTTCCTTTTGAAGATACTGAATAATCGGCATGATAATTGATTCAAATTGATTGAATCGAGTGCAATCTAGAGGACGCTTGGTGTTTAAGCCCCGAAAGTCGTGGAAGAACTTGCGAAGGCATCGCCGGAATTCGGCAGCACTGTGCCACGGCTGGAAGGTAAATCTGTTATTTATTCTTAGCATTTGTGCGATAGCCTAGCTTTTTTTTTAGGTCGGGCAGCCCACATAGTAGAGAAAACAATCCAGAGTCTGCTGTCGAAGAAAGGTTTATCGAAAATCTGATTAATTCGTTTTCTGTTCAAACTTTCCTCAGATCTGAATAGGAGCATCGTCAGCTTCATTCGATCTTTTAGGCTTAGGTCGCGTTCGTTGGCGTCTATTCTCTTCGGTCCATGGTCTCCTTGGACCAAGATGTGTGTGACAGGAACATCTTGGCAGCCTTCATCCTCAAGATATTTTTCTATATCCTTCAAGACTGTCCTTCCCGAACCGCTGGCCGAAGGCACGACACCAAGTAGCTTTTCCATGCAACCGTTATTGAAGCTTGGCAGGCATCCAGGTCGATGATCGTATCCGTTGAAGGGATCGCCAGTACTGGTTATGCCGTCTCCAGGTGTGTCTTGAGACTCGAGGATATGGATATTAGAGGCGGGCACGTTGGCATACGAAATCAGATGAATAGCTGAAGCCAATGACGCAATACTACTCCCTAGTATCCAAGCATCGACCTTGTTAGGCGTCCGAGAGGCATGGGCTAGGGCAGCTTGCTGTTGACGAATCATCGCAGACCAGGTTCGTTTTCGAATAAAAGTTCACAGATTGTGTTTATGGATTCTGATTTCTCTCTCGGGGTGGATCACTGTCGCATTCTCTACCTAAGTACTTTGGGTAGGGAATGTGAAAAGAGTAATGACGTCATCCACATGTGGCACGTATCCCAATATGAATGTGAGGGGCACAGAGGTTGCGAGTGTACGTAGGTATAGCAGATTCCCTTGTGTACCTAGGTACCTAGGTAATAAATACATCATCATGTAAGGTCCCGCGTTATATAAAATTCAGGGTCTGGCCTTGGGAACTGGGGATCTACGACCATGCCGTATCTAGATTAGCGTTTTTCAAATTAGAGTTCGGGAATTAATTCGAAAGAGCGTGGTAAAACCGATTTCGAATATTACTGTTCATTCCCTCCACAGGTTCACAAACCGTCGGCGATGCAGACCCTTTGGGTACAATCTCACATGGTCTTCATGCTCCGTTGCTGAGCAGACAGACACTCTGGTTTGTGTTTCCATTACAACTTGCTCCCAATGTGCACACCTGTCTTCGGGAATCCTGTGTCACTACCTACGCTCTTTGATTGTTTCTCGAGCCCTAATGTCAAAGGAAGGATAACATTCTTTAGGCAGCGTACAAAACCACCACCATTTCAAGGACATGGGTATCGTAAGATTGAAAAATATTCCGTAACCTCACAATAGAAAAGCTATGGTATCATTCCTCGTTGACTATTGTGCTGCTCGTGCTGTCCTGCTGAATGACATACAATTTGTTTCAATTTCAATGCGACAATTTGGTCTTAACATTCGTGAGGATCGTCCTGTCCCTCCTTGTTTGTAGGTTCATCTTTAATGTCTGTTTGGTGAAGGAGAGGACTCTTCTCAAGACTCGCACTTTTCCTATACTTATCTTGGTTGGCATCTTCGTCAACATTACTAGAGGCTGGAATAGAGGCATAAGGGTGCGAAATGCTTTCCCGATGAGGATGGGCTGTGCCCGGTTGAATAGCGCCGTGGTCAGTCTCGCAATCAGCGGCACAAAGAGCGAAATCGCCAGAGTCAAAATATGTCCGTTCCTCCCGGTTGTTAGTTATCGTGCGTCATAAGAAACTGTATTCTAAGTACCTTAGACTTTTGAGCTAGTAAGCCTCCACGCGGCAGCTTTCCGTACTTTTTGTTGAGACGGTTCTCGGATTTAGACAATGGCTGAGAGGATTAGCGTCGTTGGTTTCAGGAATGACGGAACCTACTTCGGGATCTGGTCCTCCTGACTGCATTCTGAGAGATTAGTCCTGTGTTTTCATATAATTTTCCAGGCATGCGATGGGAACTGCATCTGAACAGGATACTCTAGATTCTCGAGCCGAAATGTTCATGACGTTATTTGTCCTGTCGCGTGATCCAATGGCGATTAGTCAGCTAGACCAGCGGCCCAGGGGGCAACTGGAAAACTGTACAGATCAAGTCGTCGTTACGAGACAGGAATATTGCTATTCCGGAGACATTCACAATACAATGAATGAATCCTAGCATTAGTGCTGTAGAAGTAATCAAAGAGTGGTGTAGCGGTGGTGTAGTGGTAGGCTCCCCAGGCAACCTACAGGATGACGATCTTTGGTCAGAGTGCTCATCATTTGGAAATTAGTATCACAGTAATTAATAACGACATTTTGAAGGTATACGGTCATTTTCGGGGTAAATCCCACAGGCCCCCATATTCTAGGTGTAATCTTATGTCTATTCCATCATTGGACGGCACAGCACATGTCAGAATATATGCTTCTGATAGAGAACGAGAATGCTTGCAATATTACTCGAGGTCATGTAAAGCTTTCTTTCAATGTACCATTAGCTCGATGAGTTAGTTATGTGCTATGTGCTAGGTAGGTAGATTCATGGCGCTTCCTTTTAGTGTAGCAATCATCGAAGTACTTGTATTCAAATAAATAAGCCTCCAGTGGCCCTTGACACTGGAAAACACTCTTATCCGACAAAGCGTGTGTGTGAGGATGACCCCAAAGAACAGAATGGAATATCTTCAATCTGAACATGCCTCCCCATCTTCAATGCCCAAGCTGCTTCTTCGCCAGCGAGTTCCGAACACGCAGCGCGTAGCGTTTCATTCCGCCCGCATAAATGCCATCTTCCATATCTCCTCCACTCAATTGACATTCTCATTGTTTGTTGCAAGTTGGGGCGGGAAGGTGATTCCAGTTGGGTCACGACATTCGGACGATCCGTCACGGAGGATTGACCGAGTCATTCGGGATATACGCCCGAGCCCTGATTCCAGAGGTCGTATTTCCCCATCGTTCTCGATGTATTTTCCATCAAATTGTGCAAGAAATCCCATATCGGAAATGGGGTCGATCCAATGGAACCCATGGACGGGGCTGGAGTCCCACAGTAATGAAACAAGCCTCCGACCGAGTGGAGAAAGGGCAGAGCTCCCAAGGCCAGAATATGCGATTTCCTATCGCATAGCCCTGGCTTCTCTTCGTAGAGAAGCGCATATAAAAGCAGTGTGAGATGTTTTCAACAGGAAAATTAATCCAACAGCCACACTCGCATTCTCACTTCTTAGCTCGGATCCCCCGCATTACGGTAAAGAAACACACGATCGCAGCCGAGACAACGAAAAATCCAAACGAAGGCCAGTAAATCGGGTGGATGTCCGATCCTAATGCGGCCACGACAGAATCTTTCAGACGGGACTGGGCGTGGGACTGGGACTGCCTCAGCTTTGTGTTCTGGTATGTGTACCTAAGCGGTTGTGCCGGCGCATCCGTGCCGATCGCTGAATGCGGATCCGGAAGTGATTTTTGAAGCTCCGTCTCCATTTTATGCTGCTTTGATTCCGGCTCCGGTGACGGGTTTGACGAGGGCACGAAGCCTGCTTCGCGCATGGCTGTCTCTTTCAACATGGCTGCGAGCTCATCTTGATCGGGTAGGGTTTCTGGGAAGTAGTATCGCCTATTGTGCGTGTTGGCTGACGCAAGGGATTTGAATGCGATTGAGTTTTCGTAGGGAGTAGGAAGTGCGAGGATTTGGATTGAGTGCATTAATATGAAGAGCAGGGCTAGTTTGCGGGCCATCTTGAGATGCCCTGGTGATATGGTGATATGGCGATACGGTGATAACGGATGGGCGCGGGTGGGGATTGTAGATTTGATAAGATCGACACGCTTTTTCGTCTGGGAGGATATGATTATATATAGAATAAGAGTAAGAGAGTAAGAGAGAAGGAAAAAGGAAGAAAGTAAATGGATGATAACAAGATGAGCAAGAGACGCACGTGGATTCGGATTCGGATTCGGAAACGGAGGTCCTCTGCATAAGACACTTTATGATACTTTTCTAAGGTTCCTTAGCCTATGATTTAGTATAATTTAGTCTGATTTTAGCTATAAAAGTAAAAGTCCAGGCCCTTATCTTTCTCTTTTTAAGGGCCTATCTGTCCAGCCTTATAAAGCCCTCCAGGATTGGCCAATAGATCATACCCTAATGCACCCTTGGACCCTTTCCCCTCAGCTATAATTGTGCAATTTTTCCCGCCAAGGCACAGCAGAAAAAAGCCATGAACTTCCTAATCGCATCCCTCCAATAATCCAGAATACATGGAGCACGGAGCTACATCCTTGGTGAAGCTAAGCGCCCGTGGCGCAAAAGCACAAGCTCTCCACCAGTGCCAAGACAACGAAACACGCCAAGACAAGATTCCCGTCGTGCTCCCCGTCGTGCTCCCTGTCGTGCAACCACTGGCAATATTAGCCTGCAAACACGCTGCGACACACAAGCCGCTAGTGAGTAGGTCTGGCAGCGTGATGCCGTGCGCAATCGGTCTAAGAGTATCACCACCGACACGATTCGTCTACCCCGGGCGCACATCTCCAGGCTGAAGTGTAGGAGGGGTAGCTGAAGACTCGATATCTGAGGTCGAAGTCGCCAGTCTGTGGTGCTGCGGCTGGTCGGTCTAGTGTTAAAATGCCGATGCGAGGTGAGGATTAGTCTGTGTTCTTGTTCTTTATTGTTGACTTGTCAGTGTGGCACACTGCACACACAACAATGAAGATAGATATATAAACATTCTCAACCTGAACATAAACCACTCGATACGCAAGAACTTGTTTTAGCACACACACCAATGACCATCGTTCCGATCAGGGCGAACATGATGGTGTAGATGGAATGCAGCAGCAGGGCATTGAGCGTCATCGACACGCTAATTATACCCGACGCCGCAACCATCATATAGCTCGCCTTGAACAGAACACCCAAGAACCTTGTCAACTGGCTTGTTAATGACCTGTGCCTTATCCGTAATGGAGTATAATAATTGGATGGTTGGATAGCACTTGATTTGGGGTATACATAGTTGGGGTATGTATGATTTAGTTATCTGTGTTGGGGTAGGCGCCTGCCAATATAGACGTGGAGATAGATTTTCAAATCAGTCTAACCAATCCAATAGCTCTATCTTTGCGCTGATAACTCCGTGATACTGATTTGAAGCAAGGGTCATCTTGAAGATGGATAGGATGGATTGTTGACCACAGAAGATATATACTATTGACCGGAGGAAATACGTATCAAAGATCATGAGATATGATGGGTTTCGTAGTCCAATCAAGAAGTTGCTATGGTATACTATTAATATCTCGGATTACACCTGTTCACTTCTCTAATATGGCACCAGCCTTTGCGGGCATCAAGGCCCCAGGCGGAGGAGGGTTCTTATTCTTGAACTCGTCGCAAACCTGTTCCATCGTCACAAATTCAACCCCCTCGTGCTTTTTGAAGTGTTCAATAAGCCTATTTAATGTCAGTCATACTCCGCACAACGTTATCATCACAGCATACCTTTCATGCATCAGCAGCACATGAGGTCTTCCCGAAACATCCGGGTGGATAGTAATCGGGAAGATAAACTCATCATACTCGCGGTAGAAGTAGTCAAAATGGTCGCGCCAGATATCCTCCACGTCCCGCGGGTTGACAAAACCATGGCTGTTAGGCGCGTCCTTAATGAACATCATCGGCGGTAGATCATCAATGTACCAGTTAGACGGGATTTCAACAAGTCCTGTTTGGGATCCATGCTCAAGAGGCTTCATCCAAGTCTCAGCCTTCTGCTTGTAATCGATCTTAGTCCAGGTGTCGCCTGTTCGGAGGTAGTAGGCCTGGCAGTCCTCGTGGCTCATACTGTGATCGTATTCGATGCCATAGTCGAGTAGGAGTTGAGCTCCTTCTTTGCTAGTTTCCCACCTATTTCGATTCGATTAGCACTATTGATATATCCCCAATTTAAGACAACTGTACCAGGGCGCCACGCTTCCTCGAGGAGGCTTTCCAGTGAATTCAGTCAACATCCGATATGTTTTGTCGAGCACATCACGCTGCTGCTCTAGAGACATGTCTGTCGGGTTCTCATGGGAATATCCGTGTAGGCCGATCTCGTGGCCCGCGTCACGGACTGCGGCCATGTCCTCCGGGAAGGTCTCGAGGGAGTGGCCGGGGATGAACCATGTTGACTTGATATCATATTTCTTAAACAACTTCAACAATCGTTGGGTTCCAATTGTCCCTGCCCAGTATCCTACATGATAGTTAGAGAGCAGAATTCCAGAAAAAGAACACTGAAACCTACCCCTGCTGATATCGTTCGTGGAATCCTCTCCACCATACGAGCCTAGCCAACCGGCTACAGCATCAACATCCACGCCATAGGTAATGAGAACTCGCTTTGGTGCCATTGTTGAATGATCAATTGTTCAAACTTGGAAGGGAAAAGGTTTGGCTTTTGAACCGCAAGTAGATGCGGGGAAAGTGAACCCCTCCCGTCGGGGTCGCACATATCCCATTGACAATTGCACATTTACTGATCTACTGATCTACTCATTTACGCGGTGATTTCTCATTTCTTATCAACTTACAACATCCCCGTTACCTCTGCCCATGTGAACTCCATCCACAATGCCGAGAAGTCTCCAACGGAATTGGGGTCCGCTATGTTGGGGTAGGCAGGTCACTGTCTCAGTGAGGTAGGCAATGAGACCCATTTTAATGGACTCCAAGTATACAGTGTTGGAGAATACCGATGGAGTAGGAAAAAGATATGACAACAATGGGGATTCCTCATCAACTGCGACTTTCCCCAAGGAAGATACTATCCAAGGCATATCCAACAGTGTCAAAGAGTGACCATGTCAGTTCTTTTCACAAGTATTTCAGAGTGAGTATTTCGATATTCGGTTATTGCAACATATGTATAATGACAGTTGTTATAGGAGCAACCCCGTCAAGCCGGGTGATGCAGAAGCCCTCCTCAAACCGCTCGGTCTGACCATCGACCCAGCCGAGGCGCAAGATTTCCACACACTTCTCGCAGCAGTCCACGACTGCGCGGAAAGCGTAGCCGCCTTGCCAGATTATCAACCAGTTCCCGACCAGACCAAGTATCCACGGGAGAATGTGCGCCGACCAAGTGAAAAAGAACAGGTTTTCGGGCAAGCCTGGGCACACCGATTTCTCATCCGGGGTAATCCCCAAGGCGGGCCGCTGGCAGGTAAATCCGTCAGCTTGAAAGATGTCATTGCGGTTGCGGGCGTGCCGCAGCTTCTGGGAAGCGATATTATTCCTTCTTGGAAACCGACTACGGATGCGACGGTTGTGACACGATTGCTTGAGGCGGGCGCTGATATTCATGGGACCTCGACATGTGAAAATATGTGCCACTCTACTTCTTCGTATACCAGTGCCCAGGGTACAGTGGAGAATCCAAACGCGAAGGGTTATTCGGCGGGCGGGAGTACCTCTGGCGGTGCAGCGCTAGTGGCCGCCGGTATAGTGGACATTACGATTGGGGGTGACCAGGGTGGCAGTATACGCGTGCCCGCTTCGTTTTGTGGATGTAAGATTCCTTTCTTCCTTGAGGGTGTACGTATGGCCTGTGAGCTAACTTTCCTTCTAGGCGTCGGCCTTAAACCCACTTATGGGCGCGTTCCCTTCACTGGGATTTCTAGCGGGAACGCCATGGATGACCACGCTGGCCCGCTAGCCCGAACAACACTCGAGGCTGCAGGATGCCTAGATGTTATTAGTGGATATGATGGTATCGATGATCGGGCGCTGGGTAGCTCGAATCCAGGCTCTACCAGATTCGCAGAAGCTCTTCAGCAGAACCGGAACGTACTTGACGGCTTCAAGGTCGGCATTGTTGTTGAAGGATTTGATCACAGTGCAGTAGGCCCATGTGTCAAGGGCGCAGTTCTGACTGCCGTCCAGAAATTCAAAGAACTGGGCGCAACAGTCGAGGAAGTATCTCTTCCCGAACATCTGCAAGGACCCGCGATCTGGACTATTCAGCAGCGAATTGCCGGTGCACAGACTCTTTTGGGCCAGAATACAGGCCGACGAGGGCTTTACATGACTGAGATGGAACGTGCACGACTTCCATGGACTGATGCTGGCTTCCAGAGAGCGTTCCCGTCCACAAAGAACGTTATCATTAACGGTCTCTATCTCATGCAACAATTCCCTGGTCTCTACGGCAAGACTGCCAACATCGGACGATTACTCAGTGACAAGTACGAAGCGCTGTTTGAGAAGTACGATATTCTGGTAATGCCTACAACGCCGGTCGTTGCCCCTCGACATGGAAAGCGAGAACTCCCGCTAGATTCCCTCAAGCCTAGTATGGGTCTTACAATCAACACTGCCATCTTCAATGTGACGGGTCACCCGGCACTATCCATACCCGTCGGATTTGCTCCTGCAAAGGAAGATAACCAGGTCATGTTGCCAGTTGGGATGCAGATTGTTGGTGGATTGTGGCAAGAAGAGAAGATCCTGCGGGCTGGACATGTCTGGGAGACTCATTTTGACTGGAAGAAGATGAACTACTCTACAGATTACAACTAGACCACAATGATGTTTAGAGGGGTCTAAAGATGTACAATGATAAGTACAACCCAAACCATTTTCATAATATAATATACAGGGTCATGTATATGAATATTATTTTTCTTCTCAGAGTCAGAGCAAATTAGTGTCTGTGCCTTTCAAGCATTTGAACATTCCAAGTTGTGTTATCTGTATCCTGTCATATCAACGTGTAGCTAGACCGTTATATATCCACCATCAACCACCATAGCATGACCCTGTACGAACGATGCCTGTGTTGAACACAAGAAAAGAATTGCATCAGCCACCTCTTCCGGCTGACCCATTCTCTTCATTGGTGCAGTCTCTACTGCTGGCATAATGGCCTCACGGACCTCAGGCTTCTTCATTACTAGTGGCGTTTCGATGACGCCAGGGCAGACACAGTTGACTCGAATTTCATCTTTGGAGTAATCGATAGCATCTGCACGTGTCATTCCAATAACAGCAGCCTTAGATGCACAGTATGCAGCTATCACAAACTCAATATTGTGTTTCGCGGATAGAAAGACAAAGACAACACTTACGAGCACCTGGGCGACTGACAATGCCAAGTTGGCTGGCGACATTTACCACAGCACCACGCTGAGGTGGACGATTGGTATCATGGCTGGGGAGTCCACTTTGTGTGACCATCTGCCTAAGCTCTGCGCGAGATGAGAGCCAGCAGCCTCGGTAGTTGATGTTATTAACGCGGTCGAATTCTTCAAGTGACATCTCTGCCGAGCGCAAAGATTGGCCAAGGACACCTGCACAGTTCACAGCATAGTCCACTCGTCCGAATTCTTGTACAACTGCATCAATGAATGAATCTGCGAATTGGTCGTCTGCCACGTCCCCGGCCTTTACCAGCAGCCGTACTTCAGGATATGTTGATGTGATGACTTCTGCTATTTGTTGCAGAGACTTTTCGTTGAGGTCTGTAATAGCGATTTGTGTACACCCAGCTGCAGCAAAGGCTCTTGTAGTTGCAGCGCCGATTCCTGTGTTATGTGAGTGACCGACATCGATACAGGCGGCGCGTGCTTAACCTACCAGTTCCACCTGCACCAGTGACTACCGCAACACCAGGAAACATATTGGGGAGTGGTTGAGCCATTTAGAGAGGATAAACTAACGATAAAACAACTAGAATGACCTAAATATATATGAATGTGAACGATGCAAGTTGTATACCTTCTGAGCTCTCTTCAATCTCCAAATGTCCCCACCCTTATCGCTTATCGCGGGCCGAAAGGTCCCGGCGGGCCCCGAGTTGGAGCAGTTGGGGTCGGATCTCCCACCTCGACATCCACTTGTTCAACCCCCAGGCGTCATTTTCTCCAAACCAGTTCTCCATATCCCCCCAATGTTCAATGTCCCCATCACCCCAGCCGAACCGGGGTGCTCGCGGAGCAAGGGCACGTATCTGTGCACACTGTGGTCGGAGTTTCCGACGGACTGAACATTTAGAGCGACACATACGCACCCGTAAGCAATTGCCGGGGAGACCCCCGCAGCTAATGCTAACTTGGCAAACTAGACACCAAGGAGAAGCCGTTCATTTGTTTCTGTGGGGCGGCCTTTACTAGAAGGGATTTGTTGAAGCGTCACACGCGCATCTCACATCAAGATGGGGTGACCTCGCCGACGCCGCCCGAGCCAACGACAAAGGCGGATTTCCAGCCAACCCATCACCTTGCATCGATCCCGCCGCAATATGATACACCAACTAGGTCCGTACCCGTGGGATCCCTTGCAGGATCATCGGATGTGCACCAATGGGCTGGCGCACAGAACACGCCTTATTTAGACCCAAGTCACAATGCCGGCATGCATCCTGCTGCTACTGCAGGGGCTCCAAACCCAGCCATTGACCCCCATACGGGTATGGTGCATGATGCGGATATGCTTCAAGCTGCCCAGTTACTTCTTCCAGGAGATTACCGACCTACAGGTACGCTTTTTTTTATAGTTGCTCAAGTATATGCTTCCTAATATTCCTTGCAATATGCAATACCATCTGTTCCCTCTCGGATGATTTCCGCTTGAACTCCTATTCTTGGAATTCTATTAATCTGACACAAAATAGCACAACCGATGCCCTACTTGCCCGAAGATTTGAATCATTTCCAAGAATTCACCCATTTTTTGGATTCGATTGGCTTGCCGGGAGAATGGGTTCCCAGCGAAGGCGAAACATCTCAGACACAACAGGTGAACCTGGAAGACGTAAGGGAGAAGACCCAAGAGCACCATGAGCGATCACGACGAAGCGGAGAAGGTTCTCGAGGAGACTCGCCATTCAGATCCTGGCTTCCATCTGTGCCGAGGGGCGACCAAAGTCTAGGGACACTATCTGATTCTGGTATCTAACACCTTATATTGTTATAATTTTGTAGATTACTGACAACATCCCAGAACCGCCCCAAAATGCGAAGAGGACATCACGATTCAATGTTACTGAAGACCAGCGATTTCGGCTTGCGGCATCTCTCGAAGAATTTCGCAATGTCATTCCGGATTTCGTACTGCCATCTCGTCACACACTGACTCGGTACCTTACTTCTTATTTTGAAGGATTCCACCCACATCTTCCGTTCATGCACATCCCGACTTTTCATATCAATGAACGTGCCCCTGAGGTAGTTCTGGCTATTATGACCATCGGGGCTCAGTATAGATTTGAGCACCGCAACGCAGAAAGAATATTCCATGTTTCCAAGGCAGTTTTATTCGAACGGATGTCCAGAGAGCCCCGTTTCCCAGCCAAGCCAAGCTACAATTCTGGCTCTCAAGTACCGCTGGGGATATCTCCTTATTCCAACTTTGGCGATCAATCCCTCACGCAACCACAGGTAACAGCGGAAAGAACTGCTGCTTGGAGGCAAATCGAAATTACTCGCTGTCTACTTATTCTGATGGGCTATTCCACGTGGGAAAGCGCTAGATTGGTACAAGAAGCATTCCATCTTCAGGGCTTGTTGGTTCGACATCTCCGCGAGGCTGGCCTGACAGAAGACACAACACGCTCTGATCCACGCGCACCTCTCGACTGGTACGAATGGGCGGACCAAGAATCCGGGCGACGCACAAAGTTGATTGCGTTCTGCTTTATCCATGTTCACAGCATTGCATACAATGCTTATCCATCTTTGCGCAGCAATGAGGTACACCTGCGTCTTCCATGTTCCACCGTCGAATGGACCGCTAGCACCGCTGCGGAATGGGAAGCAGCCCAGCGAGAACGAGGTCCCCAGCAGTTGTTCTTCCAAGACGCATTGACCCTGCTCTTGCAAAAGTCCCGATCAGCCAAACCACTAGACCCCATCCCGGCTCCACTTGGTAACTATATCCTCTTGCACGGACTCCTGCAACGAATTCACCTCGTGAGCGAGCTATCCTTACCGAACGGCAACCACTCCACAACCCTCCCAACAGAGGAACTGAATAAACTAGAGCAAGTCCCCTCCCTACCCACAAATCTTCCCCAGATCCACCTCTAACCATCCAATCCACAGACGAGCTCTGCGCTCCTGGACCTCCGTGTGGCAACAAGCCCCAGAATCCAGTCTAGACCCACACAACGCAAACGGTCCAATCCCATTCACCTCCAGTGCATTCCTAGGACTTGCTTACGTCCGCCTATCTCTAAATCTCGGTCCCCATCGCCGCCTCGAGACCCGCGACCCGACACTCATAGCCAACGCACTCCGCCGCTCCCCACGCCCAGAACGAAGCTACCGTCTGATCCCTGCTCTCATATACGCCGCTCATGCCCTCAGCATTCCCGTGCGTCTGGGAATAGACCACATAGGTCGCAGCCAGGCCTTCTTCTGGAGCGTGCGGCACTCGCTAGCTAGTATTGAATGTGCAGTGTTGCTAAGCAAATGGCTGTTTACACTTGCCGAGGCGGGACCGAATCAGTCGTTGAGTGGTATGCCCATGTCAATGTCCTGTCTGCTAGATGTGTGATTTATCGGCTAACAATTCTGATACAGAAAATGAAACCCGCATTCTGCGCTGGACGCGCTGTATTATCGAAGAGGCGTATTCGTCTATTGATACGGATGACGGCGAGGCGCCGCAAGATCTGGAACCGGCTTCTTTGGGATTGGCTGTTCTCAAGCTGTGGGCTAGGTTGTTTGGAACCAATACTCAGTGGCCGTTTATTAATGTTCTTGGACAGAGCTTGGAAGAGTATATTACTATGATTTGATGTTGATATTATTATGTCAGCCGTTTGTCTATATTGAAACTTTTTGGAATATAATGTGTTTATGATCTCATGATCCCGGTGGATGACTTTTGTTTCTATACCAACCTGTGGAATTCCAATCTTTAAGTGAATGATAGCTGCATATTGTGCCTTGAAGGCTGATCCCTCTATGACATGTCTATTCGATCAAAAGATGGGTTTGAAGGTTATAGTTCTACTTGGCTTAGAGCACTCACGTTCCAAATCCGATAGTGCCGCTCATTACTTCGTCATTCTACTTACTCTCCATGTCTTTTATTTCCTCCAGGGCTGTCTCCTATACGGTTTTCCTTCTACCCCTGCAATATTTTATCCCTGCAAAATGCCGACCCAACCCTCAAAATCTGATGAGCCTCATAATTATTCAGAAACATGTCTACTTTGTGGTATATGCATTTTGGTGTTGGACGGAGGAACAATGAGCAAAGATCCGCTGGATGTGCTCAAGGAGTCTCAATGGGAGATCCATCGCAAATTCCCGATTCCTGAGCATATTCTCGTGCCATCGACCGAAGTGGAGAATAAAAGTTTCTCCAAATTTCCTTGGTTATCATCTTGCTATCAGCGAGGGGGTAAGTTGACGTTCTCATAGAAACATTTGAATTCGAAGCTAAAAGTAAATCAAAGCTGTCAAATCTGCGTATTCCTCAAAATATGATCTCACGGGAATTGGCCCAGTTGCACGTCTCGGTGGTCAGCCATACCAGCTTCCAAGAGACAAAAACACCGCACGAATTTCTGGACGAGAGGCGATACCACAGTATGATGATACAATATTCATACATTTCCATCCAGGAGGTCACTGGATGCATCCAAGTCTTTATAAACACAAAAATATGGGATACGTGTTTCACTATTATTGTTGGGAGATCCTTGGCCATCTGGTAGGGAAAGAGTTGATCGAGAAGACACTTGGTCAAGTTGTTCAGGCCGCGAGGCAGTATTGGCAAACCCATAAAGGATGGGGTGTTACTGACCTAGATACCTTATTTCGTGCCCAGCTCGACGGGATTCCATACGTGAGATGTGAGAGCTACTTTCGCGGCTGTGATATCTTTGTCAATCCATGGATTATACCCGAGGTTCAAAATACAATCCAACTTGCCCAAAAGATGGTTGGAAAACGCAAAAGCGCCTATCTCAACAGACTTCCACTCGAAATCTCCCTTCTGGTGGCGGAAATCATTTGCCCTATCATCTACACTCAATCCGATGTGCAGAATATGCGTAACATGTTATCCGTGTTTGCGTTGAATTTACCAGATGCCTTTTGGAGAAGCCGATTACAATCCAAACGTGATTTGTTCTTCGAGGTGGATTTGCTAGAGACGGATTCAGTGGACTGGCAGCTCTTGTGGCTAGGGTTGATGGACCTTCTTTCCGATAAATGGTATAACTCCAGTGGATTGGCACACCGCGAGCGATTACTTGGACCAATTAGGGGGATAATCGCTAACTTTCAACAAATTCGACAGAGACATCTTGCTGGGAGATAGTGTCAAAGGTTCCCTCGTTCTAGCTTTATGACAGATCTAGTTGTGGCACTTTACCATTGTAACGAATTCATTCAACCAACAATGCTAAAACCGTCCATGTCCTTTCTCGAATTTCTCAGAGCTCGTACACTGCCATGCGTTCGTCTTGATTTCCAAGGTTATACATAGAAAAGTCGCTGCACAAAGTATGCTTTTTACCGCGTTCGTATACACCCAAGAAGACATCAAAAAAGACACATCAAAAGACATCAAAAGACATTTAAAAAGGGCATCCAAAAAGAACATCGAAAAAGCACATCGGAGAGTTCTTACATATAACATCCCTAATACCATCTTCATCCCTATAGATCAGACTTGACGACAGAGGCCGCATATGCGGCCGACTATTCTTCTGATCTTAAATGAAGATGTTCAACCTGTGAGCTGGTATTCAAATAATGAGCATTTACGACTAAGTTGAGAGTGAAATGTTACTAACTGCATTGAACTGCAGCTAAGAAATGATTCAAAAGCCTACATCGATACTATTAGATATGGCGCATCGCCGTCTTTTTGCGCTTTTCTATTTCCCCTTTCCGTCAATTCAGCTCTCATTCCCTAATCCTCCTTTCCCCTGCTACCGTTATCCCCTTAATTCACCAGTTCCACTACTGATCTCACCATCACCGGCGACCCCAGCACGAGTAAAGATTGTAGCAACGTGACATTTGCGGCCAATCTAGGATAGCTCGATCAGCTGCCCCTCCGCGGGAGAGATCACGTCTTCCACGACGCTAGGAGTGAGCAGGACGTCGGCTAGACTCGAACCACCGGCCAAATTATTGTCATCCTCAACCGCGGCAGGAAGCGGGTCTTGCTCTGGACTCTCACCTCCAGCCAGGCTGTGACCGTCCTCTTCGAAGGTCATCAAGTCTTCGTCGAGTTGAGCGGGAAGTGTGTCTTGTATTTCACCCATAGCTTCGGCCAGACCATCACCAGCCCCGTCATACGTAACCAAGTCTCCCCTGGCCTGGACGGCAGGTTCGTCTTCCCCCATATCCGGAACGTCGGCCTGACGATCATTGTCGTCGTCGTCGTCATCGTCGTCGAAGTTGATTAGGGTTCCTTCGACCGGACCAACCACGTTCTGTTCAACTGGCGTGGCATCTTTCTCAGGACGTTTCCCTCTAACTATCAGCCCAGCCCTACGATAATCATCCAACACGGCGCCACCCTGCGCAAATGCCTGCCATCGGCGCACACCCTCAGCATACCGCATTGCTTTGTCCTCTGAGGTGGAGGTAGGGGCACGGATTGGGGCTCGGTCCCGGGTGATGGGACCGATCTTCTCGTCACGATCATCATCGTCGTGGTCGAAGTCATCCCAGTCGGATCCGGCGTCAAAGACCTGGGTTTTGTTGTCCTTACCCATCCCACACCAGCAATCATGGGTGTGTGGTGGAGAGCACACACAAATGCAGGGCGTGCTGCAGCACTCGCGAATTTCACGGCAGCGCTGTTTGCAAGACACCCAATCATGCTCAGAACTAATTACGCAATATATTAGTATTTGAATGCATAGAAATTGTCATTATTCTTGAACCTTACCCGTGGCACTTGCGGGGACATGGATGTCCGCATGGCAAATCCCTGCCACAAGGCTTGTTGCAACCGTCACTGATGGCATTCCAGTCCTTGAGAGCTAGATGAGGCAATTAGATTTTCCCTTTTTTCGTTAGAATTACCAGGCATGACAGGGACTCACTTTCGATGAGGGTTTCTTGGTTGTGTCTTGTGCAATAAAGAGGTAGAGCTGGGCCAATACGGGGGTCTTCCTGATTTTCAGACATCACATTGGTAACAGCATACCAGAAATCACTATGTTTGCTAACACATTGTGCGTTGCCAAAGATGTAAAGACCGTATTTAGCGCGGGACAAGGCAACACAGACTCTGTTGTCCTGTGTGAGAAAGCCGATACCTCGATGATCATTGGATCGAACAAGCGAGAGGATAACAATATCGTTCTCTTCTCCTTGGTATGAGTCTACGGTCAGTATATTGATGTATGATTTAGAGACATTGTGATTCTGCGACTTCTTTCGCATGATGAGCTTTCGTTGGCCATTGTAGAAAGTGAGAACAGTGATACTAGCTGCCGGAACTTTGTTCATCACAAGGTAGGCAAGTAGATTAACCACCATTGATGCCTCGAAGTCATTCACCTTTGATAACAGACTGTCGTTGCTTTCGTGCGCGGTGTGGTCGAAAAAGAAGGATCGTTTATCTCCCATACCAGGAACAAAAGGGTGATCCTCAACTGACGGATGGTCACGAAGAAGATCCCCATAAATGGGGACCACAAGCTTTCTGATCTCTGGCACCATTCGTCTTTGCTCTTGGAGCATGGCGTATGGCATTTTATTTATCATCAGACGCTCAAACATAGAGACATCGAGGTGAAAAGGTTCGCCGCACAGTTCATACTCGGCACATTGACCTTTCAGCTGCTGGTGGTCACCAACAAGAATCAGATGCTGAAGTGATGGAAGGCAAGCGACTGCAACTGGGGCCTCAAGTACCTCTGCTGCCTCCTCAATCAAAATGACTCGTGGATTCAAACTCGAGACCAGTCCTCTGTATTTACTCAGGCCAGTGGTGGTCATGCCGATGATCTTAGCCTCCTGGAGAATGCAGTAGTCCCGTTCAAATCTACCAATTTGGAAATTGGTCGAGCAATCTTGGTAAGCTTGAGCGAGGCGCTGCACATGTTCTCCCAGGATAGCGATCAGCTGCCCACGTAAGTGGTCATAAACAGCACCGCGATATCTCTTGTGAATGTTGTAAAGGTCTTTCTCTTTCAGCAGATTTTCAACCGTTGCCCGAGAGACTTTGGCAGTGTTGGAGCTGCAAAGACCAGGCGATAGTGGGAGAAAACGGGTTCTGAAAGTCGACCAGTCATCCTCATATCTTCCATGTTCGACTTCGATCTCCTTGAGTTGCTCGTACTCCAGGTCAATATCATCATCAACGAACCCGAAGTCACCGTCGTATTCGGAGTCAAACTCCCTCACGCAGTCCGCAAGCCAAGCCGCCAAAGGATCGGCATTCGCAGGGATGTTGGATTGCTGCCATTTATGTGCGGTCTCTTGCAAGGAATCAACCTGTTCTTGGCTCAAAAGATCATGCTCCAAAAATAGAGATGCTGCAAGAGGATTGCTGTTGTTTGATGGTGCAAGTGGTTTTAGGAGCTTATCAAGCTCAGCCGCGAGTTTGTTTTGTTTTTTTCTCATTGGAGTCATCAAACCTCCCTCAATTGTCAATAGACCTTGGTTTTGTCTGATCTCAAAAGGGGTGCGCTTGCGAATTTCAGGATCGGAAGTTCTCCCACCCAGCCGGACATAGTTCTTCTCAAACACCGAGATATGCTTGATCAGTTGATCGAGAGCATGGTTAGTTTGAGCAGTAATAATGATCGGTGGATCCTTTGGCCCTTTGTTTGAGAGCATCATCCTTAGAGCAGCGATGGAGGTGAAGGTCTTGCCTGTTCCAGGAGGACCCTGAATGATGGCCAGCTTTTTAGTCAACATTCGGTTCAGGGCTGACCATTGGGATGCATCTAGCTTTCCCATTGGCTGGGAGGGCCATCGCTCGAGGATGTCGTATTTTCTGGTGATATCGAGTGACGAGACTTCAGACAATGTCATGAAGTCCATGTTTGGGGCGGTGTTAATGTACCCCGGTGCATCAATGTCTCCTGCCAAGCTGCAGATGTGTTCGTTCAACGGAAAACTAGATAAGGTTAGATGGTATGGTCTTTGGTCTTTTCAATGAGGGCAATATTGATTTGTCGCATTACCTTTCCTTTGACAACTTTTGCAGTGCTGTCAGGGTGTGTCGGTTTGCCTCAAAATATCCCGCTCGAGCCTCAACCATGATCCATTCTTGCCTAATGAGGCATAATGGTCAGTATTAGCATCTTTTGTAGATTCACACGACCATAGACACGACAATGGTATCACTCACTGTGGATCAACCTCGATATCGTCGGGCAAGGCCAAAAAGAGATCGACCTCTGGGGGGTCTTTCTCAACCGCTTCCAGCAGCCGACAAGCCACGACAGCGACAACACATTTGCTCAAGAATGCGTTGCGCTTGGGGGTTAAGGCAACGATTGCTCCAGGATTAAGACGGTTTGAGTATGTCCAGGCAATGTTTTTGCCCGCGCGGCGAGTAGAGAATTGGATGTGCAACGCCAAACCCGAGCGGGCTAGGGTAACACCGACAACGAAGACCTTTGATGTAAAAGAGTATGAGGATCAAAATCTGCAATTTCCAAGTCCAAGAAAGTCCAACGATAAAGGAGTACTCACCTTCTCATAGATAGAGACGTCCGGAGTATCTTTCATAAAAGGATCAGCGCGAACCCGGGCCACAGCATTTCGAAGTGGTGCAACTGAGTCTTCCCGGATCAATGCATAATGGGCCTCTAGGTATTCCTCCTTGGAAACCCAAGGTTCTGAAATGAAATTGGGGGTAAGAGCAACAACATCTCCCGGTATATCTGTTCCGAGGATTTCTTCGGTCGAAGGAAGCTCTGGCTTGGTTTGCCAAAGTTTCCAAGGGCCATAGATTGGTAGATCTGGGTCGAAGTACTGACGGATTTCAGGATTAACGGGTCTGGCCTGCTCCTTGGGCCGATGTCCATATTGAAAGCAAAAATGGGACATGATTGTCTAAAGAACGCGCGGGATTAGCCTATAATGTATTCCTGTCGCTCTTCGATCGACCGCACCAAGGCACTTTCCCGCAATGGATGATCCCACACCCCAGACAAATTTTACCTTTTGGAAAGGCACTTGCCGTAGCCGTTGAAGCAGTTAGTCTGTATGAAGCAAGTGAATTTGCCGTGGAAAGTGGAAAGTGGAGAGTGTGGGGGGGATGAAAGGGTGTAGAAGAAAGAGAAGTGCCATACAGCGTCGAAGTCAAATCGAATGCAGAATATGTTGTCAGGTGGATGAGGTCGGACTAATTAATACCATATGTGATAAGCTGAGTGCGAAAATAAGTGAAGTGCGAGTGGGAAGCGACTGAAGTCGTCTGGAAGGAAGGATGTCGAAGAAGGAGAGAAGGAAGCAAATCAAAGTGGTCGAGAAAATGTTTGCTATATTGGGATATTGTAGATATTTTATTACCTACTACCTACTACTTCCAAGCTTACTATAGTATTGCATTCTAAGAAATGTATTTACTACAACATATGTGTACCTAATGAGGTTCAACATTCCATATAAGATCATATTGGCCATAGATATAGTTAAACCCCCATGTTACAAATCTTCTATATTACAACATTGAAAGAATATTACATATCACCATAATTGATTTCTGCTGGTATTGAATATGAATATGTAACATCTTCCTGGAAATAGGTTATATACTGTAGTAGTATACAGCTCAAGAGCCCTTGACGCTCATTGGTCCGCCAAGCATCGGATCCATTCCCAGATTGGTCCATTTTAAGCTGCGACGTAACGCGCGACTCTCTCCTTTGTCTTGTACTCCGGAGCTGGGGCATAATTGCGATCTCACCGTCATTTTCCTTATTTCCGTTTGCGTCGGAGCACTTTGTTTGAAAACTCCCAATCCCCTGCTTCAATTGCGGCGCGCAAACGATAGCTACCCCACAACCGGGACTGCCACGAGAACTGCGGTAATCATGGGTTCAATGGAGGAGGAAGAGGACCGTGACATGGGAGGTATGACAATTATTTGTTCCAATGGCCCACCGGCCGATCGATCTCATCCTTGCTAATCATCCCCGCGATTCCCTAGGCTCCCAGGACGGAAGCTCCGATAACGAGAACGACAACGATATGGATGACACGATGCGCGACGTCGATGATGGCGAGGGTGACAATGAGAATGAGAATGAAAATGAAAATGATCAAGATGGAGATGGGGATCAAGATCCTGATAGCCCCTCGAATGCGAGCCAGGCGTCGGAGGGCCCTGGCATGCAACAAAACACAAATGGCAACAGTGACAACACCGTGTTTGAACCGTTCTCCATTTACCACCCAAGTGTGCGCCCTGAATGCCTCACAGCCCGAACCTACGATGTGGTCCCAACCACCGCCGCGCCGCATGCCACCTCGATCAACGCCATTACAGCGACTGCGGATATGCGTTGGGTTTTCACCGGTGGATCGGATGGATTCGTGCGAAAGTTCAACTGGGCGGACTCAATAAACAGCAAGCTCATGCTGACCGTGGCGCAAAGGCATCCCTTCGTGGATAGTGTGGTCAAAGCCGGAGTCCTGATGACATACTGGGAGAATATGGATGGTAGCCACCTGTCACCGGTGTACTCTTTGGCCAGCCATAGCGAAGGATTGTGGCTACTTTCTGGGTTAGAATCCGGTGTGATTCGTTTGCAAACTCTGCGCCACGACGAAGGCAAGGAAATTGCGCTTCTACGACAACATACCTCAGCTGTGTCCTCCCTGAACCTCACATCAGATGAAGAATCATTGCTCTCCGGGGGCTGGGATAAACGGGTCTTTGACTGGGATCTGAATACCGGCCAAGCTAGACGAGCTTTCGGTGGCAGCGGCGGACAAATATCAGCAGTGCAGATTCGGCCAGAGTCCAGCCTTCCGGTCCCCAAGGACACAATCGAACCACAGCAGACCAATGGCACATATGCATCAAACTATGCTGCCCCTGGTACAGACACCTTCAGCTTCATGGATACCTCCCACGCCAATGGGGACACGGGCCCGGTCGAGAACCCGCAGGCGGGCTCTCCGGCAGACTCACTCTTTGGAGGCGCGGACTCATTATTCGGTGATGCGGATGGCGGGGCTGCGGATGGTGGTGAGCCATCTGGCGGAGTATTTGGGGTAGACGAGGACGATGAATTTGGCCGCGCTGTAGCCAATGGTGCTATGCCGGATGCCGATGCACCAGGAGAAGTTGATGATGAAATTCCCGCCCAACCAGATGTTGAACATGCACAAAGCACGCACAATGAATTATCGAAGCAAGAAAATACTCATACAGATGCGCCGGTCCAGGAAATGGAAATGAACGATGCGGACATACCGAATGGCCCAGTGCAGCCGGTTGTCAATGGACTCCCTAAAGCAGAGGATCTCGAGACACCTCCACCAGCCCCAGACTTCTCACAAAATACGCAGCAAGAACAAGGCGTGACCAGTGATAACACGTTCCTGGCTGCCTCAATCGATGGAACAATCCGAGTTTGGGACCGGCGACAGCCTGATCCTGTCGCTCGCATCACCCCCTATAATTCTCCTCCATGGTGTATGAATGCTTGTTGGTCACCTGATGGGAATCACATCTATGCCGGACGCCGAAATGGCACTGTCGAGGAATACAGTCTTCACAAGGGTTTGAGAAATGCCGAACGAACATTCAAATTCCCACAGGGGAGTGGGCCGGTGACAGCACTCAAGGCCATGCCGAATGGGCGTCATCTTGTTTGGTGAGTAAAGGACCACTAGGCAACAAAGGACTATTTTTTCTAACTTTATACACAGTGCCTCTCACGATATCCTCCGTCTCTATGATCTGCAAAACGAGCAAGGCGACCAGTCTTCTCGCCATTCGCCAGTTCCGTTCCTGATCATTCCTGGTCATCGAACTGGAACTATCTCTCAGCTGTATGTCGATAATGCATGTCGCTACATGATCTCCACCAGCGGCAACCGGGGTTGGGAAGGCAATACCACTGAAGTCCTCCTTGGTTACGAGATTGGTGTGCCGCAGTAGGGAAAGCTATGAATGACGGACATGTAAAAGCATAATGGACCATAGTGACACTTAATGAACGAATATCATGACTTGAAATCTGAAGGTGTGAGAAATTCATACAATTGAACTGAAACAGACAGTAAACAGTTGTGGCACAAAACCCAAACTCTGAAATTGAAACGATTGCCATATAAATGGATGCATATGTATCACAAATACCAACGCCAGTTCCCCTCCATATTTACAACATGTACAAGACCATGTCACATAAAAACCGAAAGATCATTGCTCATCATGAATGATTTCGTCCAAGTCCAAGCCCTCACAAACTTCAGCTTGCTGAGATCGCCAAGTCCCGAAGTAGGGATTGTTAGCCCATTTAACATGTCCATCGCGATCGCTATCGAAATAGACATAGCCAGGCTGATCGGCATCTGCCGATTTCGCTGCTTTGGCAGCTCCCCGAGGCCCAACCACAAGACTACCAAAACCAGGCAACGCAAGATTGGGAACATGAGTCCTTGCCTCAACATTTCCATTCTCGATATTATTGACAGTAATGAGATAAACAGGCGGGAGATCCGCCTCACGGTTTGCACGAAGCGGCATAGGAATCCACGCCTCGTTGTTATAGGACTCCGGGCGGTTCTTGTCGTGGCGGAGGGGCAAGGGCCGAGCCAAGAGCATGTGATCCAGCTTGCCTGTGTCTAATAGTAGACCCGGTGTTTGAACATAGAGGACGCTGTCATACTGCATGAACTGGATCTGACCCAAGTGGAGCAGCTTGCTGTTTGTTGTTGAGTAGCCTGCAGCTGTGGCTGCCGACATGTCAATGGGGAGGAGCCAGATATTGTATTTGGCGCTGGCAGCGCGTAATATTGATAACGCTTTAGTGGCGGATGAGCCCAGCTTTTTAGCTGACATTCTATCCCATTGCTCTGGGTACATGAAGAGACGGTCCTGGACGGCTGTTCCATCTGTGGAGAGTTGTTTGAAGAATAGGATTGCGGAGCAGATGTCTGATGGATCTGGTTCAGACAGCATTTGGAGATAGGCATAATTTCCAGATGAGTCGTAGTTGCGTTGACTTCCAATGATTGGTATATCTTCATCTGCCCCATAGCCCGTGTCTGATAGACCTCGTTTAAGTGGCTTCTGGAATGCGGGGCCCGTTTTGTGCCTGGCCATTTGGGCCGCTTCCTGGGGCTTTAAAGCATGCTGAATGTTCTTGACAGATTGCTGCTGCAAGACATACCCAGAGAGAAACAACAATGTGGTAAATATGCAGATCACTCCCATCGACACAATGGCCGAAACTGTGGAGGGCGTTAAAAGAACCATGGCCACAAGGGAGGCTGCATGGGATGGATAGTGAGAATATGATAAGACAAAATTAGAATTTCAGACATGCATGACCCCCGGGATGATGTTCAAGATATAACAGCCCTATGGCTCTTAATCTCCAAGCAAGTCTTATTGTGCTTGTTTCATGACATCAGGTTGTTTACGTTGTCCGCGCGACTATCGATAAGCCCGGTCTTGGCGGTGTCACTTCCAAGATTTACAGCATTTTGTTGGTCAAGATGGTTATTTTTAGCCGGACAATGATCATCGGCCCATCTAGATGGATAATAGATGTACATGATTCCTGTTGGCGATTAAATGCAAATCAATGATAGAGCAATGTATGATGAGAAGGCAGACCCTATATACTTTCTTGTACAAACATGGTCAAACCGCGGCGGTGATAAAGGCGGTGATAAAGGCGGTATCCCCCAAATCCGCATTATCGCGATGGTCTCAAAAAAACTGCCATAGTCCTTTTTCGCTTCTCTTCGATGCCTTGGCACTTCCGCATCCGCCCTCACCTCCAAAATGGCAGCTCATCGTGCCGATGCCAGCTCCTTCCTCGATAACCGTGGCTACAAGGGCCCCCTGGTCCGTGGCGTCAACCCTGCCACGCTCTTTGAGAAAGCCGTCCGCGACCGCATCACCGAGTCATACTACTGGAAGGAACAGTGCTTCGGTTTGAACGCAGCAACTCTGTGTGATCGCGCAGTCGAATTGACATCCATCGGTGGAACATACGGTGTCTCCGAGAAACCAACCCCCTTCCTTTGCCTCGCATTCAAGCTCCTCCAGCTCGGGCCTGACCGAGACGTTATTCTCGAACTACTCAATTACACCGACCCCGGCAGTGGCGATGAGGCAGAAAATCCAGATGATGCTCTTGTCAAGGAGCGAGGCGACTTCAAATACCTGCGCGCTCTTGCGGCCTTCTACGTGCGACTGACCTTCGACCCGGTCGATGTCTACAAAACCCTGGAACCACTACTTCTCGATTACCGGAAACTGAAGCGACGGGTGCGCGACACTTTCACACTTACATATATGGATCAGTTCGTCGACGATCTTCTCACAAAAGACCGTGTCTGTGGTACCAGTCTCTGGAAGCTGCCGCCCCGATCACAACTGGAGGACTTGGATTTGCTGGATGAGCGAATCAGTCCTTGCGAGCCAGAAGACTGATGAGTTTAATATGGGTTTCAGCGTACAACAACATAACTCCGGAGAAGGGGTAGAGGCTACCGGAAAAGACAAGACCTCGAGACTAACACGTCCGGTTATAGTGAGTTTTGTCTAAGTGGCCAGTGCTGTGCACTGTCCACGGGTGCTTCCCCCATAATCAAACAGTCATCTGCCGCCAAGCCTCGGGACATTTTTACCCTTTTGGGCAACACAAGGGCTTCCCTTTCGGTATACTTGTTCCCAATTCTTATCTCTTTTTGTTTGGTTACAGAATCAATTCATTCAAGATATTGCTTCTCGGATTTTATCCATATTGAACAGCGTAGGAAGCGAGTTGACAGCTAAACCATCACCTCCAAGCATCTCTAGTGTATACTGGTAGACGTCGTAAATTCGACTAACTGGCGCAACTGATCTATACGCGCTTTGTGTACCTGCATCCCCTACCTAGGTATTGACACGGGTGCGGAGGTAGAACATATGATAAGCACATAGCGGCTTTCAAAGAACCACCTGTGACGTCGACCGGTATTTCCTCTCCCAACACGGAAAATCCAATCGATCCAGACGACCAAAGCAGTTATTCAACGCGTACCTCTTGTCACTCTGAATGGATATGAATTTCACCCCCGCTCTGGACATCCCTCATCCAAGTGCAACAAGATCCGAACATGCTTTGCCCATCGTTAGCTCGGAGAGTACTTATTCGCTTTGGTCCCCATCCGTCTATGGCTTTATACTTAATTTTGCGAAACCTCCCTCTGCGGCCCCTTCGGTATAAGGCCCGTATATCGAATCACTATCCACCTCCGGCTTGCCCTAACTCTTATGGATTGAGCCGCTATGGACTTCCTAAATCTCTGGCGAGTTGGATGCATTCTACTAGCTGCCACTGGCGTCTATGCTGTCATCAATCGGACATTTGCCAGATCTCTCTTCGCTAAAGTTAAGCTGCGTGGTCGAAAACATTCAACTGCCCGAACTCCACCGCGGTCTATCTCTCCGGACAAGAAAGTTGCAACAAGCCCAACTGCTCCATCTAGCTATGACAATGTTCTCCCACCCCAACGCAGACATGCCCTTGCAGATCTTAATTGTGCTGCTGCACCCCCACGCGACGTGCATGAAGATGTAGTGCGTCTGAATATTCTACCCATGAGTGCCAACTATAGAACCAGCCCGGGCGACAAGTATACACCGATGGGATTCTCCGTGGCAGACATCAAAGGGCTTGGAGACTTTCCGGACTATGCGACTCTAAGTGGAGTTCCACTTCCCAGCCCATATCCCGAATTCAATATCGAGAAGGCACTGCCTCGGCCGTATCGTCCATTCCGGTGGGCGTATCACCAAACTATGTGTATGTCTCATAGAAATCCAAACAAGCATGATTGAGAACTAATCCCTACTCTGTTCAAAATTAGCCTTGACCAAGCTCGAAACAGACTGGTGGATCGAGCTCGAAAGCACATACAAGAGTCGCATCGCCCAGCGCAAAGAACTCTACGCCAAAAACGGCAAGGAAGTCCTCGATGCCATGCCAGGATCCGAGCTTGCATGCAAGGAGTTGATGGAGATGGTCTTACAATTTATCTGCGCCCGATACCCGCAGTACTTCACACTGGTTGACAAGCGCATACTGCAGAACAAGATCCTCGGCACCGAGCAGGACGTCACAGCCAAGCCTCCTCTCGAAGTCCTTCTGGACAACGTACCAGAAGACTTCGCAATCATGCTTCGTGACGAGACGACGGGATTTTATTTCTTGCGTGCGGCGGCGGTCTGCTCCGCGCTGGGGTGGAATGTCGCGTCGAAGATTGGGAAGCAGCTACATGAGATCCACGAGCCGATTCCGGATTATAAGGAGAAAATGCAGTTTTCGATGGATCGGTATGTTGGTGGCTTTCCTAGGAGAGATCAAAAATTATCAAAGTGCTGACACGAGCTTGGTTTAGCTTTTTCACTAAGATGCCGGCTGACAAGCCAATCCAGCGAGGCTCGTGGGGCCTGGAAATTGGACAGCCATTGTACATGCCACCCGGAGATCCCCATGAACTGCACCGGTTATCTCAGCAGGCTGATTTGACCATTGACGAGTGTCACCTACGGGTGGACTGGCAAACTCTCAGGCGTCTGCCCTTGTCCGGTGCGGTAATTTTCAATTTCAAGGGCCTTTTTACTCCAATCACGGAATTCCGCGATGAGCCTGGCGTACCGGGTTTGGTGATGAAAATTGTCACGGAGGGAAAGAAGAATCTCATGGATTACAAGAATGTCTGGCATGTCCAGCATGTTGTACTTCCTAAGTTGAAGGAGTGGGCAGAGGAGCAGAAGAAGAATGGGTTAGTTCCGAAAGATTGGGAAGTATCTACTCTGGATGATAGTCCATGGTTCAATGGTTGGCAAGAGAAGTGGCATCGGCAGCAGGGATTCTAGGGGGTTGATATGTGATTGTTCGCTATTATTGTTTCTTTGATTGAATAGTTTCATGATTCCCAAGGTGGCAGCTGTTGTTTATCAGTTCTTTTTAATTGAGTTTCCCGGTGTGATATATTCATAGAAAGAAATAGTGATGAAATTCCAATTTTATATCGTGGACCAGACAAGAACAACCTACACAGTCATACCATCTTGTAGATGTTAGGAAATTGAGACCCGAAGTTGACCTGCTATCAACTCGCAGATGACGCTGGCATCAGTGAGGCGGTGACCGACAGCCTCACCCATTGCGGCAGCGTTAGGATCCTGGTGTTTTGTGCAGATCTCCCAGTTCTTTGGAGCCTTACGTGGTGATGTGGTGATAATTGTCTTGAATATAAAACAAATATTGCTTGTAAAAGAGAAATCAAACATCCCTTTGTTAGATTCTGATTATATATAGACAGTCAACATGATTTTGGTGCTGTATTTCCCTGAGATTTTGACTGATGGTAAGTCAATCGCAATCTTGACTATGTCGGTCAAGACGAGGCTGTTGAGTTTAAGATAACCACCCAAATGCTCTATATATTCGGGTTAGATTGACCTTTCTCATATAGTCTCTATTTAATTATTATTATCATTGATATTCTCAAGACCGCAAAGCAAGCTTGCTAGAGGGTTCAATATATCTCTTGTGTCGAAGATCACTCTTTCACCAATTTTCTTAGCAATAGTCTAGAATTCTTGTCGAGAATATCCTTATTGGTTGCTTTTATATTTGAAACAGCTCTCCCTCAACCCTTCTTCTCTCACGGCCATTTTACTTTTCACATTACTCTCACTGCTCCCTATCTATCTACGAGTGCTTTGAGATATCTACGTAGGTGTTTTTGAAACCTACTTCTATGTGAGAGCCTCTCTGATACTGGAGTGAATGCCCTTGCAAATATCTACAGTATGCAGTGTTTTCCTGCTTACAAAGTTTCGAACGGCCAGTCAGAACCTTGCTGAAGCTGGTGGATTTCCGTTTTCTCCCAAGGAGGAACGTTACCACTTTATGAGGGCAATCTTGGGTTACGAGGGAAACTTATTGCTAGTCACCAAACTCACACTGGATACCCACGATTCGTCAACAATGGTTAAGGTCTATGAGTGGTTCGACACCTACGTCAATGCCAATGTCACTGCGGCTGCCGCCGCCACCAGTCACCTTGACGCAGCGTAGTCGCGAGCCGACGGTAACCTCCCAATCCGGCGAACCGAGGTTGTTCGTATCCGCGATAGTATTCACGCGATGGTCAGCTCTGCCAACCGTATCAAGTCAGCATTCGAGAGTGAGGATCATCGCCTCGTTGAGTGATAAGGAAGCCATTTCCGGGCTTACTCGTTTATCGCTGAAAGGAAAACAGCCTGATTTTCACGTTGGCTTCTTCCAAGCCCTTGCCACGACGAATCAAAAGCGACTGAATGTGGGACTCTGCAACTTTCCAGAAACCGTCACCGAGAAAGAGAAATCATACACAAAAGCCCTACAAATTCTTTCCCTTAAGAAGCCCCTAGAGGGAGATAAAAATCCAGGGATGGATAGTCTACACGCAATTCTGCATCCCGGACTAGCCGTCACCATGGAAAAAGTCCGTCAGATTGTTTTTAATGAAACCTAGTCACGAAGGAGTCACATTAGCGAAAATGAGAAAATGGAAAAGGATAGCATGTTTACAAATGGATGGAGAAAGACTGGGGTTTGATAATGACCGTGGCATGTATCTCCCTATCTGGTCACGTTGATAGTGAATGCCACAAATCATTTCCCCATTGAGATCCATCATTGAGTAGAAGAGGATAATTCCCTAGACTATATCATGATTCATACTCCGACAGAAAGGCTCTCTTTTCAATATTGGCCCAACCAGAAGATATGAGACTCGCAGCTAGTAATTATTAATACCATATTCAAACTACTTGGCGGTGACTAGGGGAGCAGGTACCTCACTAAATACTATTATTGTACAGAATGTACCATCGTCAATGATTGGCGTGGCCAACGGAGCCATTCATCCCACTGGGGCCCAAGATACTGACTGATTGAATCAACCAGATACTTGCCACCATCACAGAATACCCAAGAGTGTTTGTGAGTATCAACAAGGGCACCGAAATGCGCTAAGATAACCAAAGCCTCTCCCTTCCTCTGCGCAATCAGATCAATATATTCGCGAGGGACAAGCACCGGCCATGCAATAAGAATATCTGCGCTGTTGCTCCCTGGAGTTTCATTGTCCATCACAGTGATGACGGATTGCAAGGCCTGGATAGCCTGTTGGTATGTCCTTGCAGTAGTTTCGTCGTGACCAAGACCTTTGATGCGATCCAAAAGCGCCTGGCAAACCGGACCGAGACTTGAATTCGCCGAAGGAATCCGAGCTCCGAGTTCCAAGAGCGGTCTCAATGCTGTTTGTTGCAAAAGTTGCCATCTCCCGCCGCCGGCGACAGTGCGTACCCCATGGTGCAGCACGATGTATTGAACAAATTGGTCAAGAAAACTCTCAAAATCATTGTCTCGAAAGACTAGTGTCTCGCAGAGCATGTGCAGCCCCAAAATACCAGCGAATAGAAAGATCGAAACGTAATTTTCGTCATTGATTTGTGCTGATAAGTTGTTGAATGAGCTCAGCGCATAATTCTGTAGTTGAGTAGAATGGTGTCGGTAGAAATCTCGCTGTCCCGGTCTGATGATGCTAAGATGCAAAGCACTCAGAGATAGAACCTCGTTCATAAGATATGGCGCACTAAGGCCGTACCGCAAGATATCCTGGAATGGGATACCAGAGAAATTGTACGGACGATTGAATCCTTTGATAGTTTCTGAGGACATATTGTGAACAAGCTCCACGTGGAGCATATTAACGGGAGCATCTTCCGGACTATTGCTGGGCTCTTGGACGGACGAGGAGGTCACGGCCGGTGATGCAACGGCGGGCGATGCAGTAGCAGTTTCACTTCTAACGCTGCGAGAGGACTGTTCGCTAGGAACACCCTCCAAAAACTCACAGTGTCGCTGCGAGCTGATACAGTTGGAGCATATGGGTCTTTTCTCATCACACTGAGCGGGGTCAGCGGCTGCACATAGGCGGTCGTTGAGTGACAAACCTTCATGTGACGGCGCTTGCATTCAATGCAGCCATTTCGAGACTTTTTATGTGTTCTTCGAACCATTTTTGCCACGCTGTGATATAGAAAAAGATACCGCTAGGGCCGGAAGCCTTGGTCCCGATAAGCGAGTAGTATACTTGAGACCCTTGGCCCTATAGCGGAGATAAATGGTGCAGCCTAGACAGTCTGCAGCCAGCCTAATCTCTAGGCCCACATAAACTATATCGCGAATCCACCTGGAATGTCTTGAATCACTCCTGAGGTCGAGGTGAGGTTGGAAAAATGAGAGAATACGCGTATGCACAGACCATGTATCCACTTTGGTTAAGGTTAAAAGCCTTGGCGCTCGGCGGCTCCGCCGTTTTTGGTAAGTATCCATGGATGTACCATACAAAATGCATCGGCCCTGCCTATTGAAGGATCTAATTATATAACACTAAATATCTTTGCGTAAGAATTGGATACGTTTAGCTGATATAGCGTACCGGCTTTCGCGATATCTGCTATATTTAAATCTCACCAGACCCCATCATTTTCATTTTACCACTCTCAATCTTGTGATCCACTACCAAGAAAAACCCAAACATCATTCATTTCTCCTTTTGTTGATCATATTACCTCCCATTCTACACGGTATGGCGCAGCTTAAGCCTTACAGAGGGGGTTACTACCTCTGGAAATACGTCCCCTCGCTCCCAGCAGCAATCATCTTCTTGATACTTTTCGTCGCTGCCACAACATTCCACTTTTGGAAGCTCCACCGAACAAAAGCTTGGTTTTGCCTCGCATTCGCTCTTGGGGGACTCTGTACGTATATTGCATATTAGTTTTCTTAGAACATCGCTGACAGACTTTCTCATGAAGTCGAAGTAGTTGGTTACATCGGTCGAGCCGCTGCTCACGACAGAACAGATTCGGTGATAGTTTACGCGATTCAGAATGTCTTCCTCCTTCTTGGACCTACCCTCTTCGCAGCCTCCGTATACATGACCCTCGGGCGAATCATCCGCAGCGTCCACGCCGAGGAACACTCGCTTGTTCGGATCAACTGGCTCACCAGGATATTCGTGATGGGCGATGTCGCATCATTCCTTGTGCAAGGCAGTGCATCCGGCCTAATGGCCACGGGGAATAACGTGGAGCTAGGCTCGCACATTGTGGTGGCTGGTCTCGTCATCCAGGTTATCATGTTTGGTCTGTTCATCATCACATCGGCTGTTTTCGAGATTCGCATGCGTCGATCGCCCCCAACAGAGGCCTTCGATGAGCGGATCAACTGGATTAGTCGAGTGCGCACACTCTATGCTGTCAGTGCGCTTATTCTGATTCGAAGCATTTTCCGGGTTGTGGAATATGCTGCTGGGAATGATGGATATCCACTTACCCATGAATGGATGCTATATGTGTTTGACTCTGTGTTGATGATAATCTCTATGGTCATCTGGGGTATTTGGTATCCTGGAACTCTGCCAAGACTCATAGTGCGGAATCAGGAGATAGTCACAGAAGTAGTGGCCGACGTGGAGCTGAAGGGGCGCCGAGCTGAATAGACATGGGCGTACTTCAATCGAGAACTCATGCTTATTGCTACCTTACTTGCTTCCAAGCCTTCTCTGAATAATAAACACCTCAGTTGTGGCAATATACGGACACTAGACTAAATCCTCTAACTCTTTGAACTGGACTTAGCTATATCCCAATAATGACAGTTTGGGAAGCAATCAAAAGGGTGAAAACTACATGTAACCTCATCCTATTCATTTGGACATGCACACAAGTCTGAGGTACCTAGACATAATGTGTGTGCACAAGCAAAAGAAACTTTGGAAAGTGCGACAGAAAAGGAAGAGAACCTTAATGCTATATTGGGACCCAACAGCAGGTGGCCTAGTGGTAACATGCCTCGCATGTGTACTACGAGGGAAGTGCCTAAGATCTTCCACTATCTGACTGTTCCAGTTCGACTCCGGTCGTTCTCGCGTTTATTCCCTCTTTTTTTTTGCTTTCCCCCTTTGATCTTCTTTATTTTGTCACTAGAATATAAATTTCGATCATACCTTCACTTCATACTGGGTGCCTGAGGCATTCAGTGGCTTTCCCTCTCTTTTTCCTTTCAGGCAGTCATTACAAAAGCATCACTGTTGACAAAGCCATAGTGAACATGGCCATACCATACGTTGTTGACAGGCTTAGTTCGCAATGATCTTCTGCAGATCAACGGTCTTACGTTGACCAATCATTCCCTTTACCGCGGATCCACCTATGGTTCGATTTATATGCATCGCAGGGCTGGCGCTACGTGCTTCATACTACGGAAGACTTCATAAAGTACCAACAAGACTGACCTGTCAACGTGAAGAGACGTCACAGGAGGAGGAACAGGCAAAGAAGAATCAGAAGCAGGAGAAAAGCGACAACCAAATTCCGCAGAAAGAACATGAGTGGAGACGAGGTCACGGAGAGAATGAGACGCACAACGAAGCACATGCCACAGGCCAAGAACACCTTGATGATGAGAGCGAAGGGAGGGAGAAAGATCAGGAACAACGCCCGCAGGACAAGTATTCGCCACTGGAACTCTCTTTGTTGCGCCTGTTACAGTCGGAGAGCAATTACATGAAGACGCTAAAAGAGAACGATGGCAAGGTCGAGTCACTCGGCGATTTAGCAAAAGAGCAGGAGATGTCCATTAATGAAGATGACCAATTCACTCCCGACAACTGGATCCCCCGATCTTCCCACCTCATCCGCCTCACAGGTAAGCATCCGCTCAACGGCGAGCCAGAACTGCAAGCCCTCTACGAAGCGGGTCTAATCACCCCAAATTCACTGCATTTTGTTCGCAACCATGGTCCTGTGCCCCATCTGCTCTGGGAAACTCACCAACTTGAGGTGGAGGGCGGAAAGCTGGTCTCATTGACGGACGATCTCGCAAACAACTACGAAGCTATCAACATTGCAGTGGCATTGGCATGCGACGGCAACCGGAGGAAAGAGTTAAATATGATAAGACGCTTGAAATGTTTCAATTGGGGGGCTGGAGCCATTAGCTGCGCGTTTTGGAAAGGCCCCCTCCTACGGGATGTGCTTCTCGCCGCTAGCATCCAGGACCCTGATCCACGCCATGTAAAGCGTCCACGTTGAGTCCATTTTGAAGGTGCTGATGAGCTCAGAGAGGGCAGGCATGTGACGTCCATTCCATTAGCATATGTAATGGACTCTCAAAACGACGTCATTTTGGCATACGAAATGAACAACGTGCGACTGCCAGCAGACCACGTTTATCCAGTGCGCTTGATAGTCCCCGGCTATTGTCGGTGGCCGTTGTGTCAAATGGCTCCAGAGGGTCTGGGTCTCTGACAAGGAGAAGGATAGCTATTTTCATATTTGGGACAACAGGGTTCTGCCTAGTTTTATTCGGGATAAAGACTCAGAGTTCTCGCACACCATGTTCCATCACCCAAGCACGGCCTGCAACGAACAGAACCTAAACTCAATTATCGTGAAACCTGGACATGGCGAGGCGATCCCTTTGTTTGATGTGAATAAAATTCGGACTTATCGTATAGCAGGCATTGCATACGATGGTAGCAGTCATGAAGTCCAGAGGGTGGAAGTGAGTCTTGACGGTGGGGAAACTTGGTTGTACTGTGGTTCGCAAGGTGAGCCTACCCATTCATCGGTGCAAGTGTTGCGCCAGTTCATGATCGACGACAAACAACATCATTTCCGCAATGTCAGTCTTATCTTGGGAGGATCCGGTATCACACCCGGATACCAGCTTATCTCACGTATCATACGTGCCAACGATCAAGGTGTGGAAGAGGGCAAGACCAATCTTAAGGTCATCAATGCGAAGAAGACCGAAGACGATATACTATTGAGGGATGAATTGGATAGATTTGCAGAAGACCATCCAGAGCAATTCAAGATCGCTCATGTTCTTTCACACCCAGGTGATAGTTGGAGAGGGGAGAATGGCCATGTGTCCAAGGACATTCTACAGAAGTATGCATTTGGACCTGAGAAAGGAAATCTGGTGCTGCTTTGTGGTCCTCCGGCTATGATTCAGGAGGCTGTGCTTCCGGCGCTTCGGGAGATTGGATACAAGGAGGATGGAAATCTGTTTGGATTCTAATTTCGTTGCCCCTCAGCAATCGAATTCTCAGGTTGTGACTATATAGCATACCGATTGGAGATATTGTGCCTTGATTGTATTAAGCCTCCGGCACTAGATATCTCGGCGCAATGATGCCCTACCTCTATTGTTATCAACTTCATCCAGTCAAATTATGTTTATATAAACACCACTCAAAACCTGCCTCTCAATTTCCATACACATCATCACAGAGGCACTCAAGCCGTGGTAGACTCAACCTCGACGTGGTCGGTATCAATTTGCTTCTCAGACTTGAGATCCTCCAAGATCTCAACGCCGGCAAGACCAAGACTCTCGTTGATCCGCATCATGCGCAGGCGATCAGCTTCGGCAATGCTATTATTATCACCACCGAAGAAGACATCCAACTCCTCAAGTGTCTTGTCCTTGGTCTCAGGGGCAAACTTCCAAATGAACAGACCACCCAAAGCACTGAAGATGGCGAAGAAGATATAGGTACCATACTTCATTGTGCCCAGCATATCCTTGGTGGTAAGACCAATAATGAAGTTGAACATCCAGTTGGTGGAAGCGACGATCGAGACACCGCGGGAGCGCTGACTGTTGGGGAAGATTTCCTGAGCCAATACCCAAGCGACGGGGCCTGTTCAATAAAATGTTAGTTTGATGGGAGGAATGAGCTAGTTGCGTGGTAACTTACCCCAAGAATAAGCAAAGTTGACAGCGAAGAGCCAGATGAAAGCAATGGCAACCCAGCCTTGCGGTCTGGCAAGCCCCTCGTTCAAGTTCCACTTGGGCTCATATATACCTTCCACTATAGCGACAACAATATGGCAAAGGAACATGCCGGCAGCACCGACAATTAGGAAGGTCTTGCGGCCGAACTTGTCGAGGTAAAGGACGGTGGGAAGGGTGAAGATAATCTGTAGGATACCAGTCACACCAGTGGCGAGAAGAGTTGTCTTTGTGGACGAGAAACCGAACTAAGAAGAAAGGAAAATAGTTAGCTACCATTTCTCGGAGCAAAATAAAAAGTTTGTTCGACAAAGACTGGGTCACTTACCGAAGAGAAAATCTGGGGCGCATAGTAGAGCACGGCATTGATACCAGTGAACTGCTGGAAGATCATCATACCGCAACCAAGGACCAGGCGCTTGAACATGTTGGGGGCAAACAGGGCTTTCCAAGGAGCCAATATACCTCCGGATCCAACAACCTCACTCTCAGTCTCTTCATCAAACATAACAGCAGCCTTGATCTCAAGGTACTCTGCGCGAACAAGTGGATCATTCACCGGCAGGCGACGCAGCTTAGAGATGGACTCCTTGGCTTCCTCATCGCGGTGCTTCATCATCAACCAACGCGGCGAGAAGGGGAAGAAGAAGAGACCAAAGAACAGAATCCAAGCCGGGATAATCTGCAAAGCCAAAGGAAGTCTCCACGAGATGGTCTTCTGGCCCAAGCAGGTGTGGCCGTTGTTTTGAGCGGCATTATACGTGCCGTCACTCAAGTAAGGGTTCGAGATACCCTCCGGGTTACAGGTGTTGCCGCCGACAAACTGCATACCATAGTCAAGCCAGAAGGAAATGGCGGTACCGATCGTGATGGACAGCTGCTGCAAAGAAACAAGCGATCCACGCAGCTCAGGGGGAGCAATCTCGGCTTGGTACATTGGGATAACCATACTAAACATACCGATGCCAACACCACCGATGATTCTTCCGGCGAAGAAGTACGCAGGAGTCTGTGCACCGGCCTGGAGACCAGTGCCCAGGGTGAAGATGACAACGGCAACCATCATGGCATACTTGCGCGAGATACGATCTGCGAGAACACCGTTGATCAAAGCACCAGCCCAGGCACCAAGCTCAAGGGCCGACACCAACCAACCCTGGATCGTGGATCCCATGAACGTGGGGAAGTGGTTTTGGAAGTTCTCCATGACGAGAACAGGACCCATCACACCCTGATCGTATCCATACATGATACAACCCAGCGACGCAAACAAACAAGTGAAGAAGACATATGGGTTTGAAATAAAACCCTGGAGACCGTGAGGCTTCTCTGCATTGGCACGGCCAACCACAGACTGACTGACAGCCATTTTGAGGACAAAGCTAGGGCACAAGAGAGAACAGAGAAATGGAATCCAACAAAAGAAGAAAAACCGGGCTAACGAGGCGGAATATATAGTGCTGGCTGCATTTCCACCTTCGAATTTTTTTTATTTTTTTCCTTCCTGCACTCGTTCTGGGGTTAGATCCCACGAGCCTTTCCCCGGAACTAACGAAAAGAACGCGCAGCTAGAACCGATTCAATATGGGGAACCCTCGATCATTCGATGCCATGTGCCACTTCAAGGGGTTAACAGCACGCTAGGACCAATTTCGAACGCTAGACCGACATTCGGAGATGCCATTATCCGGACAGACGAGAATGCATATAAAATTGTGAGAGGCTAAGGTGCGCCACAAACCAAAAGAAGCCTCCCGCCAGCAGGCTCGGCATTGACTGGGCGCCTTGGATCCGAAATTCTCAGAGAACAAGCCTCCAGGTCTGAGAGCGCCATGGCTTGGCTGCATTGGCTTGTGATTCGTTTTTGAATACTTTCTCGATATCGGTGTCATCTTATTGCAGAAAGGGGGGGACATTTAGTGCTTACCGCACTGACAATCTGGATGCAGTTAGATACAACATGGCCATACAACATGACCCCTGGAAATCCGACAATTGACCGATCCCAGTTATTAGAATCAATCACGACATACAAGCCATATTGTGTGTATCTGTTCAATGTGCCGTCTCTACAGCAAAATATTTGCTGACTACTAACCTTCAACTAGGTGGGCATATTTTACCAATATCAAGGAGATCTCAAGTCCCATTCTAGACATTGAAATCATTAAAGAGGGAGAAAGAGGGAGAGAAAAGAAGTACAGGGGTCGGAAAATATTCGGATTTGCTATTTTAGATATGAATTCTTGAATTCATGGGTTCTCGATTGAGAATAGTTTGTTTCCGATGCTACAACAGTAGCATTCTGGATTGCACGATATGCACGCCACAAGTCGCATTATCCCCAGACGTTTCTACAGATTGGGCTGACTCTCGGGTTGTAAAAATTAAAAGAAATTAATAATGCGGCCACGATCGCCAAATTCGGGCTAGCAGACTCTTGTTTCGGCATTGGCTTGGCTCGGGATTGGCCGAAAACCTCGGGGAACCGATTGGCCGCGTGGTCTTCCAGGGTTCTCGTTCTCGCTTTGCCAGTTCCAGATGCTCGGTGAGTTGATTCCGGGGATGAAATCTGGGGGCCATATGCACTTATACCTTTCTTCGATTTGTGATTCGCAAGCCGACGGCTGTTTTAGCTGGCGTCTCTCCCAGTCCCGAACTTAGCTTCCGACTCTTCCGGTGTGGTACACAACGCCGGGGTATGTGGACGCTAACGCCGTGAAGCCCCATGGGGTCTCGCCTATCTAAGGGGCCAATGAGTGTCGCCTCGCCGGCTTTGAATTTTTCCCGACTCGGGTCTAGCCGAAATGCATTGTGGGATTTTACCTCAATGTCTTCACTTTGTTCGGTTCAACACACGGGTTTTGATACATCACCTCTCTAGCTACCGTGGCAAGGACTGCGTAAAATGACAGAAATGCTCTCAGAGCTCAATATTCAACTGCATCGTGGAATGCCTTCTTCGATCGTCGTCTAGGCACACGAGATAATATACTGCGCCGCGATACGAACTCATACGATGAAGCACAGCTATGTCGAGATCTCAGAGGATTTCAAGACGTGAAAAGTGGATATGGAGGTGTGGTCGTATGCGGACCGCCGTGGGATCCATGGGGATGGGAGGTTACTGAAGAGTTCGCGCTAAAATGGCCTTGGGTTATCTGGGGCTGCCAACGGTTATTTGATTCCACAAACCACTGGCGAGCAACAAGAGGTGAATCGCCTTTATTTGCTAGACATGGCTCAAATTATGTACGCAGGGATTATCCTCGCATCGAGCAAGCCCTGGATAATCAATCATGACTCACTCCTTTCCAACATTCGATGCTTATTTCTTACTTGATGTCAGATATTACCATCTTCCTTTGGTTAATCATATAATGTGATCAACTATCCAAATGTCTCATTATTTCTCTTAACGTTGCAGGCCCTGTTCCATTAACGATCTCTGTGACAACTCTGATATGTTTTAAACTCCTAAGGCGCTAGCTAGTCTTAGGCTTATCAGAGCTGAATATACATGCGCGGGTTATACTGTGCTCACTGTATCTCCGGATCCATGGTGCCAATGCGCCTCTCATAAATCAGCAACCGCGTGCACAATTCTACGAAATTAGAGCCTAGCAATTGCTCTCCAAACTCATGCCTATCAAAACAAATATATGTTTTTTGCTTTAACTTTATGGCACTCAATACTCGCTTTGTTTTTGGGTGATCCCGCATAATTGTTTCAAGTTCACTCATTGCTCTTTATCACGAACCAAAATAGAATAAGATGTAAACATGTGGAACAAACGTACCAACGAAGCTTTCCAAATTGATATCGGTGAATATTCATATTGATACTGTCCATATAGAAACAGTGAAATCTATATATTTTTTGTTGTAGAACGAAAAGGATCCACATTATCTTTGGTACTGTTATTCAACAATAGCATAGTACATTCGCATAATGATGAGAGGTTGGGTTGTTACCCAACAGACCTATCGCTCTATAACCTTCTCGGGGTCTTTAGAAACGCAAATAGGGCTTTCTTGACGACACTCACTTCGAAGTCTCCTTCTGCTACCCGCCTAGATTTAAGCAAGAAAATCACGCCCAGCCCACTGGGCACTCGGAACTTCAGGCTGACATCGAGCTCCAAATAAGTTATTTACCGTGGGCTTGTGGCAATTGTCCTGACTTCTAGCAGCTCGAAGCTGGCATATTTCCTGTTTTCGGCATTCTGAGTCACAAGACTGCACCTTCCAACCTCGCGATCGACGGGCCCAATAGTCTTGAAAGGCATTCTCGTTAGACTCAAGTATAATGGTAAGATTATGAAAGAACTCTGGAGTCAGTTCAGAAGTTGGGGAAAGGTCTAGAAGTGGATCTACAAGAGAACCATACGCCTCCTTGACTGAGTAACTTTTAGTCCAGACGGGTTGAATTTGGAATTCTTCCTTGTCCATATCAGCGGTGTATGTTTCAATGTCCAGAATGCCGAATGTCATCGGGTCGACTGTGTAAATTCGAAATGCTGGCATGCCGGAAAGAGGTGCCATCGAAGGTGAAATATGCGACACTGATACAGCGTTTTTAGCCTCCCGGGCTTGATAATCGGAATAGCTAATCTGGAACTGGTCCAAATGGGTATGCCCTATGTATGAGGTTAGCAGAAAGGCCTTCACAGTGACGGCTAATAACCGAAATGAATTCAATACCGAAGAAAGTTGCGGAAATGGTCGATTTGTAACGATTAATGATCTGGTCGAAATAATTGGACGTGTCATGGAAGCTGTCTGAGCTTCCCATAGGCATGTGACCAATAATGTACACACGTTCTCCGTGCCTTTCGGCCCAATCCAATTCATCAACGAGCCATTGAAGCTGATTGTCTGGATCATATTCATCCATCACTTGATACATCCAAAAATTGAATCTGTAATATAGATTCGTATTGATTGAAATAATGCGCAGGTTGGAACCGGGATGCCTGACCGAGTATCTTCCAAATTTCTCAATGTCTTCGGAGGGTGTTTCAACGAACCGGGACCATACCTGCGAGGCAAGGTTGAACAACCATTCGGCACCTTTTCCCAATTTCAAAGGTGGAAGGGCATTTGCAGGGGACATCTCATGATTGCCGAGCGTGCTATAGGCAACCTGCATTCCTGCATTGGCCATTGCGCAGTATGAACTTCTGATTTCCATAGTATTATGGTCTGCTGACGTATTCCAAATGCCATGATCAACGATATCGCCAGTGAAGATGGAAAAATCAGGCGAGATTTCATGAATAGCGGCGTACATGCTCTCTTCAAGACTTGGCGGGGCGCCGCAATTGTGGTCACCAAACGGACCGGCCGGCGCATCATTATTATTGGGTTCATCAGCAAGCGTGTAGTTTCTAGATGGATTGAGCAGAACAAGTCAGAACAAATGGTCGATGAATTGGGAGATCCAAGGAATTACCTGCAACACATAGGTTTGGAACAATTCGCATTTGATCCTGTGACATAGAGCTGATCAACATGTATGTCTGAAAAATGTGCTATCCGTAGCGGGGCTGGTCTCTTCGATTTTGAGGTTCTCTCGGCCACCAGGGGTCTATTTGAAGCAGCTGAACCCTGAGACTCGCCCTCCGGAGGGAAGCTGACATTAAAGAGCGACACACTAGGATACTCGCAGATGCCCATGAGACCAATACAGAGCAGGATGGCCGCCCTGGAGGTAGGTTCTATGTTCCGGAGAGTGTCTGCCAGAACAGGCCCTTGTAATGCAACTGTGTCTTGGCAAATACCATTATCATCTTTTTGCAGCTATATATAAATTATAGTCAGCAAAAAGCGTATTATGGATGTCAAATATGAGTTTTGATTACCAGCGACTCCCCGCAACTCTGTTGAGCAATCTTCACAAACGCATTGTCTCCCAAAAAGGCTATGCTTTTCAAGTACGCTAGAGTAGCCTAACACAAAACGACGGTGAGTTTGATGTACCGAAACTATGGGGAAGCAATTACTGTACCTGGCAGTTTTCACACTCGCTCAATGTATCATTACCAAATCGGGCGAAGTCAGCGGCTTTGGTTAAAATCACGCAGGCAAGCAAACAAATGGATACAAAAAGCTTCATCTGGACGGTAAAAGTTACCAAAGAGAAAAGAAAGTTGGCACCGAGGGGAGGAGGGCTAAATAGTCAGAGATAGTGCTGCATAACAATTTTTTACTTCTTAATTAGGACCGGTGGCCACGGTGTAGACTAGCTGGAGATTATGCTTGGACTCGGGCCGAGGCGTTTAAACTTCCACAGATTTGGGCTTTGACACTCGGTGTTCGGGCGAGATCATGTGACTATCTTTGATGAAATTGGACTCCACACCCTTAGAACATACTTACCTAGTCGGTTTAGGAAGGACCTAATTAGAAGAGAGCTTAGTGCGACATTAGGATCGCTTGAGTCATGATAACCTACTTTTCATTTACAATGTAGCAAGGTAGTTCACGAGGATTCTATCATGACTACTGCATTCACTCATATTACGAAATCCTTTCGGGTTTTAGGACCAGTGATGTTAGAACTAGGGCAGAGCTCAAATTTGGGTGGCCTACTTGTAGGTACCATATAATGCGCTTTGGTGAACAGAACATGATCTATCTGATTGAAACGATACTGTTTTAATAGAGACCGATGTTATGCATTGACAAGACGTATATGAGAACATCTCAATGTGGTTCTCCGGGTTGGCTCAATCAGGGTAACGATGAGAAGGCTAAGCTCGACGTAAATGTAAAGACTAGTATGAAACAGCTAATGATGTAAGTGAAAAGGGATACATGTTCAGACATGCGTTGATGCAATGGTCTTTCAAAGCAATCTCATGCACTCGCTGGATCGACCAAGACATGTATTGCTTTTACAATTAGACCTCTAACCAAGAAATTCATAATCAAACCTCCAATTCAATGTCGGCGAATTTGTAGAAAGCAATCCATCGGCGATTGAATCCAAGGAGGCACTCCTCTTTCAATGCCCTCAGTTAGGAGATGAAGCCAATAGTAAAAAGAAGACCTTTTAGTAGCCTTGACTTTATAATTTACGGAATCCCTGTGCTCTTACGACAATATGAGCCTTGACCTATATATTGCAAGCCCATATTGTTTCTTTTTAATTTTTATTCCGAGTCTGACTTTATATTTTATATTTGCGCTATTCAACAGCCAAACCGAAGAGCTGAGGTGATTAAAATACAATTATTTCGTCGATGCTAGTAATCCCGGTCGGCAAAACTCAACGACTAGGTGGCAGTTCGGTATAGTTCCCACCGATTTCATTATCATCGATCAAAATTATTCCAGACTCATTACTTTCAACCTGTTTGGGGGGCAAGAAAGCAACACCCGCATAGAGAAAGAGTGTTGAGACAATGAACTCCATCAAGTACTGTAAGAATGCACTGACGAGGACATTTGTCAACCCTGTGATAAAGGCACTGTCACTGGCTACAAACATTGTTGAAAGCCCATAGGCGGCACGCACTGCCAGGAACGGTATGCTCGTAATTGCAACGAGTAGTAATCTGTTGTCGCCTGGTAGCTCACGCTTATGGCGGAACAAGACAACACATATCGCTACCTGGACGGCAAAGACAACCACCACGATAATAGAAGCCGCTCTGTTGAGGTCCGTTCTTCCCATACCCATTCCCACGGCGTAGAGTATGAAGGCAGCATATTGGGCGATATGGAGGAATGTCCATGCTCTCTTATGAACAGGCTTGAATTGGAGTGTCGATTCGCTTAAGAGTAGTCAGCGCAAGTAATAAATGAATGGGTGCAAACTTCAACCGTTTCTGAACTCACAACTGATCGATAATTTCCAGCATTCCAAGCAGCAAAGCCATGATTCCAACAGAAGCAATCACATTGGCCGCAGTATGAAGGCTGGAGTCGTGATTGATCTCACTGGCAATTTGTAAGGCTGATCCCACAACACGCGCAAGGCAAAGCAGTGTCATGTAAAGCCAACCTAGCTGTTTGCCAAACCCATGGCAGCGACAGACCCAGACCGCAACAAAGAATGCAGGGGAAAAATAAATGATAATGGCAATGGATAGAGCCTGGTGCGAGGTTACGCTCATTGCGACCTGCGGAGACTGATACCAAAACTACCTGACGTACGAAAGGGGAGTTGGGAAAATGCCAAAAGTAAATGTAGGATTGCTCTGACTCCTAGCGCCTCTATCCCTTTTAATAGGTGTAGCTAACCTGTTCGGCACAAAATTCAACTGGTACCGAAATAGTGCCTAGTAGAACAGAAATCTCGGCACCGAATCCAGAGATGAGCCTGTATATTTTTTTTTTACGGAGAACCACGCTGGGCTGCCTAGACTTCCTTCAAATTTACTGGGCGTTGAACTCGGACCTCGTGTCCACATTGTATTAATTCTCTATTTTGGGTACAGCTCTGTGATATGATAATATTCCTTCTACATTTAGACTTGCTCTGCGCAAAACTGTGCAACGATCTTAAGGTAGGTGCATTGGTGTAAAAAAGACATCGTGTCATCCCATTTTACCTGTATAACATTTTTCAGTAAGTTCATTTTGTAGTTATACTTGTCAACAGCCCATCTTTGTTTTCGGACTTCGAAACTCAGATTATTGGGTCCTCGCTAACTCATTGATCTTCATGGCCTCCCGATGAACTCTAATTCATCGGGAGCACTAATTATTTTCCCCTGTATATGTCCTAGTTGATTCCATCAAATCTTCCCATGATACTGCCGACGCAAAAAGGGCGCTCAATCCAGCTTCGTTTTCTATTTGCAGAGGAATCGGCCATATGTCGGTGCTATGAGGTGAGGCGTTTTCGGTAGCCGAATCACCATAGGCATCGAATCCAGTAAAGGGCTCTTGGTTAAACCCGTCGTTGATGCAGTGATAACTCGACGTAGCGGTCTGTGGAATAACTCATCAGCCACGCTGGTTTGCCATATATGGAGTTTGCTCATGCGACACATACCCCGTCCAATTCTGTATTGTCGCCGACCGAAATATCTGCTCTGGAAGAAGTATCATGATGATGTTGCTCGCCCCCGACCATCGCGGAGGAGTCAGTCCTGGTATCGTCAACTGGTTGGCTTGCGACATTTTCAACATGTTGTCTTGCAATATGCGCAAAGCGAGACAAGTAATTCCCAGGTAATGATCCGCAAGACGCGTGCTCAAGGAGGCTGAAATGGCCAGACACAATGTCTAGCAGAATCAGATTTTTCCGGATGTCCGAGTGAGCAGGGCAGTGAATGACGAAATCAAAAAGTATGAAGAGAGCAGACAGTGGCATGATAGCCAGGATGCTAATGTATGAATTTAACACGAAGACCTGAGCCATGTCAATTCGAAACGGGAGATACTTACAAGACGGGCGTATAAGGCTCCACGTCAATGAAGCGAGTGAGCTCAACTACCGTTGTTGCCGCATTGAGCATGGTCTGTAGACTCTCATATGCTTTCTGTTTGTCAGGACTGAGGTGAAGCCTCATTCGCTCAAGTGCGATGATGAGGTGAAAATAATAGAAGTGAGTTCGGATGGTGATCTCTTTTGTGCCCATATCAGCAAGAAAAGGTCTTTGTAGTACCTCTTTGGGTCTGTAAATAAGAGGAATTGATTGTCTCCAATCTTCTAACAGCCTTTGAATATGGTCAACTGCCAGAAGCAGAGACGTGGCGGGTTGAGTGGAAGCAGTCACAGAAAAAAGAGAATCATAAGCGATGGAGAATATTCGGCTGATGCGGATAGAGGCCATGAACCAATTGAAGCCTTTGACAATAGATTCTGGAACTGGGGGAATTTGACATCCGACATCAAGATCGATGATGGTCTGAGAAGTTATTTCCCATTGTGATTCTTCAAGGTAGGAAAGTAACGTACCGAACTACTTCTTGCTTGAAAGCTGTACTGCTTTTCCATATGATAAACCACCCAAAATGCTCGGTAGCAAGTAGCAGCGTTGGCATCGATAAGGATGGACTTGTGATACCTAAGTGCAAGAACAGTGCGACTGGCCTCCCCTATTAGGAAATTTTCAATCTGTAGTGAGCACGTATTCATGGCAAAAATTGCCTTAAAGAAGTCAGAGTCCATAACACGATTCTGGTGATTTTGAGTAAAAAGATGGCACGGCACACCATTGCAATGAGAGCCTGGACAATAGTCAGCGGGTATAAAATAATCAGACTAGCTAGAAGCTGACCTGAAGAGTAGGCAGAGATTCCTGGCTTGTGATAACACGAGGTACATAGCTGAAGGATATTTGAAAAAACTTCCAGGCTTCACCAACGCCCGGCTGAAATGAACCGCGCCCATGATATTGGCATCCCAGGGCCATTACGGCATAAAAAAGAGCGCAAAATGCGGAATCAGTATTCAAAATTTGAGGCAACTGGACATCATTAATCATTCCCTCAAAGTCCGATCGATCCAAAAAAGGAAACACGGGATGGACAATTTCAAAGTAGCCTGAAAGTTGATAAGTTTCAATGTTAAATTCACGGCATGGTTAAACCAACTGTTCGCGTAGCTTTTAAGCTCAGCCGACGAAGGCTGCTCGAAGGCCAGGGGTCGCACAATATTCACGGAGGTTATATCGTTGTTAGAGTTAGCCAGCAATCGCAGTCTGATTGCGTTGTCGATTTGATGGACAAGGTCTCTTATTTCAGTGTTCCCTAATCTTTTCACAAGCGATTCAACCTTTTTGTCTGAGAAAAATGCAAGCCCGGAGCTTGGCACTGGGAAATACAGTCAGTTAATCAAAATCAAATTTTTATAGTCGAGGCAAGGTAACAAACCGCGTCTATCATCGGCCTATTGCAGTCATTAATTAGCCTGTCCAAACGTCTGCAATAATCAACATACCCTTAAGACGGAGAATTCATCATACAGAGGTGCCCTTTCTGATGGATTTTCAAACAAACGATCTATGAACAAACTCGTTGGTGGTGCATAGGTATTCAATTGAACTGCTTAAGTCAGCGAATGCATGAGATTGAAGAAAAGGCTGGAAGGGGTGCAACCAGCAAGAAAACATACCGGTCCTCCTTACAGGCCTTTCCTTCGCCTTTCCGAATCTGCAGGTCTCATTTCGTTTCTGTAAAGGGATAAGTTAGTCGCTAGTTGGATAAATTTCAATTCACAGCATTTACAACGCAGTGAGTGCACGCTACGGGTTCTCCCGGGGACGTGATTGGAACTGTAATCCAATAAGCATTCTGTAACGACTTTCTTTTTTTGGATCGAGGCTACATGAACATACCAAGACACCGGACTTTACGATTCCGGCATTGGTCGCACGACTTGCTCATCCGAGACGTCGGCATGATCACTTGGATTGAAGCCTAAAGTCCTAAGCCGAACTTAAACCTTAACGATACAGGACCGGTTTCACGATACAATCAATCACACGGGACCGTGCAAAGATGGGGCCGACTTGTGTAGAATCCAAGTTTTGTGAGCTGACAGGGCACCTCTTTCGGTGCCGAGTAACAGATTACTAATTCAACGTTCTCGGGCTCTCGGTGTCTTGGCAGCCGGCTACGTAACATGGTATTATACCCGCGTCCGAGTTGGTGAGATAGGGTTCAAGCCTTTTATATTATATATTGGCCGAGCAAAAGAACAGGAATCTGTCTTTGTTGCGACTAGCCACCAGCACATCGCGATGATTCTGGAGAGGAATACCACTCTAAATCCGAAAAAAAGAGGCTATCCAATCCCCAGATCCAAATTAATAATTTAATTTATACAAAGAACCCTTGTTATGTTAAGTGATCTATGTAGTTTCTAATCCGAACCACGTCTGCTAACAATGGGACAAAGATCCGTTAACAATGTGCATTGTGCTTGGATGTTTCATTCTACTCTTGAATGAAGACAAGGGTCCCCTCCCTTGAGTTCTTTGTCATCGGATATAATCTCAATCTCTGAGTCTTGGTATCTAGATCTCCAAAAGCTATATAAAACCCCCATTCCTCTGAAGTAAATATGCATTAAGTTCTCCGCCACTCCTTCACTATCCCAGTTTTCTGACTCTAAGTTTCGTCATTCCCTTAGTGCAGTGGTCAAGTACAACTTACAAGTCTACCTTTCCCCTCCTCGGTACAAAGAACGCTTTCGAGAGTCATGTCAGCTAACTACAACTGGCAGGCTGTCCACCCGGTCTACAGTGTACCCATTTCCGTCGTACAAGCCACCGAGCAGCCTGCAATCCGCTGCGACGTTCGTCAGAGGCACAACCTGCCTTCTAGATCATGGGCAGTGCGTATTTCCGCATGGGTCAACACTAACTATTTCTTATGGTCTTTGTGCGCTGGTCTCGCCGGTTATCGCTCTGACGAGGAGTGGACGAATACCTTCGAGACCCACTATCGGAAGACCTGGGATGAGATCCAAGCTAGAGTCCAGGAGATTGATAGCCCTTATAGGTTCGCTATACCCATCCCGATGCCCCCAGTTATAAAGGCTGTAGTCATCCACCACCCCGAGAGTGGCCCTGCGGAGACATTCACGGTTCGCCCGGAGGCTCGCCCGTCCTATCTTGTCCCTCAGGTAACGAGTATGTCTCCGGATGCTGTATGGGGACTCTTGCGGTTTGTGACTGAATGTCAGTCCCCTGTGCCTGATCTATTTGACGTAGTGCTCGATATGTCGCTGCCAGAGCCCTCACACCCTGTAGGTACACAGATTGACCAGAGTGTGGCCAGACAGAGCGTGGCCAGACAGAGCGTATCTCAAGACGACTGGGAGGATGATGTGGTAGACACATACTAGAGGTTTGGAAATTGAGATCAAGTATGAGGTAAGTGCTTTGTTTGTTCCTTTCTACTTTATTTTATATAAAATATTTCTAGCTCTCTCGAGAAAAGGAAATCACTATTTATTTTGATTATTAGCTCTCTAGAAATGATTAAGTAACATAGTAACAGCTTAGGAATCGCAGTAATACCTAGATGTGAGATTTGTAAGGGATTAATAACTTCTAAGCATCGCTTGAAGAAGCAGCCTATTAAACTACTCTATCATTGCCTCGATTGACTCCAACTCCGTCTATCAATTAGGGATGACAATCCGGCTTATAACTCACGCGTGGATCATTTTCGGTGGTTTTTATATTAATTTAGTGAAATGTAGAAGTAAACAAAGGGTACATAGTAGAAAGTATGTTGTGGGTGTAGGACAAAAACATGCTGTTGACTTAGAGTGGCAGTATGGAGGCTTTCATATCGTCCATGTACCACGCCAAATCACCTGCTCCATGCTGATCATGCACACTTTCACCGTTTCCTAGAAACCGGAACCGGTTCTTAGAGCGGTACTCAATATTGAAGTGCTCGCCACCGATGTTTTCAAGACAGTCTTTAAAGTGCAAAACCGAGCCTGGATATACCCCGGTGACATGGCCTGAACTTTTTCCGTTTTTGTACCAGCTCCGACACTCATCCGACCAAACCATACGCTTGAGGAACTCCTGGCAGTAAACATTGTAGTCTTCCATAGCTTCCTTTTTGACATCAATTGACCTGTGTGGAATATGTTAGGGAAACGCTGGGACCCACGAAGACCATAATGACTCACTTGATATCCTCTGCAGAAATCTTCTTAGCCCAGCGGAGAATGTAATCACATGTCCAAGAGACCTGCGTCAAAACCGAGCCATGGGAGATTGGGCAATTGGGCCCGTTGAAGATAAAATAGTTCGGCATTGTGTCCACTTGGACCGCAAAGAAAGCCTCGGGGTTAACTTTCCATCGCTCTTCCAATGTAGCTCCATGGCAACCAATCATCTTCCAAGATGGAATAAAGGACGTGTCAAACCCTGTGGCACAGACTATTACGTCAAATTGTTGCTCATCGCCTGTGACCGTTTTGATACCCAGTTCTGTGATACGCTCAATCGGATCGAAGGTGAGAGTTGCGTTGTCCTTGGAAAAAGCCTCCAGATACCCATCTCCTGGTGACAAGCGACGGCAGCCAGGACGGAACTCGAGCGAAAGCATTTTTGACAAGATTTCTGGGTCAGAGATTCCTTTCATTCGCTCCGCCATTTGTTGCCGGGAAACCTCTGTCAACCCCAATTGCATCGGGTGGTCTCTATACATACCATAAAAGAACCCATTGACACTGTACTCAAGATTAGTTTAGTTCTAGCAATCTGTTGATTGGTAGATAGAGGGGTCGGCCCTATGCGGACTTTGAACTTGCCTGGCCTCTAACTCTCTTCGGTACTTGAAATGAGCTTCGGTATCTTCCGCGAAGTGTGCTTTCTCCTCTTCTGTGTAGGGGAAATTGCCCCCATCCTGTGTCTTATCCGCACAGAAGTTGACAGAAACCCAGGTCGGATTGCGCACAAAGTTGGTAAGCTGGGCGACCTTCGGCTGCATTGCAGCCACACATTGAATTCCGGAGGAGCCATTACCAATGACTGCAACACGTTTGTTCAACCAGTCGTAGGTGTTATCCCTAAGTATGACTCGTTAATAATCTTTGCTTGATAGTTCATAAACAACGTTTGCTCACCAGGTCGAAGTGTGAAGCAACTTCCCCTTGAAACTCGATAGTCCCTCAATGTCAGGCCAGTTGGTTTTGCTAGCCGGAAGATCACCGTTAGTAAGTGGAAACAATATCGAGGATAACTGATTCTCACCTCAAAAAACCGGACGCATTGACCAGAATATCAGCCTCGTCATGCAGGATTGTGCCAGCTTGATCTACCTCCACTTTCCACTTTCCCAACTCATCATTCCACACAGTCTCGGTAACACGGGTGTTAAACTGGATGTCTTTGTCCAGGTTCCATTTCTTTGTCGTTCGTTGGATGTACTCCTCAATCTCGGGACCGGGTGCATAGAAGTGGGACCAGTTTGGATTAGGCTCGAATAAAAATGTGTATGCATCTAAGTGGATGTCAATTTTGATTGGCAAAGAGCCACTGGAGGATCGATCTTACGGGCAGGGACGTCACTAGATGTGTCAGATAAAACAGTCATGTTTATTAGACATATAGACAGACTACTCACCAGGCGACACCAGGATAGGTGTTCTCAAACCACGTTCCGCCGACTTCAGGATTCTTTTCATAGATCTTCAATTCCACGAAGTCGCCGAGCTTCAGCTCATGGTCGATCTTGTGGGCAAGTGTCAAACCCGAGTAGCCTGCGCCAATACAGATTATCTTTAGTTTCCGTCGTGCATATGCAGGTTGCTCGGCACAAGGGATCCAGTTGGGAGGGGTCTCGCCGTTAGCAACACGGGTAGCACATGTTGGGACAGAGGCAGAACCATTTTGCAACCCATTTGAAGTGAGGAGGTGAGACATGTTGAGAGATTTGGGGGGCTGAGGCAGTGAATTGTCGGTGAGTTTCTCTTATAATGCTACGATAGCTCCCACGGAAACTATTATAGAATAGAGGAAATGAAGTAAAATCCAGGGGGCATACGGAGTGATTAAGTTATTTTTTTATTTTATTTGTTTCTTAAGGGGGGGGAATGGCTTAGGTCTTAGGCCTCCGTTACTTTGTACTTTGTACTCCGTATACTTTAATAGCGTCAGTTGAAAAGAAGTAGTTGGCTGTTAGTAAATCCCCTAGGAAGATCCTCTCCACACTAGCACCGCGAGGAAGGTTAGTCCACCGGACCTAGGAAGTATGTACTTATGTACTGGCTTTCCCCACAATTCTAACTCGTGTTAGTTGGTATGACAGGTCGCGACGGCACATAGCGCCACCTCAAACCAGGTTTCGAAGCGAAGTGCAGAATTAAATCCACAAGAAAAGAAAAAACGACAGCAAAACAACATGCCTTCGTTGTAAGACTTGCTAGACCTTATTAAATGAAATACATACGAGCGTTGAGAACAATAAACTGCCCCCAATGTACCCAGTCGCTGCTACAACGTACTGAGTATTCCATATCCGTACTGCGCAGACATTTCTACATAGGTATGATTCCCCAATTGTTCCTATGCAAGAAATTTACCTCTTCTTATCTCAATTCTGAATTGTCCAGATGGTACATGTGACGATGACATATTTTGTTTCACATTGTACACAAAGAAAGGCAAATGTAACGCACCTCAAACTGCAATACAAGATATTCGTAATCAACAAACTAAGGGACTCTCCATCTCTTGGAAGCCCTTTGCGATAATTGAATGCCAGATCGTCATTTTTTGCCTGTTTTATACTTGTCCCATGTCACATCCACATCTTGTTGAACTGTGATAGCACAACTAGAGTCTCCTCGCTCCATATCATGGTGATCACTCACACCCTCGTCCGTCAGCGACCGAGTTGCATTTATATCGTTCATTAATTCCACGTCATCTACACAGCCAAAGTCATTGGTACTGAATAATGAGTCCTTGGGTGGCTTTTTTGCTCGGGGTTTCCGGGGCCAAGACCTTGTAGCAGATGAATGTTCAGCGCTTGGATCGGTGCTGCGACTGTTTGATGAGCGCCCTGTCCGAGCTTTGGACCACCACCGACGAAAGAAAGGTCCAAATGTTGGAAGACACGCGCAGATGATCCCAACAAAAGGCTCCACGCATGACCAGATAAAGACAGGTGCCATGGTCCACGTAGCATCTGTTCCGTGGGTGTTTTTCTGAAGTGCGATGATCCGGCAAATACTTGCCACGCAAACACTGAGGTCAATTAGCCAGGGTCAATGTTATAGTACTAGGAGCGAAGGAAAACGTACAAACTTCCTAAGAGCAAGATGCCCATGACTGCTACCTTCTGCGACGATTGCATCTGCAACTTGTAAATTGTTGGCATCGGCATACACAGTATTATCACATCAATCAGCATAGCACCAATTCCATTGCCGAAAAAGAATTTGGGCACATCAATGCATACACCAGTGGCTGTTGGATCAGTATAGGCGAGCCAGAAGTATGGCAGTGGTCGACAGGCCACTGCAACTGTGACGATAATGGTGACCCAGTACCCAATAACCAAGAACATGCAGATGCCTAATGACCAGCGAAAGTTGAAGATGCGGCCGTAAAAGAAGACGATCGAGGATTTGGTAAAGGTGACAGCTGTGGCGTAAATCATAACATAGGCAAAAAGTATCTAAATGTTTTGTCAAAATCTATCCCATGCACTTCGTTCAGCATTTCCCTTACTTTCCAAACAGTGATAAACTCTCCTTTGGTCAATGATTGCAAATGATATCCATTTCCATATGGAATGCCTAGAGAACCTGGTGTAAGTGCTGTGCCCATTCATTGACTATGTCAGGGTTCATTTTTGACTCACTTATAAAGCAGGATATTGCTGTGCCCCAAGAGAATAAAAGCGCTGCAATGATTAGGTAGTCATCGACGGCGAATTTTCTCGCCTCTCTGGTCTTCATTGGCGCCACTAGTCGCAATATAACTGCAGTGGTCCCGAGCACCGCTACAGGAATAACTGCTCCCAACAAGTTGCCTGTCTGATTCTTGGTCAGATCTACCCCAGGCGGTGCTGGACCAAAGTCACCTGTAGCAGTGACGCTGGGCATTTTGGCGTTCTTGTGGTAGATGAAAGGGAATTACAAAAGAATAACCCAGTTCCGCAGATCTGAAGATATATAACCTGGCAGCTCGGATAAACCACTCCATATGTATTCTGATTTTTAAAAATCAAGGCGGTAATTTAGTAACGAAGGGTCTATTGGGTCAAGGGGTTTGGTGTTTGGTCTTAACCTATCCAAGAAGCTAGAACTCGTAATGATCCGTGGACATGAGAATGAAGTTGAGAGATCTCATTTGATATATGTCAATATGTGTCGGTGTACGAGCATAGGGGTGTAAGTATCGGAGCCACTACTATACTAGTAGTACTCCGTAGTGTAAAAGTACATCGTAGGGCCTGGGCTCGGACAATGGGCTAGTCTGGTCGACACTTGACAGTTAACGGTTTTTCAAATACGATCCATGGATGTGACCAACGCGCCGGGGCCCCACAACCCGTCCATTTGACAGCGGATGTGCCCCCCGGGCCGCCTCCTTCCAAACCTTGGAATACTCCGTACTTTTGACGTCTGTAGATGTTTCAAAAAGCTACCAGCCCTAGACTCGATTTTGACACAATCAGCAGGGGTATCCACCCTCGCCACCCCTATCCTCTACTACTCACTCCCGTCTAGGGGTTGAACAGGGATTAGCTGTGACCGAGCACAGCCCTAACAATTTGTAAATAAGACGTGTCCTTTCACGTTGTCGTTTTATGTTGTATCTATCGGTAAATAAAAATGTTTATCCTTGGTTGAGAATCCTGATTAATTCTCTCAGTCACATCAGCCTCGGCCGAGGATTTCACCGCCGTAGTCGTCAAACTAAATCAAGGAGAAACCTAAATTCTATGCTGCAAAAGTCATACTGGAATATCTTCAATTTGCTTACTTTTGTTATATTCCTTGATTTTAATTCATCTATGCAGTTATGGCGAGGAACCTAAGAGTTATTGAGTAAGTCTCTGGTAAGCTGTCGATTTCCTCGGCCCTATCTGGTGAACTTTGTCTGCACAACAAATACATACAATAGTCTGAAGAGTAAAATAAAAATTAGCGTAAACACTGGTTTTAAGAACAGAATGATGATCTTATCTCAGGGTAGGAACCGGTGGATGTGTTAGGAATTTCAAACCTTGTCCAGTGGCGGCAACTGGAAAACAAACAGTGCCTCGATTTTCACGTTCTACAATATGCGGTGACATTGCAATCCTTTCCAACGTCCCTTGCCAAAAGATGAAACGCAGCGTTGAATAGCGGAGGAATTCTTTCCAAAATAAGTGCCATCAATTAGAACTACAGATGAGTTTTGTAGCTCCCATGAATAATGCGCTATAGGTCTACTTTGTAACATTCTGTTTTAAGGCGTAGGGGAAGAGATTTGAGAGTGTCGTGATGCGCTGTAGATGGAGGTGATTCCCCAATATCTGTGTGGCAAGTATCCAGCCTAAGCCCTAACCTAAAGCCCTAATTCCACTAGAAGAGTTAACTTCTTCCAAAACACGACCAGTCCTTGAACAATTTCGATACCAATGGAAACTAAACTTCAGGTGAGCAGCTGGCTCTATTTAGAGAGCTTTTTCGGAAAGGCGAAGCGCAGAGTGGGAAGCACCAGCCCGATATAGGCAACAATGCGGTACACAACCCCAATTGCGACAATGACACTGTATAGGTAAAGCGCGTACAATGAGCATCAATTCCTTAAATGAAAATTGGGATCGAGAATTGGAAAAGGATACGCACCCGAGATCGAAAGATGTTCTTCCAGTCACATAGCCGGCAAATTTTGCAGCCGCATCCACGTCATATATATGCGAAAAGGGCACTGTATGTTCACTGAAAAAAGCTTCGGAGTACCAGGTCTGTTCTTCTTGTTTTAGTCACATACCGCAGGCAACTTATTAGGACGGAGTCATAAGGAATAAGCCTTACCCCTGGACAAATATACCACAACCATGTCATATGCCACGACTTGACAAGTTCCAGTCGTGGACCAAAGCCGTCCAGGATACCCGAGATAAGGCTTGCAAGCATTGCCAGTAATAACGCATCTTGCCGCCGGACGAAGGATGCCACAAGGGAAGCTAGTCCGTAAATGCCTAAATATGTGCACATCAGTTTCTCAAGCAATTTCGAAAGGGTTGGATGACTAACAGAAGAAATAAACTGCGTTAAGCAAAAATAGGACATGAAATGGGATCACTGAAGTTGCGAGAATCATGTAAAAAGTTGTGAAATGCAAGGATGATACCAGGATGCGAGGCCAGGTGGCTAGGTCCTTCCCAATAAAATAGGCACTGGCTGAATGGCCTGAATGGACTTCTTGGTAGAAAATAAGCTCTGATGCGAACGATATAGTCAGTAGGGTGGGTGACAATTAATTTTGTAAAATCTTACTTACTCTCCTCTGCAATTGTTTTTATCCCGGCCGGTGCGGCTGCAAGACCTAATAAATGATGAGACATGTCAATAATCGATTTCAGTCTTTTTGGATACGGCTGTTGTCGACTGATAATGGGTTGACGCACTAATTGATAAGCTGCAAAGAAGGCCCACCGTGGGGACGACAACATAGTTGACTGCACTGGACAACGGCTCAAAGGGCTGTCGAAAATATCCCTGGAACAAGTGTCCCTTATGTTCGTATACTGATAGGCCCATTAGAAGGCCGGCGGATGCTCCGGTGGCCATCTCCAGAAGAAAACTGAACACCTGCCGACGTTGCTGCCTTGCACCACAAAGCGTATATAGAAGTACTTGACGATACCAAGTCGCCTTTTGTTGACCAAAAGACTTGTTCAATTCTGATACACGTCGAGAATCGCCGACCATAGAGTGTTTCGAAAATATTGGCCAGTTAATGACCTGACTATTACTGCGTTGAGGAGAGGGCCAGGGGAATGCTGAGCATAATTGCTGATTTGTCACCACGTCCATCATGGCGTCAGCAGGGTTGTATCCGTTGGGGAAAGAAAAATGGAGTGCTTTGAACTGCGCGTCTAATGGAGCCACCTCTCCCATGTATATCGATTCTCCAAAGTGCAAGAGGAGGATGTCGTCCAGAAGGCGAAATATATCTGCGCGGGGCTGATGAACCGCGCAGACGATGGTGATGCCAAAGGTAGACAGGGTTTTAAGCAGGGTCATTATCGACAAAGCGGCCGTTGCATCGAGTCCAGAAGTTGGTTCGTCCAGAATAAGCGCCATTGGCATTGCAATAATCTCCTGAGCGATGCAAACTCGCTTGCGCTCCCCGCCAGATATGCCTCTATTCTCAACACTACCTGTAAGCCTATCTTTCACGTGAGACAAGCCGAGGTATGCGATCATTTCGTCAACATGCAACCTAATTTTGTCGTCATTCAACATCCCTCCAAGCCGTATACGCGCGGAGTGGAGAATATTCTCTCGGACGGTGAGATCCGCTAAGGCACAATCATCCTGCGAAACGAAGCCAATCAAGTGCTCAAACCTAATGAATGTCAGAATTGAATTCCATGGCAATGGAATTGGACTTACTTGGTGAAATTACGTTGTACTCCATTGATTGTTGTTGATCCGGCCGTTTGCTTGGTTTTTCCTGTCAGGATATTGATGAAAGTGGCTAAAGAAAGGTTCAGCATCCGATACATTCAAGGGTCACATCCAACACATACACTTTCCGGCGCCAGATGGCCCCATGATCCCAACCATGCGGCCTTTCCTAATCTTACCTGAAATTCCTTGTAGGATTGGACGAGACACACCACCAAGCGTGTATTGTAATTCGTGAAAAGAGAACTCCAGACCTAGCTCGTCCATCTTTCTGTCATTAACCAGCTGCTTAAAAAGAGAGCCTATCTGTGAGCCCTGGTTGTCTTCCTCGGTTATATCATCACCTCGCATTGGCGGCTCTTTTTCGTTGAACTCGTTCTCTGTAACTTCTTCAACGTCCGGGGGTTGTTTGGTCTTTTTTCTTGCCAGTCGAGCTCCAATTCGTTCCGATGCTCTGTTGGATTTCCATTGCGTTGATACAATAGCTGATATAACACAGAGCAGGTATATAGCCGCCAAAGATACAAACCCAATCAGAGAAATTTCTCGCACACTCCCATCGGGGCAAATCGATAGTTTTGTGCATTTTATCGGATCATAGGTGCCTTGGGGACAATAGTGGCCGCGTGGACATCGAATCTGTTTCCGACCACCAGGCGGGCAATAGTATCCCGGGGAGCAAACGATGGGCTCATAGATACCTTGCGGCTCAGGACATATATTTTGGAAAGATTGCAACCGAATGGCTTGGCACTCCTGTGTGGGTGGGCAAAAGGCTGGTGGGTTCTCCGCTGTTGTGTTCAGACCTGTCGACGGAAGAGCAAATTTAGCGATTGGACATGTGAAATACAGAATATGTTTCCACTGAAGAGCGGCCCCGGAAAATAAAAATAGAAAATAAAAAACAGAGGGAAGGGAGACTAGAATCAAGTTTACATACAAAGAAATCCCAGACTACACGAGTCAATATCGGTTAAGGGAATTTGTTCTAGCCCCGAAAGACAAGTTGAGTTAAACATAGCGAAAAAGGAAATGATTCGGCTGAAGAGGGCTGCCTGCCAAAATATAGGCTCGGAGGCTATAAAGGGAGAGGCAATCGATATATCCGGTATGGTGAAACCCGCTGATGTGAGAAACAAAATATATATACGTGAGGCAATGCCATAGAACAACCCCATTTGTTAGATTAAGATATCTTCTTGACGTACACACTGCAATGAACGAGTTTGACAAACTACGGAGTGGTAATATCTCAGTACTTGACAACTAGGGTTACATTACACCATCTCCACTTGCTAATGATGTATAACTACATTCTTTCAACAACTTGGTCATATTCCGAGAAAGCCCGTTGCAGATCTGCTACAGGGACGTTGGAATTCAACCACTGATGGCCCAGATCATGGCCACTTTATTCTGAAAGAATGGGAAGTATGTCCAAATAGTCTCAGGCAAGTAACTCCACAATAAATCAAATCGGGTAAGGTAAACATTATATGGCTGAAACCAGCCACGATGAGTGGAACCCTAGTCCACATGAACCTGGATTACGGATTGAAAACAGAAATCATTCAAAGTCCCTCGCCAGATATGGCTCGTTCTGTGGTTGTATTATTCCGTTACATTTTCCCCCAGTTTCACTCTTGTTTCCTGGAATGGAAAATATTTCTCAACTTAGCTGCCAACTCTGTGATCCATTCAACTCCACTTGTATTATTACTTGATGTGTCTGCTGTTACTGGACGCGTAGCAGTCCCCGATATCTGATACCACCTCCATTCGGCAGCAATGAGACGATAGACCGACTCTCCCTCCACTCGGTCTACCCGTGAGGAATAAAATCCCGAGGATGAAGTTTCAATGATTAAACCACCGTCTAAGCCAAGCTCAGTACCACTGAAAATCAAGATCATATGCATTGGCCGATACGGACTGGAACTCACATTGCATCATAAATGTTAATACCAAGTCTGCTAATTAGTCTGATGAAGTCAAGCGCGGTAACTTCTAAAATATAAATACCTTTTTGACATAAAAGATCTGGGATCTTCTGCTTTTTTTTTACTTTCGACCGCCCTCATCCGACGATTTCTCTAGTTTTCCCTTGATTTTCTTTACGAGAAAAGGTTAGAAAAAGAATAAAGCAATACAGAACTATATGAGACAATGAACAACATATACAGCGCAGGTTGCAAAGAATACCTCGATCCAAGCTCGCAAGACGCCCCCACCGACTCCCTTTATCTAGAGTGTGTGGTACTGTCTAGAGCCAGTTGCCTTTCTGGGCTTGTGATTTCTTGCCTCTTGATTCTTTGCGCCTTCCTGTACCGGTATATTCTCACCCCTTCCTTCTTCAAGAAGTATTACGGGGGGATATATTCGGATCTTCAACCACGACAACGGAAGAACTTTCATCTGCGGCACATTGATTGTTTTCTAAAAATCATCTCACTGATATGCATATTGAGACCTGTCTATCTGGTGCTCATGCAAGGCAGACACTGGTTTGACCCTTACTATGATGGTTCCAACTTCGCCCTCGGGGACTCGGCATTTATTGCAACAGAAACTCTTGCTGCACTATTCATATTCCAGCTACTTTGTGAAGAAGAGACGAAGCCTGTTGACGCCGTACACCATGTGGGCGGCCTGCTTATTATTCTGGGGTATCCAGCTTGGACAGTCAGCCTGCCTGTCGGTTCGTCGTTTACTCTTGTCGAAGCGAAGGCGATGGCTGAGATCTGTCTATTGTGGGGTAAGTCTAGGCTCTTTGGCTGCGATTCATGCCAAAAAGACTCACAATCTGCTAGTATTATTCTCTGACGCATACGGAGCTGCAAAAAATACGAGTCATATCCTGCGACGATGTCTCCAACCTGCGAGTGCCGCAATCGGCTGGCTTTACTTCTTCGCGTTCTACAGTATCTTACTGAGTACAGCACTGGAGGCAATATCCGTCCTTTATGCGACATCTCTGAGTTGGGACAAGCTGTCGACATTTTACAAACTGGTCATTTTTGTCCTTCAGGGGTTGTTCACGTTGGCCAAATCCCGAACCATCCTGCCCTTTTATACCATGTACAGGAAGCAAAAAGCAAAACACTTGGGGAGTGCTACTACGGGCATGTCGAATCCGATCAGTTTGCTACCCTGAGCAAAAGTATTGGATACGGAGAGCAGAGGGTCTTTTATTCTGGTGCATTTATCGTTTGTCAAACTTAGGATAGATGGTCATTACAGCCGTCATGGCACACTCAGATGATTGATTTCACACGAGTGCAATAGTGGTTTCGGTCCAGAGTTCGTGACCGACCCTCGCTGAATTGAAGCTTTTCATCGAAGATATTATCTTAGTAGCTGTTAGATGACTTCCCTATCGAAGGGGCTATAATTTTTTAGCCAGTGAAGGATAGTTTTGGGCTCTGCGTGTGGAGGAAGCAAAAACTGATCAATGGTTGTTTTACTATACGTGGTCACACGCGCACCTCAGTCCAACATTAAAGACACAGCACCAGATCAATCTACAGACATACGACCCCATGCGAAAGGAGCAGGTGGTCAATAAATCTTCATCCCAAGCGTAGAGTGGTTTCATTGAATCAGTCAGTCTAATCACAGCGCCGGGGACGTATCCCCTCAGATCGAAGCCATAGCAAATGCACGAACAATTAAGACGGGGGGGCCAGCGACAGAAGAGGCTGAGTAGTACATGACAAAAAAAAAAGAGAAAACAAGCAAAGCTAATAAGCATATTGGGACAAATAAGAGCAAGAGAAAGATAAAAGGCCAAGAAAGCGACGAGCCCAGAGGCTGGCGATGGCAGATGCACCGAAAGACGGCGATGTATGTATACTTTCAGAACATGTCGGCATGGGCTGGCATCGTCACCGATGTGGCGGGTATGTATGCAGGATAATGTATGTGTTGCTCGTGAAGGCGTCTCAAGTTGCCGGGGGATTAACCATAGATTTCGATTCAGGGCTTGGGCTCTTATTTTCTGTATCCTTCTAGTGTGCTCTGACGGGCCAATGCCAATGCATGCACCCTCAGAACAGTTCCTTGGCGGTGGAGTAGAGGCCGCCCAGTTTCACGTGCTGCTGTTCCGCGTGTTCTCCGTAGTTGCACCCATAAAAATAGAAGGGAAGATGGAGAAAGGAATCGAGCGACAAGTGGGTATCATAATGGGGCTGTTTTGGGATGGCACGAGATTAATGGAGATTGAAAGGCGCCGGACGACAGAAGAGAAGGAAAAGGTGGTCGCGTAAAATTGTCATTCCAAAGTTAGTCGGGGTTGGTAAGCTATAAATCACGCAATTAGCAAGAGTGTTTGGCTAGGATCCAGATTGCAATGTTCAACTTACCCGAAGAACAGGACGCGAGTAGTCTTCGTTGTCTTGCAGCGAAACACTGCTTTCCCGAGGACCGTTCGGGTAGAGAACCGTGTTGGTCTTCATTCGCCGATCGGTAAATGTTGTGCCCGACCGTTCGGGAATAGGTCCACCAGCAGCGCCTTCTCCATTGCCCCGCGGGAAGAGCCCTCCCATGAAGCTCGATCCCCTGCTAGTTCTGTCGTCGGCCATTTCCTGGCTTGGGATGGGGCTGGCGGCACGAGCGCGTTTGCGGTAGAAGAAGATCAAAAAGATGAGAGCACCGATCAGGGCGAGTCCTCCAAGAACACCAATCACAATGCCTGCGATGGAACCTCCACTCAATGACGAGCTGGCAGCGCTAGTGTTAGCCGATGCAGAATCAGCGCCAGCGCTAGCAGTCGAACTTGAACCATCAACAGTGATTGTCTTGACATGGCCGCCAGAGTTGGTTTCCACTGAGACAGAAGCCGAGGTGCTGGTTGTTTTATCATCCGACGAAGTTGACTAGAATCCAAAGTTAGCCAAGTGTGCCATTTGATCAAACCGGTCATGCCGAAGATACAGGTTGTGAATCCGAGAGGGAAGAACCCGAGGCAGTCACAGTGACAGTTGCAGGCTGAATACTAGTACTCCCCTATCCCCGATATTAGAGCCACAAGCCAAGAAAGAGTGTAACACCCAATCATGCTACATAGGCTGATAGGAAGGTTTATCGGTCCAAAAATAAAAAAACAAAAATAAAACCAAGAAAAATGCTATCCAAAAACAAAGTGGGAGTGGTGGCTTACCGAGGTTGAGGTTGAGCTTGAAGTTGAGCTTGACGAGGACGAAGTGGTCGATGTTGATGAACCACCAGCTGTGCTGGTCACATCGTTGCCGGTGATTTGCACGTACGCGAACACTCCTTTGGATGCACTTCCACAACTGTCTGCCGGATAACCCGGGCACGAACCATCACAGTCAGAAGTGTCGGATTGCGACGACTTAGAGGGAGCAACATTCGAGCACCAGCATTTCTTCCCTTGTAGGATACCTAGGGCGTATTTGGCGCAAGTAGTTTGGCATGCTCCATTTGATTGAAATGTGTCGGAAACTGTGAAGAGTAAGCGATATGGCTAAATCTGTAAAAGTTTGCGACATCATTTACCTGCTTTGAAGGAAGCCCCCGTGTTGTCTGAAGCACAGAACGCCAGGCTGGATGCGGCCGATGCGAATGGCCGAGCCAGGAGAGCAAAAACTGAGACCACCACCGCGACCTTCATCGTGGGTGTGCTCGATCGATAATTTCTTATCAAACCTGACCGCCGGCCCTTGATATTCGTAGTTTTCTTTATTTTCCACCCGGATCCCGCCAAGTGTGAGAGTAGCGACGGTAAGAAGTTCGTAGGCGCAGAGGGAAGATCGAAATTGGCTGTGTGGGCCGACCGAGGTGAATTGTCGATCACCTATGGACCAGAGTCCGATAGTGTCTGGAAGGAGGATCTAATTTCTCGATGACAGTCGATCGAAGAGGTCCCAATTGTTATTTGTTGATCCCCCACTAAACACTGAAAAAAAAAAGTCGTAGGTTGTCCCGTGTCAAAGACACATTGTCCCGATGGATGTCTCCGAGGGCTAGGCAACAAAATAACAAGAAAAGAAAGGAAATGAAATGGAAGCAGAGAACGCAAATTCGAGTGTACAAAGGAGAGAGGGAAAGAGAGAAGAAGAGGAGAAGGGGGATCTCCACTGTCACGGGCTGCCCAGGTGCTATCCTGCTATCCTACATTTATCCTACATCCTCGTCGGAGTATGTCAAGCCCGACATACCCGGTGGATACTGGCTTTCTTATTTTACTGTGGGATTTAGAATTATTAACTGAGATCTCTACAAAATAGAGAATGTAAATTGTAGTTTATTTTCAGATCTCTTGTTCTTTTTACTCCGTACGGAGTAGACATGGGCCCTTTTATAAGCTAAGTATCTTGTTATCTCCGTGAGGTACATATGTACAAAATGACAGCCTATAAGAAGCCATCTTATAATCTTCCAAGTCATAACAGCCATAGAGGGTATAACAAGGTATAAAACAGCGAATAACAAGAATAACACAGTATAACACAGGATAACACAAGTATTTTATTGACTTTTTTCCTAAATCGCTTTTTCTCCACTGGGATTGCCTGACTGGCAGACCAAAGATCGCTGCACCAAGGAAACATTCCACCCTTCATACCTTTTTTTTTTTCTTTTTTTAACTCTAGGTAGTACTCCGTACTTCTCTAACAATATGTACAGGTAATGCACTTCTATTTACTTGTTTCTTTATTCAAATTCGAAACAGTTATCCAAGAGATCGCCAGTGCATTATGACCGGGGTTATAGCTAGCGCAATTGTGGACATACGTAATTGAGTGGAGAGAAAACTTCCAAGGTCGTCAGAACACTAAGAATGTTCCAAGTGTTCCAATTTTGGATTTGCCTTTGTATGTATTAATTTTGATTTATTTATAAGTGTATAAAGAAAACTCTCTAGAGACCTTCCAGACTAGATCCAACTTTGTGGCAATAAAAATAATTTCCACTCCATTAGTCTTCACCTTAGCTTACGTGTGGGACCTAAGCCAAATTGTCATTAAAGCCTTCCAAGGTCATATCATGATGAAATGGCCACCTGTCAACTTGCAAATTCCCTGGTTCAGCCCTGGAGTGTGTCTAGGCCCTGAAGTAACACAGGGGATTCTATCACCCCGGGAATTGTATATTGTACGGAGTACGAAGTACTTTGTACACCGAATGCTCGCTCTCGACCCCCATGCCCAGGCGCTGGAAACGACGATCGACTCGAGAGATCGCTGTGATTTGCCGGTTCGAAGCGAGTCGGCTGTGATGAAACAACGCTGAGATTTACCGGCTATTAAGTACAATTGCCGTGTTTTCTCTCGAGAATGTATTTGGACTGATTACTTGTACATCTTAATCCGGTCTGGTACAACATACTAACACACTTGAGTAGGACAACATTGTATACGGAGTACGGAGGACGGAGTCATGATTTCCCCTTTTTCAAAGGTTATCTCCTTTATGGACTCATCCAGTATGAATCATCCCACTCATCTCCCAAGTGGAGAATCTCCACTTGGCGTAAAAACGTAAAAATGATACAATCATGTCCTCGATCTTGAAATTTCAATTGCAGGTTACAATTTGTTTTATAACAGGCTCAAGGATTTAAGATTTCCTGTTACACATATAACTATAATATAACTGGTTCAATTGAACATTTGAATCAGTACCTTTGTAGACACTTTATGTGTTCTCCAAGTGCAGAACTTTAATACGCAATACAATCAATAGTCTCTTAAATAATACCGAGAATCATTGGAATACATTTTACAATCCAATATTATTATTAACCTTGGAATACAAATCTGCTTACGACGGAACCTTACACAATGCCAAGGCAAGTCCTGAAGTGATGATGTTGTGGCCGATAATATGGCTGAGACAAACCCACTGCGCGGAAGGGGAGCCAAGTACGACGTAATCTCCCGCAGGGGGCCATCGGGTGCCGCGTAGTTAGGGTTACTCGATCAGGGTTCTCTCGGTTTTGCGGTCTTGCAAGGTGTCGATTCAAGATGTGGCGAGGTTAAGGGAGTGCTAATTCAATTATTGTTATTGTGCCTGGTGGCTTGCAGGTGGCGTCCTAGCTCTGAAACAAGCCTACGGAGTACTCCGTACAGTGGTGATCACTGTTGCAGCCTGCATGAGGCATCCGCGAACCACCTGTCAGATTGAAAGTTTACATTTGTGTTTACTTTACGAGGCTTATTCTGGAGTTCAAGTCAGTTATCGGACCATTCGATATTCAGTCAACATATTCTTATTAAAAGGGGGGTTCAGGATACATCATGCATCTGCATCGTAATGATATGAGCAGGAAATCAACTAGTCTGTGCTGTTGTACATGGAATGTGTTGGATTTGCTCCCATCACTTAACTGTCACGTTTGAAGTCAATGGATAGATGGCCAGTTCCGGAGATCACATCAATCACACTGGCTGAACTCTCCAAGCCTGCCGAACCCGCTGAATCCGCTGACCCATCAGAACTCTTCGAAGCCTGGCTAACACTGCGCGAACGATTGGTGTCGGACCCTGGCAGAGGGCCAATCATCGATGCATCGATATCCTCTACAAAGTCTGACTCGGGAGCGCAATCAGATTCGAGAGAAGATTTAACCCAAGCCAGAATGTCGTCGGTTGGGGGGTTGGAAGACAGAGGCTGGTCCGCATGGGTAGTCGTGTCTGATCTGGCGTCCTCTTCATCCTCATCATCACCATCGAAGAAACTGCCCGCAGCGCATAAGGCGATCAGTCGAGTGAAATGCCACTGCATGTCCAGCAAGTCAAAACTCGGAAGCGGTCGCTCGACGGGGTCGTCCGTTGTCATTCTGAAGCGATAGCCGGACTCAATGGCACGGTATGTTGGTTCACCTCGCTTTCCTACCGCCACGATCAGTCGATCCACGCTGTTGACGTTCTTGGTAGAGATGGGCTTCTTGCACACATCAACCACATCGAAAAGCTTGTGGTCAGGCCTTGGCTGCCAATAGAACTCAATATCCATTTGGGTCTTATCCTCGGAAATCCAGGCGGGACGCAGGGCGAACAAACCACTTGACCATGCAGAACGAAGGTCTCTGCGAAGGCAGATCAGATTAGAGCAATCATTGCCAGGGGTCTCGGGCTGGGTTGGGTTATTGAAAACAGCTCTTTTCCATCTTTCAGTTGTACTCTTTCCCCAGAACACATCCGCAAACCTCCAAATGTCAGGAGAAGCCGGATCATCCTGCAAGTGGGAGCTGACCGCACCAGCTGGAACGATTGGAGTAGTTTGGTAGATCTTGCGGGTACCTGTGATGACACACTTGTATCCGTCTCGTTCTCTGGCGGCGTAGATCGCAACTGGCAGAGCACGTGGCCGCGGGCTGAAAGAAGAAGTCGAGCATACTGATTCGAGCTGTTGAGAGGGAGATGGTGTCACCGTCCATTTGAATGGAAGAGCACAAATGAGTTCAGCAATGGTATCCATGATTTTCAATGAGAAGTGGGCAAGCTGTACAATATACTCAAGCTTCTCGAGGTCGCACAACTGAATAACAGCCCACAATGGGGAGGGGACTTCTTGTTCAAGAAGAGCTTTCTTGAACTGGCGAATGAGGATCTTCCGCTGGGGAGACTGGATATTGAAACGCTCATCATTTACACGAATAACGGTGGGGGAACGATCTAGTTCCGAGGAACTCCCAGAGGGAAGAGTAGATGCGGATGCGTTTGACATATTGATCACGTGGAGGCAGCTCTGGATCAACAAAGACGGTGTATCCTGTGAATCCGGAATCCGATGCTTTCCGGGCACGTGGTCGGCGTGTGAACGAGAGAGGAAGGTTTGTTTTGATCTGAAGCTATTTATATGCCCAGATGGAAACCGCGTTCCATTCACACTCGAGGAAGGAACCTGTGGAGGAGGGACTTCATCCAATTGAGGATATACTTCACAATACATACATCAAAACGTCGACGGCACTTTCCAAGTTCAGCGCCGTTCATAAATCATGGGACATAAACATCACATTCATGGGTAGCATTACCTCCGAGAATGCATCCATTCTCGATCTCGAATATCTTGCATCCGCTTCTCTACCATCCGTACCCGCGGAGGCATTCCCACACGAGGCCTAATAGGGGGTATTATATCAGGCACGGAGGCCCGCTCCCGCTGGATGTCACGGATGCGTCTGCGACGAGCACTTCGAATCTCGTCGGACAATTCGACAAGCTCATCTATGTCCTCCTGCGGCCAAAATAAGTCAGAACCCAAGGAAGCCGTTTGGTCGGATGATACATACCGGCTTGAGGTACGAGAAGATGTAGTAGCACGTCCTCGTCTCTTCATACTCGAACCCCATTTGTTCAATAGCTTCCCTCACTACCAATCTCTTCGGTATTTCGGTCCACCGGTCATTTCGCGTCTCCTCCGGGTCTGTGACCTGCTGGGCAATCCGTCCCATTTCCGCTTCATCCACTGACGCATGTCGAGGTTTGACCTCAACAACGTCCAGACCTCCGGTCATCTCAATAGCTTCGTCCTGGGATGGAGCATGCACCACAGACCAGTCGTCCGTGCCTCTAGAGGCCTTGTTTACTATCCGGGTGCTCTCGATCATTATATCCTTTTCCAGATCACGCATGGAAGCGGCATCCCTTATTTCGTGGCTGTAAGATAACTCGCTCTCATCGTCTAGCGGCTTGGGTCGACGACGAGTTGCGGGTTTTGTCTCCCGCTCCCACGGGTCGTTGAAATCAAAAGCTGGGCCGCTAGTGGGAGATATTGAGTCTTCGGGAGCAAGAGACTCTTCACTGTCACGGTGTTTGAGGACTATGTTTTCCTCTGACATTCGTCCACCTCGCATCTTTCTAGAGCAGATGTTAGTGTGCGGCAAAAAAGAGGCTTGATGTACTCACCGATGCTGAATATCAATTTCATCAAAACTACCTCTCCGGGATCGCGCTTCTGGGCTGCGCACACGAGGTGTATGAGCGTCTTCATAGCCTAGGTTTAGTTAGAAGAATGTTCTTGCTAGACTACCAACATCAGTCTTACCATGGTCAATGTGCCTATGATGGGTAAACACGTCTTGGTGGATTGGGGGTACATGTATCGAATCCAAAGAAGGTGACGGCTGGCGAGATGGGAGCTTGTCCTTTGTTTTCCGAATACTGATCTCTTCCTTAACCTCTTCAAGGTCTCGGGAGCGTGACTTGGAGTCAAACTGTGAGCGCATGCTAAGCTCTTCATCCAGTGGAATCTGTTCCCCACCCCCTCGTCGAAGACCTCTTAATTCACGTTCGAGATCCTCGGAAGGTACACTGCGTCGTTTTTCACGTCCGCGTATAACTATTTCCTCCTCATCAACGCGGTCGACCAGCCCTGGTCCTTTGTCCTTTCGCCGGATGACCACATCATCGTCTTCATATTCTCGATCTGGAAAATCGATCGGGCCTCGGCGTCGCTCTGGGGGCGCATTGTCAAGGAGGACCTCTTCCACCTCGACCCTTTGGAGAGGCGGAGGCCGTGGCCGTGGTCGGTGGTGTGGCTCTTCGTCCTCAAACTCCAATCTTCTTTCACGCGATCGAATATCGATTTCACTGTCCCATCCGCGACGTAGAGGAGGCTCTTCCCTTTCTTTCCGTCGGATTACCATTTCCTCTTCCTCGAATTCGCGCTCTGGTCTGTGTCTTCTTCCTCCATGTTTCCCCCGTCCCTCAACTAAGAGGTCCTCTTCGAAGTCTCTTTCTGGACGCCGCCTGCGGTGGCGTTTTTCTCTCTCCTCAAAGAGAAGATCGTCCTCAGACCTTCGTTCTGGGTGACGCCTACTTCCTCTGTGTATTTCTCTGTCTTCAATAATCAAACCATCCTCTTCAAGTTCCCGAGGATGGCGCCTACTTCCTCGGCGTCTTTCCCGTTCGACGATGAGTTCCTCGTCCTCCTCTAATTCTGGCTCTGGACGACGCCTCCTACCACTGCCTCTTTCCCTTAGTCTTTCCTCAAACAGAAGATCCTCTTCGGATTCTCGCTCCGGGCGATGCCTTCTGTCTCGACGCCTTTCTCTTTCGTCGATGAAAGGATCGCCTTCAACTTCTCGCTCCCTTGCTGGACGATGTTTCCTATCTCCACGCGTTGCTCTTTCGTCAATGAAAAGATCGTCTTCGACTTCTCGCTCTCGCTCAGGACGATGCCTTCCATCTCCACGTCTTTCTCTCTCCTCGGAAATCAAATCCTCGTCGACGTCTCGCGGTTGACGTCGACTGCCCCGGCGTCTCTCTCGTTCCTCAAAACCAAAATCTGCCTCGTCTAGCTCACGAGGACGAGGTCTACGCCGGGACCCAGACGGCCGCATATAGGCATCATCGCGGTCTAGAGGCATATATCGCTCAGGCGAGACCATATCTACCTCCTCCCTTGACCGCATGAGAACCACATCATCCCGTGCTCGCGGTGGCGCAAAGCTCTCTTCCATGAAGTCTCGCCTGGGACGTTCTCGGACGTGCATCCGCTCCATATCCTCGACTAGGGGCTCAGACCTTCGGCGACGATATTCAACATCTTCTTCATAGTCGCGATCTCGTCGGCGCGGCCTGTGGTCTCGCTCGCGCTCTCGTTCCATCTCGTAGAATTCATCTTGCTCGTCGTAGTCGCGGGGTGGTGCTCGGCGGGACATTGTGGGACTGTGCGAGTGATCACCGCATTGGATTTGGTGATCGATCGGCCGTGCCTACGGTCGGAAATGTATTTCGACCGCGATGAGGAGACACTTAGATCCAAGGCTCTGGCGCAAGAACCCGTCAAAGGCCTCAGTTGAAGGCAACAGTCAAATTCCGTAGTTGGTGACTTGGTGGGGCTTGCGAGGAAGGAAGGTGGGCTGTGCTCTAGTCAAGATCACTCAGTTGGGCAGCTAATGATAGTACGACAACAAGATAAGTATGTAGGCAGATCGAGAGGCGACTAAGAGTACACATACATTATATGGAAATGAAAACGTGGACCGTGTGACTTGGAGGGCTGGCGAAAAGCAAAGTGATCGACCCCGCGGCTGATGTCACTGTTCTTTAGAAGGCGGATCTAGGAGATGGACAACCATTCTCGTTCAGCCAAGACGTTCGCACTTGTTTACTCCCCAGGTCTTAAAGTTCGAAGTTCTACCCCAGAATCTTAGCTAATCCTGTACTGGAACCTTGGTTCTCTTCTCACAAAACCGCCGCTTGGAGTTGAGAAGTGTATTTGAGTGGGGTCTGTAATGCTTGGCGTCATCGAAGCTCTTTTAGAGGGCAGCCCAAAGCCGCATATCCGAACCCTTTGTTGGACATTCGAGCCTAATATGCATTGTTGGGTGCTTCTACTTGGGGTCTCCAGGGAGTTGACTAGACCCCTCCACCTATCACACACCAATTTAAGATTGGATGCACTTCTAAGCACTCACAACCCGGAATATGTCAAGCCCAGCTCTTAAGGTGTTTTTATGTTTTGGCAACGAATAACACTACAAAATTATGAAGCAATCGAATTATAGAGCAATCAATATTAGTTCGCCTAATCAGGCAATGGTACAATTTTGTTCAAGGCTCTGCCCGGGGTATATCGTAGCTATAATAAGCCAAGTAAAAGCAGATTATAAGAGTACATGAGAGAACAAAAAATTATAAAGATGTTAGGTCACTGGAAAGCAAGTCGCATCTGCCCCTTTTCAGGCTTACCCCGACTCCCTCCACCTCGGCCACCTCTCCCACGAGCAGTTGTGCCGCGTGCACTACTTTTCGTGGGAAGGGGCGGCTGTGAAACCCTAGCTTCCTCTCTGTCCTGGCTGGCGAGGTCCTTGGCAAAGTGCCAATCATCATGTTCTTCCTTTTCATACTCGAACATCGACTTAGAGCACCGTGGACATACGAACCGGGAAATTCCGCTCGGTTCGGGGTCCATTTCAACAGGTTCTTGGGGGCTAGCTGGCTCATCCGCGGCAGTATTTTCAAGATGTGATGGGTTCCCAAAGAAACTTTCAATTTTACTCCCGTCTCCATCAAGCTTTCGTCTTTTCTCAGTTGAGGCTTGTTCACTGGGAGAATTATCGGCATCTCGAGGTCTTGAAGAATGACTAAGAGCTTTCGCTTGATCACCGCGAATTAAGAAGCCCTCAATAGCCTTGTTGTTAGTCACGCCGTCTTCAAACCCTGACACGCTCAGCGACAGGTTGGAACAGGGCCATGCCTGTCCGTCAGCCACAATTTGACGAAGCAAAGTATTGGCCAGATCGTAGAGAAGGTTCTCGTCAATTGTGCTAGAGCCTGGAATTGGGATTTGGCGAGAACGGGATTGTGCAGTTCGATAGTGCATCGTGATCACTTTCGGACGACGTCTATTTTCAAGCACGCCGTCTTCCACAAGCCGGCCATAGATATCGGCTGCGAAGATGTGAAGCCACTTCTCGGCTTGATCAAGTGAGTTGATGCTCGGTCTGAAAGACTTCGCGGATAGCATAGATTTAATTTGGGTTCGGGGATTGACCTCACTGCGGTCATCACCACGGATGATCCCGTAAAGCCAGGATGCCGTGTGGTCAGGTAGCTTAGTGCGTAATTGCTCAAGCGGTACATTAAGAAGCTCGCTCACTTTCTCCGTCCCAAATGCGGCGGTTATTTGATCGCCGAGTTTACCACCCAGCATTCTGATCTGAGTAAATTTATAACCACCTAGGAAATTTTGCACCGCCCGATTTCGTACAACAGTTTGTAGGTTGGGCTTATTGCAAGCACTTCCGAGTTTTGCGATCATTTTATTGCGGCCAATCCCAGCCGAACAGGTGTAGCTGAGCTTTTCCCAAACTGCGTTCCGCACCGCTCGTACAATTTCGGATCCTATCAGCATGACAACGTCATCCCAGTCTGGATCGTCTTCCTCCGTTTCTTGTTGATCCAGGTCCACCAAGCAGTCGGTGTCCCACTGCAAGGCTGTGATCGGCGGTATAGGGAGTTCCGCATCCCGGTTCTCGTCATGTGTTCCCATCCGAAGTTCTGGGTATCTCTGAAGAAGCGCCCTATATATCAATGGAGACAAATCAATGAATACTTCATCAATACTGGCTTTCTCCAACACAGCCGAGAGTTCCTGCTTCAGATTCTGAGTTTCGAGTTCCGTGTCATCGGCACTCCATGTGGCCAGAGCTTCCTTCATCGTCTGGAGGATCTTTCGCGATTGTGCTCGGTACGGATCCAGCGACACCTTGTCCGTGCTGATATTTTTGAATGAATCATCCCGATATGCCCACCGCCCTCCCTCTCCCTCTCGAAAAGTCGCGACATGCTGTAAGACGAGCTCTGGACAAAGTTTCCTGGCCTCCGCAACATTGATCAATCGACTGATTCCGAAGGGTCGCGCAGCGTAATTGATGGCAATCAAAGAGTCCCATTGCCTCACTGCTAATGGTACATCCCGCGGAGTCCCCAGGCGGACCATCTCACATTGCGCATAGAAGGCATCCAGATCGATATGCGCAATCACGCGCAGAGGGGTTGCCGTGGATCCATGTCGCAACCCTTGCAATTGTCGATAGGTAAAACGGGAGACCCTCAAGGGATCGGACGACTCGGTGGGTTCGGACATGCTCGCACATGCGTCATGGCGGTGACTATCAAACCATTGGGGTTGTCGGGTCAGAGCTTGGAATCTGATGCTCTCAACCTTGGGACGAACCCCAAAAATGGACTAGTGCGAGCACGTGTTAGCTTCAGCCTGAGGTTCGCGCTGTTCTCTCCTCATTTCAATTCAATTTCCATTATTATTACATCTTACATATCAAGAGTTATTTCAAATGTTTTTCTACTCCGTACAATGACTTGACAAGTCCAAAGAAAGCCACAATCTACTTTTCTATATTCCCCAGAGTTATACAACATAGACCAGGGATGTCCAAATGACCCATCACTTAGTGCCTGCTTATTTTTCTTCAACCAGCCCTGCACAGTCAGATGTTGTGTTCTCGTGCAGGATTTTCTGATGTTGTAACTCGCCCACTGAGAGGCCTGGAACCTGAAAAAAAGAAACGAGACAGGGTGATCTCCGATCTGTGCGATCCAGCTGACACAGGCGGGCTGTGAGTGGACCAGAGGCTCGGAGCCTTCGCACAGGTGCCCAAAGCCACGCATTCCTGCCCAACGGTCATCTCGTGTGGACATCGGTCGCCAGCTTTCCAGGTGGCAAGTTCGCAGGTCGCCACCGGTCTTTTCTGTCAACAGATTGGCCGTTGGCTGTCATGCTCGTTTTGCAGGTGGTGTGTGAGGGATCAATCACAATAAGTCCTATAATTTGCCCCTTGACACTGCCCTCTTTCACCATACATATGAACATCTGACAGTTTTTGGTGATCTCATTTCCTCTCAACAGCTCTGCTTGACCGCTGCTGAAGATCCACTGGTGGAGTCCTGTAGAGTTTCGATATTAACCTGGTCCAGGGGCACAGACTAAGGAGCAATCCAAGCTGGTTGAATATGGGGGATCGGCCCTTATTCTTTTGTCGTCCCAACTAAAATCTAGTGGAAAACAAAGAGCAACCCTTTTAAGGTCTAGTTTTAGGGTACAAAGTACATCTCTAAAGTATCCACTCTGTACAGCTGTCTACATTTGCTTACATTTGCTGACTATTTCCAACATTGGAAGTGTTGTCTCTTTTGACCAGGGGAGTATATCCATAGTTTTATATTGACACATGAGTACATGAGTAACCTCCATAATCATAATAATACAAAATGATACAAATGAAAAATTCTCAAGCGGCTACAGGCATAGGGTTGCACATCAGTCTAATCCACATTTGACCGTGCATGCTTTTTGCCTTGATCTCAGTGGGGAGTCGTGGCACCAGCCCAAGACGGCCCAACCGCCCTGGCCCTTTGATGTCCACTTTACCTCTTCCCCCCCCCTCTTCCTTCTTCCCTTCTCTTTCTTTTCCCTCTCTCCATATTCCTCTGGCTTCTCTTGCCAGCACTTCAACTACTCTTTCTCTTTCCCCTGGCAAATATCTAGTTCATCCCGAACAGATTACAGACAGCCCACAGGACCCCCCCCCGTCAGCCGTGTTTCTCTTTCTCCTAATTGATCCTGACAACTCATCCTCTCTTGAACACCTTTCAACCTCTTGTCGCTATTCAATCACCATTTTTTGAGGCCTCTCAATTTCCCAGGATAATTGCCCCAGTGGACAACCAGCGAGGATTTCTTCCCAGGATTAACCGGACTTTTCCCACTAAGGACTTTTACTATTCGCGAGCAGGATCAATTTCTTTCTGGCCACTTCCTAAGGATCGTATCTCATTTTCTTCTTGCCCTGGAATCGAGGAAACAAACCATTCAAGTCGTTGATTGTCGGCTTTGGAACCTGCTCGTCGCCTGATAGAACCTGTACATCCTACAATAAAAACGGACTCATCACCATCCATCAACTTTCCCAGGACTCTCAAACCATCTACCACACTCCGGACTTCCTCTTTCCTGGCCCTTTGGATCCGAGGACTTTAAATTTTTTAAACCGGACATTTTCCTCCGGAATACATTATGACAGGCCGCTATGAGGGACGCCCGGAGCGTCAGAATGAATATTTCATCCCCGGTGAAGGAATCAGCCGAGAAGTTATTCAAGCAGATATTTGTCGCTACCTTGGAAACGATGCCCTCGTGAGACCTGGCAACCACAATGTGCGTCTTCCGCTCTTGACCCGATGACTCAAAAAGGCCATTTTGACTGACCATGAACAGGGCCGCCCAGGATTCTTTATCCGTGCCTATCGGAATCTCACATCTGTAAGTGACTATGGACATGCGACAGCAAGCGGGATAAGTCAAGATGGCATTCTAACCACACATTGGATACAGGAGATGATTACTGATCTGAAGGCCGACTCCGCTCGTTGGGAGGCGGACGTCTCGCGCCGGGCTGACCTAGGCTACCCGCGTGGGAATTACATTCAAGATACGAATGTTTCCCATGCACCTAACACTGCTCCAGCGAACTATGCCCCTGCGGCCGTTCATGAGGCTCGCCAGTCACAGGGCCCATCCCCTACGCCCTTTACTGCAGCACCCGCTCAGTCATACATGGATCCCTACTCCCAGAGTTCCTACAGTGGATCCCAGAATGTCCCCTACACAAATCCTTCATCATACACATCCGCCACTCACTCGCCATATGCATCAGGTACAGCTCCGTACCCTCCACCCCAGGTTTCCTACTCTGGTTCCAACCAGCCCATTGTGACATCTGCGGACATGCACCCCCAATCGTACACATATGCCCCCACGGGCTATGGTTACGACAATGGCCGAAACAATGCTCCCCGATACCCCGGACCTGGATATGATGCCGAACAGGAGTACTCTACCGTAACTTCCGGGATGTCCTATCCTACCACTACTGCCCCGGATCCCCGGATAGGAATGGAGCCCAGATACACTCCGGAGTATGAGCGCAGGCCACAAGCAACCAGAGACAACCCCCACCGTCGGCGGTAGACAAGAATGACCGCCCAAAGGGTTTTCCTGCATCCATGATTTCTTCTCTCACACTCTCTCTCTCTCTCCATCCACATTGTGGTCCACTTGATGCTTGTTCCTGGAATATTTCCAAAATGCTTCTAGGAATAATGTTGATGTCCGTGAAAATCTGCTGGACAATCTTTACGCCTTTCTTTCCTCTCGGCCACAATTCTCACATTCCCAATTTGTCTCCATTCCAGGAACTCCAGACTAAGCCAGAGATGTTCAATGTTTCACATCCCACTTCAAATGGCCCAGTCAGGAGACTTTCCACTTCCCATTGGACATGAATCCCACTTCTTTTTTACCCATGGACTTCCACTGGAATTGAACCCAATTGCTCTGTGGCAAGAGCTTGGACTTCCCGTGGACACCCGTCTTTATTTTGATTTCTCTCCCATGCTTTTGTGCAACTGGCCAGCCAGGAGTAGGAGTGATGTGCTTGATTGAGTTTACGAAAAGGTGGCCCGGACTTGAGCGTTTTGTTTGTTTCTCTGGTCTCACGGATTCCGGGAATACTCACCCCACAATAATGCGATTTTTTTTGGTTTAACGGTGTACAGGATTTGTGTGTTCTTAGCAACTTCTTCTTTTTGTTTCGTCTTTCCCTTGAAAGGAGGGGAGTCATCGTGTTCTACTTTTTTTTTTCCTTTGGTTTGCGAGAGCGTTGTGCTTCGATAAACTAAGGCTGGTGACCTACATGTAGATATGAGCATTTGCGGCGTTGGTCCGTCTTCTGTGATTGACGTTTTGATGTGCAAGATCGTGGGATTGACTCCATGATTCTAATGAATCTCTTACTCTGCATAATTTCTTACCTTGGATGAATTAAGATATCATATTACTTCTAAATTACTGACTTTTTGTCCAACTTGAGGCTGGCTTCGGAGTATAATGCAAATTCTACAATTGATCAGGTGTTACAGGTAGTACTAAATATGGCGAGCAGCCTTTCTCCATTGTGCGAAGCCCATATTGGGCCGTTCGAGCGCAAGATTGCAATTATTCCTAACATAGCCAAGATCCTTAAAACATAGAAAAGCGACTTGATGTCGATTATATGATTGCTCAAAACATAGTACATACACTGTAGCGCCGGGCTCGACATTCGGCGTATGCGCAACAAATATTGGTATCAAAGCATTTTGATGGCCAGGAGAAGTTGCCCCGGAACAAGTCTGTACGATTGCCCACACTGATGCGATGGGACTTGTTCATCAGTCCAGTGGCACAGCCAACTCATCTCCTGCCATCCGCTGAATTTATTCCTCCCAGGCACGGACAATACACGAAATTCTCTCTAACTTCCGATAACTTGACATTTTCGTAGTTCCGAACCCGTTTATTCGTCATCGTAGCCCTTGGGGATAACCCGCTGACCCTGCGGAACTATACGTATTGAAGATATTGGTCAGGTTCAAATTACTCGAATATAGTCTTGATGCTCATGCACCGATTTATTGGGGTTGAATAGGGGTCATACTGGGATATGTCAGAGGAATGGGCTCGGGGTCGACGTCACCGAGGGCGTGGCGGATGGGGGGAATAGTGGCCAGCGAAATGGGACCCATGACGCCGATGCACAGAGCAGCGAGGATAGCTGGCTTCTCGTGCGCAGCCCAGCGGATGTAGCGGAAGGGGGTCGACCAGAACTGAGGGGTAGACATGGCTGAGAAGAGGTCGTTGACGACCGGTCGGGGGTTTTTGCGATGTAGGTGGGAGATCAATGCCTGAGTAATTGAATAAAACTGTTCAAGCGCGCACGACTGAACAGATACACCGGTCCCACTTGGTGGTTGTTGAGTGGCAGAAATCAGAGAAACAAAATTGAAGCCGGAGGAACGAGGTGAAGTCGAAGTTCGGAGATGCGGACCCAGCGCTCTCAGGTCTTGGCACTCGCCCATTAAACACGTCGCCCTTTCTGGCTATCTATACAACTTGGATCTTCAACCACCTTCATTTACTTACTTCTTTTTGATCCTTCCGCTCCGCTGTGCGGAATTTGTTCAAAATGAGGTGGTGTCTTGCGTTGCTTATTTGTTGCTTCTTGGCTGTGGTAAATGCGCTGAGTAGCTCCGGCAGTCGCCTGCTGGCCATTCTGGAAGACACAGAACAGAAGGACCTGTACTCCACGCTGTGGGCAGACCTAAAGGGTAATTTACTCTCTCCCAATTCGGAGATTACATGCTAACTCTCGGGTTCCAGCACGAGGATACGATGTCTCAATCGAATCTTCCAAGAGTGAACAGCTTGCCCTGTTCAAGCATGGCGAAAGAGCTTACGATCACCTCCTGATCCTCCCTCCCAAGTCTAAAGGTGAGCAAAGCCGATTGAATTGATTTAATGTCTAGTCAATTGACCCAAGAATACAGGCCTCGGCCCCTCCTTGACCCCCAAACACATCCTCGACTTCATGAACAAGGATGGCAACATCCTCCTCGCCCTTTCTGGCAAGACTGCCACCTCCAGTGCCATCAGCTCCCTTCTTCTTGAACTCGATATTCACCTCTCCACCGATCGCTCACAAGTTGTTGTCGACCACTTCAACTACGACACTCTCTCGGCCGCTGAGAAGCATGACGTTCTTGTCCTCCAGCGCCCTGGACCCCTCCGTCCTGACGTCAAGGCCTTCTTTGATGGTGAAGGTGTTCTTGCCCTCCCCCGAGTTGCTCCCCAGACTCTCGGTGGTGACAGCGCCCTCCTCTCCCCGATTCTCAAGGCCCCCGCCACTGCCTACAGCTACAACCCCAAGGAGGGCACGCCCGCGGCGGAGGACATCCTGGCTACCGGGTCGCAACTGAACATCGTTTCCGCTATGCAGGCACGCAACTCCGCCCGCTTCACTGTTCTCGGATCAGTGGAGTCATTGGAGGACAAGTGGTTCTCGGCCTCCGTCAAGACGCCCAGCGGCAAGAAGACTTCCACTGTGAACCGCGAGTTCGCTAAGCAGTTGACTGCTTGGGCTTTCAAGGAGACTGGTGTCCTGAAGGTTGACAAGGTCGAGCATCGCCTTGCCACTGAGGGCGCAGAGTTGAACCCCTCGATCTACCGGATCAAGAACGAGACTGTACGTGAAACAACGATATACTGCCCTTCTCTTCCAAGCTAACCATAAACCTTTATTTGATTGCAGATCTACACCATTGAGGTTTCCGAGTACGTCTATGACAAGTGGGTTCCCTTCGAAGTTCCGGCTGGCGACGCGCTCCAGCTCGAGTTCACCATGCTCTCGCCCTTCCACCGCCTGACCCTCCAACCCACCGACCGCACCGATACCAGCACTGTGTTCACGACTCAGTTCGTGACCCCCGATCAGCACGGTATCTTCTCCTTCCGCGTCAACTACAAGCGTCCCTTCTTCACCGCCATCGAGGAGAAGCATGAGGTCACCAACCGCCACTTTGCGCACGACGAGTACCCGCGCAGTTGGGCTATCACTGGCGGTTGGGTATGGATTGCCGGTCTTTGGTCGGTGATTGGAGGATTTTTGGCTTTTGTCATTGTCTGGCTCTACTCTGCCCCTGTGGCTGACAAGCTTAAGAAGACTCAGTAGATTTATATTTATCTCTGTATGCATTGGACTATCTGTCTATGATTTTTCAATTTTCTGACATGATCTTGATCTCCCGAATGAACACACTAGGTCCCAAAGATGACCAATTCTCAATGATATGATATTCTCCTTTAGCCCTCTTTCGTCTTCTCCATCGATTCGATTATACCCAGGAAAATTCTAGATCATGGCTCAGCCCGCTAATAAACTTGGGTGACTTATCCCGGGTTTGATGAATTGAAACTGAAATTGAAGAACGTAATGCCATCCGCATTGGTATTGGCTGTTAACTCCCTATCAGACAAACATAGACATATCTATGGGGGTTAAAGTTCGGGTTGACATATTTGATATTCTAGCGTTTCATCTGTAGTTGGGAGCCTACAGCTGTTTAGCTCTACGTCCAGAGTCCAGGCTATATCAACCCCAGTGAAGATGAAAATGAGACTGAAGCGGCAGATGTTCGCTAAAACGGCATTATATTAAGCGCAATAGTCTTTGCATGAAAAGAGGGCAGGAATCTGATAGGACGTGAATCAAAAGAGTCCGAGCCAACGGGTGAAATTGATTACAGTGGGTTTCTTATTCCCAGGGCTCATCTGGAGCCGGTGACGACTGCCGTTGGCCCCAACTATCCACAGCGGGCCATTTAGTCCATCCTAAATTGGCCTAACAATGGGTACTAGCACACTCCTACGGGGGTGTAGTAGCCTCCACAGCTAGCGAGGGCCTGGTGAAACATGTTCGCGCGGAGAGCGGGAAGCCCGGAGGCATTGTGAAGGTTGTTTATCTGGCTGCCTTTGCGCTAGACAAAGGCCAGAGCTTGCTGGGTATGCTGGGAGGAGCGTATTTACCCTGGATGAAGGTCGAGGTTGGTCCATCCAGCATCATATGATCGGTAATCATTGTCCAAGATCAAGCTGACTAAGAAAAAGGGCGACTACGTTCACGCCGACGGCACCGGAAACGTTGGCTGGCAGGACCTGACCGTCGAGCAGCAAGAAAAATGGAATCGCACGACAATGCACACCTCGCGCGCGGTCTTCTCGGGCGAAACCACCTATGAGCCGTGGCACGATATTCCCTGCTCCTACATCATCTGTGAGCAGGATCAGGCCTTGTCGCCAGCTATCCAGGAGTTCTTTGCCTTGAAAATGGGGGGGCCTGACACTACCCACCGCCTGCCGAGCTCGCATTCGCCGTTCTTGAGTATGCCCGATCGCCTGGTGGGTGTTCTGGGAGAGACAGTGAAGGTGTAATATGTATTATCGGATTTGGGTATGAAGAATCTCAGTCGATCTTGAGAGAAGTGAGTACCAGAGAAGAGAAATGTATGTTTTAAGCGTAACCGAACTCCGGGCCATGCCAGCATGTAATCAGCGAAACCAAATACCCTTTTTACAGGCCCCTTGTCTTCTCTGGATCCATCTCAACTTCGTTTCCGCTGATTTCCTTGACCGTCTGGTATGCGGGTTGTCCAGCATATAGCTGTCCCCCAGACGTGTTACCGGAGTTCCCGCCATCCATCTCCTTGGCTACCGAGATGGGCTGATTGCCGCGGAAGCGCTTGCGCATATCGATCATACCACGCCTGTGCCGAGGGAAAATTCCAATAATTAGCGAGTGTGTTCCTTTTGTCCGTACTGGTCGGCCTAGACTCGAGGCTCGGTTCCCGACTCACTTGCACTCGCTGAATCCTTTCCGTAGCTGCTGACATTTCGTGGGTAACTCCTCGGCGAGAGGAGAGCTGAGACATTCACGGGGCGAATGACGCTGGACCATGATGCAGTCCGACTCCTGGAGGCATTGAGCCAGAGCCTCCCCTAGATAATCAATTTGTGGTCAGTTTACGTTATGGCAATGGAGGGTTACGGTAGAAGGTCCAGCTGGACCAGGAACGTGATCGATCCCCCCTTCGGTTGTGCGACTCGGGTGTGTAACGTACGGATATCATTGCATGAGCTGGGCATGTTGACGCGACCTTGTGGACGAATGCGCAACCACAAGTAGCAAGAGAGTAAAAGAACGAGGCCGTCCACGGGTGGGACACGGCAAATTCGGGCTGTCAGTTATCTTGACGCTGATTGGCGGATGTGGAGAATCCCCGGATGAGATAAGCATCGCTATCACATGTTGGTAATGACGTCGGAGGGACTTTTATCGCTTGTTTTACTTTTTTAAACGTTTGCAGCATCTCTGTCTCTCGCATAGAATCTTCAAGTGTACATGCACATATGCATAGCGATTGTTGTTCATCATGTCGCGAGTTCCGTTGATCGGGAGACTGTTCTGGTAAGGAGCTCCAAACTTCAGACAAAGAACGCAGCAACTGATATTCACGTCTCTAGGTATGAGTACCTAGCTCTCTTCGGGTCTTTGATTCTTGTCCTGCTTGAGACCATCATTCACTTGATTACTTGGTGCCTTCGTCAGTGAAAATCACCGAACAATGGATGATGCCAATACTAACCCCTAACCAGCAAGCCCTATCATCAGGTTTTGCTATGGCCAATCGAAGGCACTTTTCAACCTTTTGATCCCTAGTGAATCCCGTTCCAAGCGCACAAAAGAGGAAATATTTGCCAGCTCTGTTGCAGATGCATCCGATTTCACCGAGATATGTGCCCTCTTTGGGTATCAAGCTGAGGAGCACATTGTACAAACGAGCGATGGTTACCTTCTTGGACTTCATCGGCTGGCATATCGAAAAGGAGAAGAAAACATGCGCATCAATCATGGTCCCAGTGGGATTCGGAAAAAGGTCGTCTACCTCCACCACGGCCTACTCATGTCAAGTGAGGTGTGGGTAGCCTTGACAGACGAGCAGCGGTGCCTTCCCTTCCAGCTGGTGGAAAGGGGATACGATGTATGGCTGGGAAATAACCGTGGAAATAAATACTCCAAGAAGTCGGTCCGATTCTCGCCTGGTTCTAATGAATTTTGGGATTTCTCAATGGATCAGTTCGCCTTCTCTGATATCCCCAACAGCATCGAGTACATCCTCGAGGTAACAGATCAGCCGTCATTGTCTTACATTGGATTCTCCCAAGGGACAGCGCAGGCATTCGCTACACTCGCTATTCATCCATTGCTCAACCAGAAGATTGATGTGTTTGTGGCACTTGCACCCGCCATGGCTCCTTCAGGTCTCCGCAACCGCATTGTTGATTCACTGATGAAAGCCTCTCCGGACTTTTTGTTCCTGTTGTTTGGTCGACGCAGCATCCTGTCCTCGACAACCATGTGGCAAACGATACTCTACCCGCCGATCTTTGTGCGCATCATCGACACAGCCCTCCAAACCCTCTTCAACTGGAAGTGTCGCAACATCACACAAACCCAAAAGCTTGCTGCCTATTTGCATCTCTATTCCTTCACCAGCACTAAGTCTGTCGTGCATTGGTTCCAAATCATTCGGAATAAGAGCTTCCAGTTCTACGATGATGAAGTCTATGCCCCCTTCAGCGTAACTGCCAGCGAGCGCTTTTACAAGCCGGTCAAATACCCTACTCGCAACATCAAGACTCCCATTGTCCTCCTATACGGCGACAGTGACAGTCTCGTCGATATCGGAGTGATGCTGAAGGGGTTGCCACATGACACTGTCGCCCAGGCGATTCCAACCTACGAGCATCTAGACTTTTTGTGGGCCTCCGACGTTGACCGCCAAGTCTTCGGCTATGTGTTTAATGCGCTCGAGACCTATAGCCAGGGTGGCCCGTTGGCTGTCAGCAGTACGGGGTCTGAGAAACACGGATTTTTAACCGACGGTCGTGTTTCCAACACATCAGTTGTCCGAAAACCCCATGTCTTCCCCAATGATGTAGCCTACGGGGCTGCTCCCTAAACATTGTTACTTTTACATGTGTACAACATACAAATTTTCCTGTGGATTTTGGGCGGGGTTATGGCTCGGCGGGTCAATCGCCACATCCGTCCACTGGTGTATTGAGGGGATTATATGATGCACTTGTACGGTAACGATTCATGAAAAGATGTGTCTTGTGTGTACGGATTGCCACCTATGCGGGGCTTGGCACGATATATGCCGGCAGAGTTTTCTAGGAAGCCGATGCCTAAATCCACCGACGTGGCGTCAAGAGGGGGAAAGTTCCGAAGTCTGTGCCTGATTATGTACTCCGTAGAGTACCTGACTAGAGAAGCACAATCAAACTATGTTTTATGTAACCCAAATCTCGTATCCACAGCCTAGACATGCTGGCCCTATACAAAGTAGGCACTAGGGCAAATTGATGATCTATCCTCCTTCCCATCTGGGCAACCCGTTTCAACCTAACAGATAAGCTTTGATTAAAATCGGTCTTGGGCCGGAGAACTCGAGGAGATCTCTTATGTTGTATATTGATATAGATATTGTAGACAGGCACAAAAAATGATATTCAGGGGTATGGTACGGATGTCAGACAAGTGGCGCAATTCCATAAGCCCAATAATAAAAAAGAAAAAAAAGGAGATTCGACAATTGAAAACTTTTTGTCCGAGGGTTCTCTGTGGGTTATGATTCGATCTAGACCGGGCGCCTATCTCCACAGTACAGGCTAGTGCTGGCGAACAAGTCACAACGAACAGCGAAATAATAAGAAAAACAATGAAAAACTTAGATTCGCGGTTCAGGAACTACGCCACGTATGGAAACTCATTTGGCGAGAGTCCCCAAGGTCCATTCGGGTTGGTCGGACCAGATCTCTGTTCCTGACCCTAACGGGGGCCACCAATGGGATCATTTGGACGACCCCATCTAGTCAGGCACCGACCACATGGATGCACATGGTCAACCCAATTTTATGGTTCAATGGGTTCGACGGCCTATCAAACGCCTGCCACACCAAAATCTGACACGCCCAATGCCCTATGTCTACGTACTCCACCCCAAAGAATAAAATGGCGCTACACCCTCCTCCTTCTCCTCTTTCTTTCTCTCCTTTGTCACCACGATCTTTCGAATCACACTCATTTGGATTCCTACCTTGGGGCTGAGCCTCTTGCACTCTCTTTAACAGTCTGTAGATCAGACTAAAGTCCCTCTTTCAAAGAACCTCACTATCCTCAAAAACACTTTCCCTTCAATATCGGATTCATTCAGCCAATATGCGCTTCAACGTTATCGGCCTCTCGGCCCTTCTGGCAATGACTGCCTCCGCCCGCCCTGTCGCCGTTCCTGATGTCCACTACGTCGAGGAGACCGTCTGGGAGACTGTTTATGAAACCGTCTACCAGACCGCCAATGCCATCAGTGCGCCTACCAACCTTCCCGTCCAGGAAGTCGCCATTCCTTCCGCCACCTCCTCTGTCATTTCCTCGACTTGGACTCCCGCTGTCGTCCCAACCACCAGCGTCCCGAGTCTGAGCATCCCCAGCACCAGCGTCCCCACCGTTGTGCCAACCGTCGTGCCCACTACCACCAGCGCTCCCTCAAGCACCACCAGCGCCCCGTCCAGCACCAGCAGCAGCCCCGCCGCCACCGGCAGCGGTGTCTCCATCGTCAACAACCTCCCGGACACCGTCTACCTGTGGGTCGTGACCGAGACCGCCGGTGAAATGCAGACCCTGGCATCCGGCGAGTCCTTCCACGACACCTGGCTCACCAACTCCAACGGTGGCGGTATCTCCATCAAGATGTCGACCACGGAGATCTGCGACAGCGTGCTGCAGTTCGAGTACACCAAGTCCGGTAACATGCTCTTCTGGGATATGTCCTCCATCAACTTGCTCAAGACCTCGGCGTTCGTAAGCGCTGGATTCGCTGTCACGGTCAGCGATGCGTCCTGTCCCACATCTACCTGCGCTGCTGGTGATGCCGACTGCGTCCAGTCCTACCAGCACCCTGACGATGTCAATACCTTGGCTTGCGGTATCGATGCCGCCTACACTCTCACTCTGGGTTAGAGTGTTGCTTGGGTTTTGATTCTAGGTGTTTAGTTGGATATACCTTTTGGTTATGGGGGGAGTTTTCATGCTGAACAAATTGCAAAGTACAAATTACGAAGCACAAATCAGATTTCTTTTTTAGATATGCCGTTGTTTATAGATTTAAAATGAAAATTAGAAAATTCTCGAACATGCCAGAAAATGCCCATATCATGGTATTGTAGAAGTTGATTCGTAGACTAACCTTACCTCATCCCATGTCTTGCTTGCATAGCCCAATTTAATACATTCACATGTCATCACATGCGAGTAGTTATTAGTCCTACAATGTTATACAATGAATGAGGGCCTAACAATAACTAATTCATCCAAAGTCATTGATCACCCAATGAGGGGCAATCCCCCCCCCCCCCCCCCCCCGACGGGACACGCACATGCTACACAAGTACGGAACGGTATCCAACACTTTACAAAACTACCAAGGCCACATTCACCTTGTAAGATAAAGCAGATAATAGACATATGTATTCAGTAGAATATAATTACAGTAGAAACCCAAGTTGGTCACAAAACCAGACCCTTCTAGGGCTGAACTAGGGCTGATCAGCAGTCTAATCTCCAGTCAATCCAAAAAATAACTCAAGCGAGAGACATTCTTGGCATGCTCAGAGCTGCTTTGTAGATGAAATACAGCCTAGTACACCGGCACCTTGAAAGCAGGGAAAGAGTAAGTCCAACTATCAATGGAAGCCTTGTCATCAACACACTTGAAGGTGCTATTACTCTTCCAGAGCGGACGAGTAGGCCACTGGCAAAGCATCTGAGTTTCACCCTCATAAGTACCAGACGAGACAGTCGCATTCAAACGAGAAGGCTTAACATCATTCTCCACCCAGTCGATCATAGTCTGCATATTATCCTCCGGGTACGGGCCGGGCTGAAGGGAATTTGTGCCGCAGTGCGCAGCACCGGGGATGAGGTAGAACTGGTACCAATCGGCAAGTTCCTTGAGACTCTCCTGCGAAGACAGATGTGGGTACATGATCGAGCGGACGGACTGCCAGTAATGCACGGAAGACGCAGCGGGGATACTGGGGTCCGATTCACCGTGGTAGTGCAACAGTTTTCCGCCGGAGGATTGGAACGGGGTTAGATCCGGCAGGGTGGTTTGCAGACTGTCCATGTAGCGGACCATGCCGATGTTCATCCAGTCGACGAGGGTGTCGTAGGTGACGTTGTCAAGGTCGGAGAGGTTGTCGAGATCGAGGAGCTGGATGAACTTGGTCACGTACTCGCCGCCCGTCGAGGGGATGTTGATTTCCCACTTGCTGGATGCGTTGTTCCACTGAGTGTCGCCGTCGCTGAGCTCAGAGCCGATTTGCCAGGACAGGTAGGCGCGCTCGCCCTTCGAGTTGTGGAGGCCGTCGTAGATGGTTTGCGCGACTTGCACGCCCTCGGCGGTGACTTTACCGCTTTGTTCAGGCGTGGTGGAGGTGCTGGTCCCGTCGGCGCGCTTGCTAAAGCCGAAACCTAGGGAGGTGCTAGTTTCTGCTGCGCAGTAGTATTCCTCGCCGATGATGGAGCTCAGATTGAAGTTGAGCTTGCAGAGGTCGGTGCGGGAAATGACGCCGTCGGTTCGGCCGTCGAGGGGATCGCAGGCGGCGATGGTGGCGTTGACTATCTTAGCCAGCTCGCAGGGAGGGGGTAGTAGTCGAGGGTTTGCTCAGCTGCAGCTGGGAAGACGTGGTGGACTTGCTGTTGGCCGAAACGGAAGGCTGGGGCTCCTGTGATCGCTCCGTCGTACTCCTCTCCGTAGCGCTGGATTTGGCTCATACCCTCACGGCCGCCGTCAGAGCAGCCTTCGTAGTAGGTGTAGACCTTGGCGGATGAAGACATGCCATAGAAGCCCTTGGTAAGAACTTTTCCGATCTTGGTCATCTCGCCTAGAGCTTGGTATCCGAACATGTAGGTTGCATCCCAGTTGATGGTTCCGTTGCCGTAGAGGACCACGTCGTCGTAGCTGTAGTTGAAGGCATCATAGCCTGCGCTGGTGGCACCACTAACAGCACCGTACTCGAGACCACCGGTTGCATCGCTGGACAGAGAGAAGCCACCACCGCCGGCGACATAGAAGCGCTTCTTGAAGTCGGTGGGCTTGGGGAAGGCATACTTGATGACGACGGAATCTCCCTTGCCAGTGTGCTCGTAGGTGACGGTCACATTGCAGTAGGTGTAGGTCTCGGTGCTCCCCATACCAGCGCTGGCATTGTAGACAGCACTGGCAGTCACAGCGGAGGGGATCATGCTGATACCCAGCAGAGTGCCGTTGGAGGGCAGGGCAGACCGCACATTCGAGACGGTACAGACATCAGCAAGAGAAGCAGCGCTTGCCGATGCTGCCAGGGCTGCAACAGATGCGCCCCAGGAGAGACGCATGTTGAAGTATATCGAATGGATAGATATAAAATGGAATAAATGAGCGTCAAGAAGAAAATATAACGAGTGTGAAGACTTAGAGGATTGACAGGAACGCTAGAGGTAAGGCTATACTTATACTATCTTTAGGACTTTATATTATAACGGTTGGTTTCCAGTTCCTGGCAACTGAGGCGCAGATCATGCGTAGCCCGCTGCGTTTCCTGCAATCAAACCATGAAACCATGTCTGGGAACAAGGATCACACTCCGTCGGCGTGGATACTTAGTCGTCACCATCTAACTCCTATCACAAGGCACAGTTCAAAATGTGAAGGGAAACGGGTCGGTCCCCATAGCTCAACTTGTATCTAGTTCAATTCAACCTTCCAAATTAAGGGTTCCGGAGTAAGTCATTTCCTCAGAGAGACTCGTTGACCAGTAATGGGCAAGGAGGCACTAGCTTATTTTGAGTTTGATGTGGCCGGGTAAGGTTTATTCCCTTATACTTAAGATCTAACCTTAAAACGCATCCATGGTCCGGCGACTGCGTCATTCCCAGATACTTACGCGTGGCCATTTTTAAAGTCCATGGGTCTGATCTAGGGCAAAGTGTCAGCCTCATGGTCTACGGTTAAACTTCGGCCCTGGTGAGTCTAATCGATCTCCATAGAAGGTACCTATAATTAACTTGCTGAATGAATATTCGACTGAGAAAGGCTAGACTGCAAGATTATTCGCTTTAATCCTTTTCCACTAGTCGTTTGGGCTTTGGCACTTCTTCGGAAACATTGATATACGGCCCATTCCATTTACATGACCCACATTCATAGCCACCTAAGTTAAGGGGGTTAGGGCTTTGTGGTGACCCATAAATAACACCAAGTCATCGGGCATTATCAGATCAAGAATTCTTAAAACAAGGTGTCCACTACCAACGTGGTTTAGTTCGGGAAACTCTATGGCTCCATAAATGAAACTACGTTAGATTAACTTGTTTACTTGATACTCGGGGCAGACAAAAGTATAGCTCTTCAATATTTGAGGGAAGAAAATACAAAAGAACAATCTTGCGTTTCCACATATAGACATACAAGAATAGTCGGCCGCTTATGCGGCCTCTGTCCTTGACGACCTCAGACTTGATTGATCTGATCTATTTGGACCAAGATGGTATTAGGGATGTTAATTGTAAGAGCCCTCCGATATGCTTTTTGGATGTTCTCTTTATATGTCTTTTTTATGTCTTTTCTGATGTCTTCTTAGGTGTATACGAAGGCGTAAAAAAAGCATACTTTGTGCAAGAGACTTTTCAATGTATAACCTTTGAAATACGATGTTACTATCTCAATCGACCTTGACCACCATCTTGCCATATGCCTCGTTATCTTCCATCAACCGGTGAGCCTGTTGGATTTCCTCAAAACGAAACATTTTCCAAGGATCCGCATTAAATTTTTTTCGCGCCACCATAGCTACTATCTCCCGAAGAGGAACATCCGACAAAGGAAACTCAGGGGTTCCAAAAACAAAACTCCCAAAGAAGCTAAAGTGGACACCACTCGCCATCTGCAGAAGAGGATTGAAGTCCGGAATGGGCGCAAGTCCACCCAAGAACCCGGCCAGGCAGACTCGTCCTCCTCTGCGCGCTATCTTGAGTGAATCAACAACAGTGCTGTTACCAATAAGTTCCAGAATAGCATCAAACTTCTCGGAAATACGTTCGGAGAGATCCGGTCCTTCTATCAATACCTCGCCAACCCCAAGAGCCTTGAGTTGGGATATGCGGTTCTCCGTTCGGGTTGTTGCGGTAACATGAACTCCAGACTGGACGGCCAGGTTAATCGCCGCTCTCCCCAGAGCAGAGGTACCACCACGAACGAGAAGCCGTTGACCAGCTGATATCTCCAGGTTCCGAAAGAGACAGGTCCACGCCGTGGCATATGATTGCGGGATGGCTGCTAGCTGGTCCCAACGTAGTTCTTCTGCAGCTGGCCCAAGTGCGACGACATTCGAGACTTTGACTCGGGTGTATTCAGCGTAGCTACCGTCAATAGTACGCCCAAGCCCGCCCATGAGACTTGCGACAGGAGTCCCTTCTTTGAATTCTCCTCCTGGGCAGCTGGATACTGTACCCACACACTCTATACCGCTAATTGGCATCCATTCGGCCCATTCTCCCTTTCGCATATGCATTTCCGCATGGTTGACGCCAAAGGCTTTGATTTGTATTATGACCTCTCCATGCTTTGGCTCTGGAATCGCCACATCTTTGATAACTAGAGAGTCGGGTCCGCCGAATTTTTCAATGACTATTGCTTTCATGGTGGATTTAATAGAACTAAAGAGTTGGAATTGTGCGACAGATCAGAGCCGATTCTAGATAGGTATAGACAAGATATTACATCAGTGTGACGTTTATACTTACATATACCCATGTGGTTTTGCTCTGTTTGTTCGGTTTGATATCGACAGCCATATCCCATCAAGTCTTGCTTGTATGCTTCTGTGATTAGAAATAAACACCTTTGCCCCTCCGTAGGTGTTGTTGGGAGTTCAACTTGTGTGGCCATCAGTCAATCATACCCATACCACCTTCCTCGCATCAAACCTCCCCTTTTCAGTTTTCCAGGGAAGCACATGTCCCCGCTGGTTACTCACAACCCTAATTCCCTTCTGTTTAAACTCGGTCGTATAATGTGTATGCCCAAACACCCAAACCTTGACTCCATCCCAGGGCTGCGACAAGAGATCCGTTCCAAACGCACAACCCCACAGATTCTTAACGTGCTGTGGACTCGAAGTGCGCTGCAGGGATGGTGCATGATGCGTGACCACCAGGATAGACCGCTTTTCTTGGAAATTCTCCCGGAGAGTTTGGATCTCCCCCCTTAACCAGGTCAAGTCGGACTCGTGAGCTTTGTTGTGTTGCTCAACAGACCACTCTTTGATCTTTTGGAAATCGGAGTGCTTATTGGACTGTATCTGTTGATTCCTGGGGGATTTGGGACCAGAGTGTGGAACCTAGGATTGTCACGCTGGAGTCGGGGATGTCGTATCATCGTTGCTGGAGTATTACAAGTCGGCCATTCATACAAGGTTCGTTTTCGAGCTGCTTTGCTTTTTCCAGGCCTGACTTGAAGGTTGTTTCGTAGAATTCATGGTTTCCAAGGGCCAAGAACACTATCTCAAATTTAGATATTTGGTTTTGTAGGAAGTCCCGATAGTTGTTGTAATCTTCCAGACGGCCGATCTCGCCTGCGAGGATGAGAAATTTAGAGCAAACGGGGGTTTCAAAGGAATATTGTTGATTGATTTCCAGATGTAGGTCAGATAGGATCTAGAATGAGCTAGAGGGGGGTATTTTAAAAATAGACCAGATCGTCTGTAGTGCCATATTGAGCAATAATAAAACGAAACCCAAGTAACTCAAGTAGATGGAATTCGTGACTATCGAGAGATCAGGAACACAGCATAGGCTGACCATGTGATATCCTGGCTATATGTATTTGCGAGGTTGGATTGGTCCCATTCTCAATCCCATCTAGGCCATATAAGCGCCACCAGAGACCTGCCAAGTCTGTCCGGTCAACCACTGCGACTCGGGGCTAGCAATCAAAGCCGCAACCCCAGCAACATCCTCAACTTCCCCAGGCCGACCCAGCGGAGACCACTTGCTCAAAGCCTCATCGATCTGCTGGGGATTCATCTTGTCACCTCCGGGGATATACTTAGCCGACATCTCAGCATACATATCAGTCTTGACACCGCCAGCAGCAATGCAGTTGACAGTAATGTTTCGAGGGCCAAAATCCATCGCAAGACATTTGGTCATACCCTGTACAGCCGCTTTGGAAGCAGCATAGACAGCGTGGCGAGGGACGCCCTAAATCACATCAGAAGTTGTCAGCTCCCATACGCAATCCAACAAACCACCAACCCCCCAGGGCCCTTGTCCATATCCTCTCACCTTAACAGCAGAAATCGACGAAGTCAACATAACCCGCCCATAATCCTCCATGAAACGATAAGCCTGCTGAGCGACGAAATATTGTCCTTTGACATTCACCGCAAAGACAGCATCGATATCGCTGCCCCTAACCTCAGAGAGATCCCCGAAATGCTCGATGCCCGAGTTACTGACTGCGATATCGAGGCGGCCGAATTCGCGGTGCACAGTCTCAAACATGGTTTTCACCTCTTCTTCCTGTGAGACATCGGCTTTGATGGCAAGGGCGCGCACCCCTAGGGCACGGATCTGCTCGACGACGGAATCCGCTGCCGTGGCATTGGAGGCGTAGTTTATGGCTATGTCTGCTCCACGTTGAGCGAATTTGAGGGCTATTGCGGCGCCGATGCCGCGGCTGGAGCCAGTGACTGTTGTTTTCTGTGAGTATGTTGTTGGCTTGGAGTGGTGGCGCGGTCCCTACTTATTGCAACTTTGCCGGCTAGCTCTTTGTTTGTAGACATGGCTGTGAGGTGAGGACTGGGTGGGAAAGTGTCTCTGCATATCAACAGGGAGTGCCGTCTCTTATAGCTTACCGTGTTCTATGATCTCAAAGATCGGTGAGCACCTGCATGCATCTTGGGGGACCACGCGTATGGACCGAATTTGGATTACTGAAAACGGATAATATCTTCGAATTGTAAAAGTCTTTTGAATAGATAATGTTACAAAGTACATGGTTCAAATCGATTCGAATTGTTCCTAAGTTGCAGGTACATACTCATCAAATACAAGGGGTGGTCTTGCACAATATGAATCTTGTCGATGCAGTCAAGAGAACGCACCCAGGGAAATCAATCGCTTGGAACAATACAGCGCCATCCTCCGGAAGTCCATCCCCGATTTCAAAAACAAACATTGACGGGGAAAAAAACGCCTTTCCTAGATGGCACAGAAGTGGAAGGGGCAAAAAGGTTTTCGGATTACACATGAGAAGAAAGCATGAGCAACATTTAGAAAAGTCGAAGGCGCAATATGAAGCGTGGGGTGGTTTAATTAGGTTTTTCAGACCCACGATGTTGAACAATTCACTCTTCAAGGCCATATTCAGCGCCGTTTGAAGTACTGGGGCTATCCCGATTGGGATTGTTGAAGGTGAGCTTCAGCTTCGGCTGGCCTGGAGTGCCAGCAGTAAGGGGAGTGTCGGTGCCCGAAGCAAAGTCGGTCGAGCCATCACCGCCGGCAAACTGATCTTCAAAGTTGGCGAGCTCAGGATGGTCCTCGGTCAGTCGTCGCAATTCTACCAAGCACTTGGTCTGTTGTATCATTAGTATGAAAATTAAGAATTAATAAGAACTCAAACTTACCTCGATATCATTGGCATCCTGGAATAGCACACTTCCATCCTCGTTGTAAGTGCGGGCATTCCGGCAAAGCAAGTGGATGTCATTGCGGAATTCCCTCAGGCTCTGGTAATCGGCCCGCTTGACCTTCTTCTGAATCGCATCCATAGCAATGGGATTTTGAATGATCATGTAGTAGTCGGGATAATAAGAACGCGGTGGAGGCTTCATGAATGGTTCAATGATTGAACGGACCATGGGACCCTCTTCACTATCAGAGCCCTCCGGTTGCACCTCAGCCTCCATGTCCATCAACGACTGGATCACGGTGTCAACAATGCGAGTCAAGTTGGCACGGTCAGTGGGGTTGAGAGTATCCGGAACTTTGGGCTGGCGGCCTCTCTTGCGCTTAGGTTGTGGGGTTTCTTCCACAACTTCCTCCGCCTTGCGCTTGGGAGGAGGACCACGACGGCGCTTCTGCTTTTGAGGAGTCTCGTCTTCATCAATAATTGATGGCTCGGGCTCCGGTGAAGACTCTTCTCCGTCACGTCCAGTCTTGTTAGACTTGCGACGCTCAACACGAGCTTCCTTGCGTGCGATCGCTTCTTCAATAGTATCATCATCGGCGTCCACTGCCATCAACCACTGCTCTTCGGTGAGACCATCATCGTACTTGGTCACCTTACGCTCACGAGCACCACGGCCAGTGATCTCAATCTCGACTTCTTCGGTGACAGGGTTATCCTCCTGCATATAAATTTCGGGCAATTCTTGTTCGCACATCAGTCGAGGGTAGCGGTGGCCAGGACCATATTGGTCGTTAGCGATTCGCTGCCTGTCCATCTCCTGGAAGATGGGAAGTTCTTCTTCGGAACGTGCCATAATTTCATTGAGTTCGTCATCATCCATTTCGTCGTGATCACCGATCTGTTCCGCAGCCTCCGCCGTGTCCAGGAGAGTTCGAAGAAGTGCATCTCGTTCTTCATTGGTGGACTTGTTGTCGAACTTTCCGGCCTGGATAACCTTGCCATCCATGTCCAACTTGAACTGTGCACGCTCAAGAATTTTCTCTTCGACCGAGTTAGAGCTGATAAGCCGCAAAATGCGGACCTCGTTCTTCTGACCAATACGATGGGCACGATCCTGGGCTTGCAAATCCTGGTGAGGGTTCCAATCCGAATCATAGATAATAACGGTGTCTGCAGTCTGCAGGTTGAGACCAAGACCACCTGCACGAGTGGAAAGCAAAAAGCAGAAGTAGTCAGACCCAGGAGCGTTGAACTGCTTCAAGAGTTCTGATCGGTCGTCGGACTTGGTGGATCCATCCAGACGGAGGTACTTCATCCCACGAAGGCGAAGGAAATCCTCCATGATGTTCATGATCTGAGTCATCTGGAAGAACATCAAGACTCTGTGGCCCGTAGCACGGAACTTGGGAAGAACACGATCAAGCAGCTCAAACTTTCCTGCCGTGCGCCAAAGAAGGTCGTTGGATATGCGGGTGGGATTCATCTGGTCTTCAACAGGCTCAAAGACGAAAGGATGGTTGCAGAGCTTTCGCAACTGCATAAGCATGTTGCTGAGACCACGCATTCCAGTCTTACCGCCCTTGCCATCAGTGACAGCCATCTTGTTGTGGGTGACAAGTTGCTTGTACAACTTGGCCTGCAAGGCAGAGAATCGGCACTTGATGACACGCTCCTGCTTGTCAGGCAAATCTTTCTCGACATCCTTCTTCAAACGTCTGAGAAGGAATGGCCGAAGAACCTTGTGAAGACGACGAATAACGAGAAGCTGCTCCTCTTCGCTCAGGTCCATGCGGTCCTGGCCACCAGTGTTTGCGAAAGGTGTGTTGAACCATTCGTCGAACGACTTGACAGACTTGAAAATGTTGGGAAGGACGAAGTTAAGAAGAGCCCATAGTTCGGGCAGGTTGTTTTGCAGGGGAGTACCGGTCAAAATGATACGGTATCGACTGGTGTAGTAGGTTGAGAGGGTGCTGCTGAGCTTGGACTGTGTGTTCTTCATGCGGTGACCTTCATCGACAATCATGTGTGTCCACTTGATCTTGCTAAGAACCGGACGATCCTTGATAATGTACTCGTAGGTGGTGAGAAGAACTTGGAAGTTGCCCCAGCGGATCTGCTGCTGTTGCTGCTTTCGTGCATTAGGTGGGCCCTTGTAGACTACCTTGCTCACGCTGGGCGCCCACTTATCGAACTCGTTGTTCCAATTAGTGAGCGTGGACAGTGGAACAATGACCAAGAACGGCCCATTGTTCTTCTTCTTTTCAATGATGTGGGTAATCAAACTGATCGTCTGGATTGTCTTTCCAAGACCCATCTCGTCGGCCAAAATACCGTTCAGGTTATTGTTGTACAGTGAAATCATCCACTGCAGGCCTTTAATCTGATACTCCTTGAGGGTACCTCCCACGAGCATATCAGGCTGCGCGGTGACTTCTTCGTTGATGCGATGAGCGACAGCGTAGTAGTCGACCTTCTTCTTTCCAGTGGCGGTTTGATTGTCGTCCTCATTTTCACTATCAGCGATCTCTTGGTCAGACTCGTCGTCGTAATCATGCGCCTCGCCATAACGATTCGCCAGATTGCGCTGTTGTTCCTTGACGGATGCAGCAAGCTGCTTAAGGAAGTTGTCGGTCTGCTTGAGCAGATGAGAGATACGTGAATCCTTGGCCTGTCCCAAAAGCTTCAGATATGTCTCCTCATCGTTAGCCTTCAAAGCCTGCAGACGCTGCTTGGCAGTTCGCTCCACGCGCCTCTGCTCTTCGCGTTCCATGTGCTGGTGGTGTGAGATCATCATACGACCCAGCTTCTGCGAGCGCGTACGTTGCTGGATGGAAGCATTGGCGAGATCAGCGCTGTGGTTGAGAATGGCCTGCAGCTGGTCGTATTGCTTCTTCTTCTCTCGAGATTCGCGAGCATCACGTTGTTGCTTCTCGAGCTTCTCGGTGATACGAGCCTCACGCAGTGACTGCTTCTTCATGCGGCGGTGGCTCGAGCGATTGGCTGTCATTCCGAGGTTGCTGTAGTGGAACATCTCGCTCTGGAGCTGCTTGCGATACTGTCGCTGTTTGGGTAAGAGACTGAGTGATTTATACTCAATCAGGGCCTTCAGCTTGAGGGAGTCATCGTAGGTGGGTGCGTCACTCTTGCTGGTATCCCATACACCGAGGTTAGCGGGAAGTTGGGCAAGCTCTGCTTTGCGTGCGGTGATTTTATTATACAGTATGATCTCACGATCCTCGCGCATCTGCTCCAAGTCAATGCCAGGTGGCAAAAGCGCGGGGATGCGCACGCGATTAGCACGGTTGGCGTGGTCAGCGTAGCTAATAGTCTTGGACAGCGAGTCATATGGAGACTGGAAGTTGTCGTACCACTCCCTGGTCATGACTTCAGCATCGGAGCTTTCTGGAGGCTGGCTACCAGCGCCGTCATTGGCAGCTTCAACAACCTTTTCGGCTGCGGTAACATTGTCTGTGGGAGTAGGTGGTTGAGACTTCTTCTGGTTTTGGAAAAGCTGTTCTTGGACACGCGGGGGAATGGCGAGGTTCTTGGATAGCATCTTGAAAGCCAAGATTTGGTTTCGAAGAGTAGCCAGTTGCTCTGGTGAAAAGCTACCGCTGCCAACCGTCGCATTCTTCTGGTTCAGAGCAACTGCCGAGGCATTGGTGACATTAGGCGCAGCAGTCGAGGAAGCCGAGGGTGTGCGGCCTGTGAGAAATGTCAGCCCTGTATAAGACCTTGCGTTTGTGAGGGGAGAGAGTCAATGACAAAGCTTACCATGAGAGCCATTGGCCGCTTCAGGAGTAGCGCCGTTCATCTGTTGCTGTTGGCGCTGCTGTTGAGCCTGCTGCTGAGCCATGCGCTGTTGTTTTTGGAAAGCCTGCTGCCGTTGAATGGCAGCAAGTAGGTTGTGGGCCTTGAGGAATTCCGGGTCGTCAGGGCGAACACCTTGTTCTTGCATTTGCTTGTATTTCTGCGACAAAGTTAGAGACGACAACAAGGGCAGGCACGGCATAGGAAGGTGCGTTGAAGAACTGAAGAATTGATATACGCCGAGTTGTGTTGTTGTAATGCGACAAACTTACCTGGAGTATTTCCTGGACATTTTGCTGCGTGAGGTTAGCCGGCAGGCTCACGTTGCCAGGCGCCATGTTTGGCGCTGGGTGTAAGGAAGCCATTGTGACGCGTGTATTTTTTTTTAATTCATGAGCAAGCGAGGTAGGTTGGGGCAGGCAATGTCAAGGTTGATGCGGAGTTGTGGAAAGTCACGATCTCCACCTGGTATCAATTGCCAAGTCACGCGGGCAAGAGAAGGGGCGGTCGCGGTCGAAATAAATGGGCAGCGACAGTGTGGGGTGAGCCTGATTGTCGTGAATGCGATCAGTGAGCGACTGTATGGGATGCTTGGCGATGGAAAGCGTGATGTTTGGGGCCGTGGTCGGAGCTTCCGATGCGATGGGGGAAGCGGGTACTTTCAGAGACAAGGGAGTCAAAGAAAGCGAGTAAAGAGGCGAGTTCCCAGGGTAAGGCAAGGTGGGAGGGGAACTCAAAAGTTGAAGGCGCGTTGGGATGGCGCGTTCAAAAAGTGGATGGATGAAAATGGAGATGGGGAGGGAACGGAGTTGCGCGACAGGCTCGGGGAAATCTGGGTGCTCAGAGCAAAGGACTGACAACAGCCTGGCAAGGAGTTTTTTGCAAAGCACGTTAGTCAGCAGGCACGTGAGCCCGTGCTGAATTGTGGCCTGGGGCAGCGCAGCTCTGGTACCGTACCAGTTTGGGATAAGGCTAATATCAGGGTGTAGTGGTGAGAGAAGAGTGAGTTGATTTAAGGGTCTTTGTAGCCTGGGGTTGGGCATTTTGCCTATTCAACTTCATTGAATCTATTGAATGGTTTTCCTTGCAATAACAATACAAATGACAATACATTGTAAAGTTAGACACACCCGGATCCACCCTTGATGTTCACGGGTATCTACACGACCGAAGATAATACCTAATTACACTTCCAAAATGTGAAGAAAGGCTTCAATGGATTTACCTATTCTCTAGGAGACGCATGTATCCACGTTTCTCGTCATCCTACTAACTCTGCGTTGAGACTAATAGTAGCCGGGGAATCCTCCAGACCTCCATGGGAATCAACCCAACATGGCAAAAGCAAACCAGAAAGAACAATCAAGGAAAGGACAGAACAATCCCATGTAAGACTCAAGGGATTAGTGACGGAATGATAAGAATAGATACCACCGCCACAACCTATCATAAGCTCCCAAACTCCAAAACCCCATGCTCAAGATCAAGAACGGACGTAAGATGCACTTTCAGAACGTTCCTTTACGCATTTGGTGCAGCTAGAAGGGACCGCTTCATGGGTGGAGGTGGAGGGGGCTTCTTCGCACGAGATGGTGGAGGTGGAGGAGGAGCCTTCTTCAATCCAATAGTGTTCAAGTTGGTTGCGCTGGGTCTCCGGGATGGCACGCTGCCGTGAGACGTTGCCGGGGAGATGGACCTGCCCCCGCTAAACATCCGCTCGGGGCTAGAACGGCCATATGAGCTGACCTCTTCGGAGTCGGCATAAGGATCAGCAGAGATTCGACCATTTCCAACTTGAGTGCTGCTTCGACGTCCAAACCCGCCCAGATTTTCGCTGGCAGTTCGCTGCTGGATCCACTGTGATGCAACTGGCGCTTGTTCTTGTCGCAGTTGAGCCGGACCTTCGAAGGTGGGAACTCTGTTGAGAACCGGATGTGAGACCCCACTGGTATTCCCGTAGGTCTCTCGCGGGGGCGACTCGGCGTATGGCGTAATCGATCTGGTTGATCGGATGGGAGGCCGAGTCTCCGTGGCATTCATCAACTCTTCCTGCAACGGCTCATACCGTTCCTGGTACGAGTGGGCAGTGTTGGAACGAGCACGGGTCGGACGACGGGGAGGAGCCTGTGCTTGGCTGTATCTATTTCGTATTAGTACCCCACACGAGATGCAGCGGCCAAGATCAATGCTTACCCAGCCCATTCATTCTTGAGCTGCAGGAGGGCCTCACGGGACCGTTCATGGTATTCAAGCTGGGCGTCCAAAAACACCCCCATGTCCATAACATTGTCGGTTTCGGCTTCTTTGATGTCCTGCATGCGACGCAGTACGTCGTCGCTAGCCTCCTCGTACTTCACTTTTTGTGAACGTAGTTCTTCCTCCACGCGGAAGTCCTCCTTCTTAGCCTTCTCCATCTTGGAGAGAGAAGTATCGTATGCCAGTCGTCGGCTGTCGAGCTTCTTGCGAGCATGCTATGAGGCAGGTTAATACATGACCTTCGTCCTTCAATTAATTATGAGAGTCGAAAGACATACCTGCAAGTCTTTCATCTGAGTCAGGGATCTTTCCAGGGACTCAAGCCAGCTTGAAGTCGCCTGTGCAATGTAGCTTTCCTGGATGCGTGCAATGCGCTCCTCGGTGCGCCCAAACACTGATCGAGTTGTTAGCGATGTGATTCCTCACCCGCATTCCCAAGGTTCCAGGTTTGTCTCCAGGACATACTGATCAGGCACTGTCCGTATTCTGAGTTCCCATCGAAGTCTTCGCCGTGGGTCACCATGCTGCTTCCCAAATGGGCAATCGGGAGGGTTTTCTCCTTGTCGTCTCCCTCATTGCGCTTCGAGATAGCCTTGACATAACAGGTCATGGATTTATGAATGCGGTCAACGCCTAGAGGTAGAGAGAATTTGGGTTAGTATGGATAAACTGCAGGCGCGGGGGGTAGTCACAACCTACCTTCATGTCGCACACCCATCTCCGTCTCCATTGCCTTGAAATCATCAGAGAGACAGGTCTTGGCCTCTCCGCCCATGCGTTCTCCAGCCCATTGTTTGAATCTGCCGATCCTCTTGTTCACGTGCATGTTGGGAAGGTGGGATGCTAATGGTATGTGGAAGGATAATCGAAACCAGCGATTGTGTAGAGTTGAGGCAAGATAAATTAAAAAGTCAAGGGAACGACTAGAATGCTCTAGGATAAGAGTAAAGAGAAAAGACTGGGGAGGAGGGGGAGAGGAGGTTGGGAACGGTTAAATTAAATCATATCCCTGGCACGCAATTATGATAAAATAGGGAAATAGGGAAATAGGGTAATGGGCTACATTTGCATCTCACAAAGTTACAAACAAGAAATACAATGCGTTTTTATGCATGCAGTAATTGCCGATCTTGTCAATCAGTGGGGAAGGCATTGTATTCTCAATCTTCTTGTATTATTACATATGTACCATTGAGCCAAAAACAGAGGGGAAAAAACTGTATAGTTTCTCAACGGGAGGGTGGTCGTATTTCGTACAAAAGGGCAGACAGACTAAAATAGTCTGAGACCAGGGGAACACCCCAGGCGGTTAAAGCAGTGACACGCGTTAGTGGACCGGTGGAGAGCCACTAAATCCCATTGGAAGCTTCGAATTTCCACATTTTATTCCATTACTATAATTATCTATTGCCACCCTGGTCCAGTCTGGAATATTAATGGAATATCAAGTATTGTGACATATATAAAACCTTGGAACATTATCCTGATTACGGTAAATAATGTACAAAATAATGTGTAATTATATACAGAGTACAATACTCGCACGGCGTATATTAGAAAAAGGGTTTCAAATCTGTTTCAGTTGATCCGTGGCCACTCTGGGCTCTGGGCTCTGGGCCATTCGCTTTACGAGTACGGAGTAGATTAAGATCCATTGACTATCAATGGGTTTGCATCGCCGCAATGCCAACGTCAATCAAATCTAAAACAGCACAAATCCTGGAAATTACCATTTATCATTACGTTCGCATTAAACTATATCATTGGTACAAATACATACTTGTTCTCCAGTCCAAATATCCGTATCATAAATCATGTGGTCCCATCAAAAACATCATTCGACCAAGATCATTCGAGGGTCAATAGATAAGCCAGGCACCCACGTTTGTTCTGATTCAAAAGCCAGCAGAGCATCGAACTCATTCCAGCCACCCATAAATGGGATTTCGCCTCCAGCCGCCGACAGACCACCCCCTTTCTCACTATTCCTATCTAGATCCGAGATCTCACCACTCCTATCCCTAGAGGCTGACCGCGGTGTTTCAACTCCAGAAAAAGCATCGGATGACGATGATTCCGGCGAGTGCAGGTTGCTTTGCCCAAGGCTGCCTACATATTGACCGGGCGTAACGCCCACATGCTTCTTAAACACACGATGGAAATGACTGGGTGTCAGGCCAGCCTCCGCAGCCAGATCTCTTAATTTGGGTTTCAGCCCTGCCGTCAGAATGTTCCGAATTGACTCGCAGGCTTTGTCAATTATGGCGGTTTGGGGGTTGCTTTGAGCCGCCGTCTGACCCGAATGCGGACGGCAGCGCTTGCAGGGTCGGAAGCCTGCTTTCTCCGCTTGCGGAGGGGTGTCGTAGAATTGGACGTTGGCGCGGCGGGCTAGTCGTGCTGGGCATGATGGACGGCAGTAGATTTTTGTGGTGAGGACGGCGTAGACGAAGCTGTTGGCTGTTACGTCGCGGGTTGCTATGGCTTGCCACCGTTCTGTGTTGGTGAGGGCATTCCGGCTGAGTCGGGGGATCTGTTGGGGCTTGGATAGATCTGTCATATTCACGAGGTATTCAAACTGTAGAGATATCTTCAAGGTATTCTATTCATTGTGGCATGAAACTCCAGGTAGAGGGGAACCTCGGGAAATCTCCAGGACAGTTGATCCCAAAGTGACCAATCAGCGTCCAGATTGGCTCCCCTCAATGTACATGGTGTACATCCATAACTAGTAGTTACATCAGGGCCATCACATATGGTATTTATAGTATCTACATGTAGCATTAAATGATTTTCTTGGTCTACTATGTTTCACAGCCTACTTCCCAACTTCTTTCAATGTTGTATTGCTTGTATATCTGATTTCTCTTCGGTTCCTTGGTATATATATAGTGTAACCCTGACCCGACTATATATAACTATACCGACCAACAAGTGAGAGAACTATAGATCTTATAGAAGATTCATCTATTCCTAAGCTAGAATAGCCCCAGTGAGCCAAATGACTAAATTGGGACATATTGGCCCTTTCGAGCGTAGTCCCCGAGTCGGAGCTCCTAGCCAAGCTGATGTCATTATTTATTTTCTTTCTTTTTTTCAATGTAGAACTAAGAGTCTACTAAATTTCAAGTGATGCATAGGATCCACAAACCTCATAGGAGTATCCACTAAATGGAAACGTAAGGCAAATGCTTTGATACCAGCTTATTGTAGAGTCTGAGGAGCTCAAATCTTTCTAATGATGCCTATACAAGCAACCAAGAATTAGAATAGCCCTTTCCCACGCACCCTCCAACTTACATTTTCTTGTGGCCCTTGGTTTCTGGGATTCTTTTCGCGTCAAAGTGACGTTTCACGCCCTTCGTGGGAGTTGAGTTGGTCGAACTTCCAAATGGAGAGGACGACGAACCAAAGCCTTGATTATTCAAACCAAACCCCGCATTGACCGTTGAGCTAGACACATTCTGGGTAGGCCATTTTGTACCGGGCGGCGAATCAACCAGATTGAATGTGGCAGTGGCTCCATTGTTAGGTCTAAACCCGCCATTTTCCGTGCTCCCCAGACCGGGAGAGAACAGAGAACCCTGACTTGTACCAAAGCCTCCTCTATTTTGATCTGAAGAAAGGGCGGGGAAGGGAGACGCGATCGGCACTGGTTGAACAATTAGCGTTTGCACATATCGACCTAGTATCTGGAAGTGCTACCTACCAGTGGCAGGAGTTGAAACTTGCGGGAACAGAGCAGGGTGAGAAGCAACAGGCGTCTTCTGAGCTATCTGAGCCGTGCTTGTAAGGTTTGGAGTCTGGGCTCGTGGGGTTGACAATCCTGCTGAAATGATATTCCGATTAGCCTGTGATTCTATGGACGGATATATTATGGAATGTAAATACCGAAGATATGACGAGCACGCAGCGAAGAGTCCGCTTTGCTGAAGGCATTGAGAGTCTGATTTCCCTTTCGGAGCTTTTCGAGCTCTTCATTTAGACGTTCCCGTTCCTTCTGAATGCTCGATGGCTCTGCTGCAATTTCTCGAATCTGCTGATCATCCATGCCAAGTACGGTCTTGCCGGTGAAGATATGCTCCAGAGGGCAAAGAAGACAATTTTCAATGGCCAAGATGGCAACATTATCGACAAATGTCACGTTCGCAGTCTGTAAATGCGGCCTGTTAGAATTACCCGATATCTCATTTTGAATAAGCATGTCTAGCTCACCTCGTAGTATGCCTGCATTTGATCAATAATATCTGCTGCTGCAAGCTGATCGCTGGATGACTGTAGCTGAGATATTGCTCGCTCTAGATCTCGAACATCGAAAGTGCTTCGAGTTTCCTCTCCCTTTGGGGGGCAAGATCCAGACAAGTGGAAGTTATTTTTTAACGCAGAACCTGCCGGTTCTTTCTGGACTCCTGGATCTTGGAGAGAAAAGATTTTCCCACGGGCAGAGGATGGCCCCTTTGGAGTACGAAGTCAATTCGTTGAGCTTTGCTAATAAAGACTCCTTCATATTCTCCATTTCCGGTCCGACGAGGTGTCGCATGAGCAACGGGCGGGTGTGATCGTCCGTGAGGTTCTTCAGTACCAGCTGGATAAAGTACTCGACCGAGTCCCAGGTATTTGACAGATGGGATTTAGCAACTGCTTCCCAGGTCTCGCACTGTTTCCGGAACAAACTACCTACAAGCAGCTGGTTTGCACTACCTGGTAGCTCGATTCCTCATTTTGCCGGGCCTGTTCTTTGATCTCGTCGACAAAAGACTCTTGGGAAATGTACTGCGGTGTCCAATCATCCATGTAAGGCTTGGATCTCTGTTGCTCGACGTCCTCAACAGGTGCTGGCTGTCCAGGGAATTGAATGATTCGCCGGTTCCCGCGAATGCTCATCGCTTCAGCAAAGCATTCATTAAGCTCACGGATTATTGCCCACAGTCGGCGGAAAGGAGATTCTTCTGTGGTCGCCGCATGGTCTTTGAATCTACCGAAAAACTCATCGACGTACGATCCATTCAAGGCCTGGTTTGTGATTCGCGCAAATCTGCTGCTAATATCGACAAGAAAATGGCGTTGCTCTTGAAGAGTTGTGCGTGGCGCGCCCATTTTTGCCAGTGTCTGCTCGTTGCGAGAAATCCTTTCTTGTATGTCCGCAATAAGACCAGGAAGATTGCGACGGACAAGATCAAGTAGAATCTTGCTGAGACGATGCCTCAGACTTTCAATCCCAACTTGGTCATGAGGGAGGGAAGCCCATCGTCCCCTTTCAAAGAACTCCTTTTCTTGGACATCTCGCTCATCATCGGAAATGCTGCGTGTCTCAAACGAGCGGTTCCGCAATACATGCCATCCAAGTTGCAGCTTGACCTTTTCGTTCTTGATGAACTGCACATAACTTTCCTGTTCATCTGAACCCACTTCGGGGATATCGGGTTGCGTGACAATACCCAAGACTCTCTCGTATTTGGGATCAAAAGACTGCGCGATGTTCAAGACCTTCTGGATATGGTAATCGGCCCTTGCACTGATGACAGCCAGGATGACGCTCCGGGACCTTTTCATGTACTTTTCCGTCAACCTCTGAACTATCTCCATTCCTTGCTCGTTTTGTTCGCTGCTGCTGGAGTAGTAGAGGCCCGGAAGGTCGACCAGAGTCAGCTCTGGCTTTTCAGGGCCCGAAATCTCGACTTTAAGCACAACGTCGCTAAATCCAGTGCTCGAAGGATCGGTGCTGGAAAGTCCCATGCATTCCTTCGCGTTTTCGATCAGCGTGGGAAGTTCTCCACTGGAGGAAAAGGACTCGGAGGTGAAGGCTCGGAGCTTCTGCTGTTCCTGCTCATCCTTCCTGGAATCCCCAGGCTCAATTGATACTTCGATTCTGTGGTGGCGCTTCGGCGAAGAACAATTTCGGCCGCAAACCGAGTGCAGATATTGCTCTTGGATGGAAAGCGCACTCTGGAGATTGCCTCCAGTACGGAGCTTTTCCACTAGACTGATTACCGCAGATGATGATTTGAGGTAGTTCCATGAGACCTCCAACCCCAATAGAGCGCAGCTCGTCAAATCTCAATGGTTCCTTCAGCATATGGAGTTGAGTGAGTTTTGAGGTGAGGGAGAGAGAACACTTACAATTCTAAGGGGGAAAGGGGGGAGTAGATAGATCGGATCTCAGTATTAGCCCCGTATTGCTCTGCGTTTGTATTGTCTGCTTCGTTTGTACAACACAGTCAACTTCCCGAATCGGCCATACCGGAGAGCTATGATTTTCATTTTCTGGTAGACAGTTTGTAGAAAGCAGAGGTACACACTATGTACATATCTAATACAGGCATCTGGGCCCGCTTCCGATTGCGCGGCTATTGGGCAAGATTACCACATATCGATGAGCATAGCATGTATTGATGTAGCGTATATAACATTGCTAACCTGGAACTGATCTGTGCCCTGATTCATGATGCGTGTATTTCTGGCTCAACAGCATTGTTGAGAGGTGTGTTAGTTTTATATATAATCTATGTAGTCAACATTAAAGAACTAGATATATACATCCATGGATATAACATACTTAAATGATCTTGGAAGTGATCTTGAAACTATTGATAGGACAAAGAAAGCATTGCGTTTCACTACTGCAATCGCATCAATAACAGGCCATGGCGACAACGATCATACAGCGCAAGGTACATGCCGATGAATTACGGCAGACTGTAATACATGTATCTACTAGGGTGATGGACAGAAACGAGTAAAAATTTAAAGGTGTATCATTCCACAGCCCGAAGGACTTTTTGATTTCGTTTCTGCCCTGTAGAGGCCAACCCCAGACCCCTTTCCATCACCCTTTGATTTGTTCGACAAGAAAAAGGATGGTGACCACAAGCTTAATTCGCTAAGGGCGCATGAGACGCTCATCCGCAGGCGCCTAAGTACATTTGTCTCATAGCAGAATTCCATTTTCAACCCGTCACAAGAATAACTCCAAGAAAAAGCACCCTTAATCCTTGGTCTTCTGGGTACCGCGGAGCAGACCGGTTCTGCGGGCGGCAATGAGACCAGCCTTTTGACCCTGGGTAGCGTAGCGGGAGATGGTCGAGGCCTTACCGATGTGCTGGTGGTTACCACCACCGTGAGGCTGTAGAAAGAGATGTTAGATTTTGCGGTCCTGGATGTTATCGGATCTGTGTATAGACTGAAACTTACGTGATCGACGGGGTTCATGGCAACACCACGAGTCTTGGGCCAAGAGTTGCGCTTGACGGCGAACTTGTGCTTGGCACGACCGGCCTTGAGCAAAGGCTTGTCGGTACGGCCACCACCGGCAACGATACCAACCATACCGCGGGCAGTGTTCTTGATGACCTTCTTGGCACCGGAGGGGAGCTTGACACGGGTCTTGCCATCCTCGGGGTTGTGGCCAATAACGGTAACGTAGTTACCGGAGGTACGGCCAAGCGCACCACGGTCACCAGCCTTCTCCTCGACGTTGGTAACGACGGTACCCTCGGGCATAGAGCCGAGGGGAAGGACATTGCCGACGGTCAGGGCAGCGTTCTTACCGGCGTAGATGAACTGGCCGGTGTACATGCCCTCGTTGGCGATGAAAGTCTCGGTGATCATCTTGAACTTGTAGGGGTGGCGGAACTGGACCTTGGCGAGGGGAGCACCACGGCCGGCATCGTGGATGATCTCCTTGACGACACCACGGGTGTAACCGTGAGCCTCAGCGAAGTCGAGGGTCCGGAATTGGGCAGGGGCCTTGTTCAGGCGGGTGTTGGCCGCTGTAAAGTAGAAAAAAATTCGATATCAGCACTCCAATCTCCTTGCGAATCTGTGTGGTTTTCCAATCGTCTTCTTGATTTCCTCCTCGCTGCTCGGGGTGCGCAGCCTCGAAATTTCGTGCTGGAATGTTTTGCGGTCGCACTCACTGAAAATGGAGCCACGGCCCTTCCTCTGGTTGCGGATGACACGACCCATGGCGACTGTCTAGACGAGGATCCTGTGTTAGTATGGAAGCCGGACAGAAGTGTCGTAGGAAAGTGGTAAGCGTACCTCGAAGTGAAATAGGCTTGTCGTTGACGAGTTGAGAAATCATCGGACACGGGGACTTGTGTGGGCTTTAGGGTGCGGTCGCTAATCTAACCCAATCGGGTATAGCGCATGGTCGCTTACTTGAATTGGGTTGAACTACAGTAACACAGGCATTTCCAAAATAGGCCTTTAATCGTTGGGTTTATATGGTTTTTATAGATAATAATTGTTTAACTGAATTGAATGCAGTACTTGAAAATAATATCGACTCGAGAATCTCTATATAATCTTCATTTAATGTCTGAAGAGACTTTTTCAGTGTAAGCCCTGTAGATTTTGGGAGGGCAAGTTATGTCATCACCACACACGTGACCGCCAAGACCAGATATCGCCAAGGGTTCTCATTTTGGAGTGTTACTATCCTCCTTCGACCTTGAAACAGCTGTATCTGTATATTTCATGCTTCTGTCTCTGGTTTTGATGTGATGGGACTGTCAATGAAATGAGACTCAAACACGTGTTGGCCATACTTGCCTCTCAAACATTACAGATGTCAATATCAAATGGTTGACAAAGCTCATCGCGTACTTCCAGTATGAAAGCAACAGATAGCTACATAAAGTCGTCTCAAATAGTCGCATTCATTTCTCACTGGGCTATTATCTCTCTAGCTTAATTGATTTTTTGAAAATACCAAATAGAGCTTCATCAGTCCATCATCAGCTCTCTTGAGCATCTACTCTATACAGAAATTTGCAAAATCCAAGCTGCTTTCATGCCAATATCTCATTTGTTTGAATCATTCTCTTCTAGAAGACAGCAAGAAGCCTCAGTAAAAAATAAGTTACAAACAAAGGGAGCAGTTGTGTCCAGAACCCTTTAAATAGTCGCCCTTCGGGCGCAAGCTCGGTGCAGACGGACGCTCGATTGCGCGCAACTTACTTCTCCCTTTACCACCTACTCCATCACTTTCACCATGCCTTCAGATTCAGAACTTTCATCATTATCATCGGCACCTCCGACGGATGACGAAGCTACTATGGCGATTGACCACCCGACTGGTATCGCAAAGTACTTCAAGAAAGAGTCTGAGACGCCGCCACCGAAGCGGGAACCGTCACCTCCGCATGAATACGTCGTGGCCGACAACCCCGATATTGCGGTGAGTTTACTTCGTAGGAAGATTTTGCGCATTGCTTGATCTACGAACATGTATATGACGCGTTTGGTCAACAATAGGACACGCTTGCTAAGTTATCGCAATCTTTAGTTCATCGTCGCGTTCCGCGCGCGTTTCCATGAAGTGTTCCCCAAAGGAGTGCCACACTACGGCCCGCAGGATATTGAGAAGGGGATTGAGGAGTCTCCCCCTGGAGAATACATTGAAAGACTTCTATGCGCATTGCTTGGGCTTGTTCTGAACCGCAAGAAGGAAGTTGAGTATGGTCGCCACCTATCGCCCGATACCGTGCGGAGTGCTTAAAGACGCGCGCTTTCTACCCCCACGCTATCGGTTGTCGAGTTAAGTGCTAATCTAATATTTGAAATATACAGAAGAAACCACTTCACACGTCCCCTCGAAGAAGCAATCCATACGCATCAGTCGCAGTGGCCAAAAGAATGGGAGGAAAAAACCCCCTTCACGGGGGTGGCAGCTTTGCGACCATGTCCCCCGCGGAACGTGTATGTTTTTAAGTCCTTCCACGCATCTGATTTGCGATTCTGACATGTCTCGTCTTAGCTGCGTTTATTGAAGGCCTTGATATTGTGGTCACTTTCGTCGTCCGAAGCGGTCCAGGCCAAGATCAAAGAATCCTACAAGCAGGCGCGCCACGATGATGATCTCAACCAACCATTGTCTGTCCAACCCTGGGGCCGGGATAGCTTGAAACGTCGGTATTGGCTTATCGAAGGGCACGATGATACAAATTTCCGTCTCTACCGCGAAAGTAACCCAGCCCTCAAACACAATACTTGGTGGAGCATCGCGGGGAGTATTCCCGAGCTGGAGGCCGTCGTGGAGAAACTTGAGGGCGAAAAAGGCACAAACTCCAAGAAGCTTAGCGAGAGGATTCGCGCTTCGATCCCTCGATTTGAGGCATCAGAAGAGGTGATTTTCTACCTTGAGAGTAAATTGGATTTTGCTAATAAATCATTAGAAACGGAGACGCCGCGAATATCGTGTCGCACGGAAAGCTGCCTTCGTTCGTCCGGATCCTGGGTTCTCCATGTATGAAGGTCGTACACGCGGCAAGAAACTGAAATACACGTACTCGGACGACGAAGACATCTTTTCTGATGATGAGCCTTCTGCACGTCGCTCCACTAGAAATGCGGCTCCTACGGAATCTTCCACGGAGTCTAGACGCCCTCGATTCACGGCAAGCGGGAGGCAGATTCGATCTCGTGCTGGGGGCCTCTATGGCGAGGCTCTGTTGATTGGTCAACGTGACGGAGCTGATGATGAAGAGTTCGATGAAGATGAAGAAGAAGAAGTAATCAGACCGCAGAGGGCTCGGACTTCGACCCACCCCAACGGATACTCTGGATACGACGCCGATGATTTGGAGGATGCATCTGAAGTCCATTCAAGCGCGAATGAAAGCGGCAACGAATGGCAAGGCGTTGAAGACGATTTGGAGCGCGATTTCGAAGGCGACAATGAAGAAGACGAAGCAAGCGCAGATGAGTCAACTGGCAATGAGGAGCCAGAAAGCCTTGTCGTGCAACTTCGATATGGCAAGGGAGATGCTGGCAATCCGGAGGTCCAGATTGAAAAATCACCTCCTACGGAAGACGTCGAAATGAATGATGCCGGAGAAGCAGCAGCAGCTTCCTCAGCCCAAGTACCGCCGATGACCCTCCCCCATCAATCAAACTCGGGTGCGCAGCAGGCCCCGGCCATGAGTGCACCTTCACACCCTTCTGCTCCGATACCCCAAGTGCCGACCCATTCTGCCGCAGCCGTAGCTGCGCCATCCGTTTCTCCTAACGGCGTGAATCAAATTTGAACCATCTAGCTGTAATTTCGGATTCACTTCAGCATAGGTGTTTCCGTTTCAGTCAGACTAGAAAGAGACCAGGAATGTACATACTACGAAAATTTGCTAGATAGATCTTTTTGGATTGCAATTGTACTTCTACCAGGCCGTGGGTACTCTATTGGCACTAACTGCATACGAAGTAATGGAATGGAGGTGCCAAAACGCAGATTGTCTTTCTCATAAGCAATTGCCCGATCCCTAGGTAAGTGCAATGAACAGTAGACAGCACTACATACTACATACAAATGGCATGTACTCGAACTCTATACGAATTTGTGCCAACCGACAACGCATGTTGTATTATGACTCGGCAGGCCATGAGGTCTGCCCGATACGCCAGATATATGGCAAAAAATAAGATAATCTACTACATAGTTGAGTCGAGGGATATAAGAAATTCAAATGGGAATCAACAATAGCAGGCGCCTCCAACAGCGCAACGCCAAAAATGCAAGTAATACAGTGTACACAGAAGCCAGTCACTAGACCTCTGAATTAAAAAACTAATAGGTCGCGTCCAGTGCAGAGATGACCTCAGTCAGAGCCTGCATTGGAGAACTGAGCTGTGTAAAACTGCAAAAACTCCTCGAGCGTCAGCGTCTCCACTTCTGGTCGAGATCAGATGGGAAATCGATGATGGGGGAAACAGGTACTCACATCTTCAACCTGCGACGCCAGTTTTGGATCCCTGGCTGATCCCATTTGCGGCAGATGCCAATTGTTCACTTCGTACCACCATCTGCGAACCCGACTGCCCAGGGTGTGCCCGCTGACTGAGGCATTGCGGTTCCAGAAGCGCCAGCCCGAGAGCGCGAGTGTCCAGACGGTTCCTTGGATCAGAGGAAGAAGTACCTAGAAGGCAAAAGATTGATGTGTTAGCCAGGTATTGCCAAAGATATTATCCTTGACACTCTAAATTGATCAACTGAATTGCGGCAATGCATACCTGATCCCTAGTAGTAATCCACGCCACTCGTCCCCAGGTGTCGGCATCCTTAATACTGGCCAGATAGCTCTGTTCGAAGCGCAGATCCGGTAGAGGAGGAAGTGTCTGTCGGCGGTGGGTCGGTCGAATTACTCGGCTTGGGTGGACAATGTCGGAGGCAATGCTGTTTGTTTCGGAGTCTGGGCCTACCACGACGGGTTGTTTCTCTGAAGCTGCGGTGGCTGGGTTGATGTCATAAGCTGGGTCAGGGTTGTGATTGATGCTCGCAGATTGGATAATCTGCGGGATTTCCATAGCATGACCGGCCATTTTGGTGGATTATATATGAAGGTAGGCAATCGAAGAGCCTGGGGTGAATAGAAGCACCTGGGCAGCTCCTAAGGTTGTTCGGCTGTTACCGGTGGACCAGGGATACGCAGTCCGCTCTTTTCTGCCAACCCCTCCATATCCTCCATATCCTCCCACCTTCTCTCCCACCTTTTTACTTCAATTCCATTCTCATTCATACTTATCATATCACAATGGCTGCTGCTCAAGGTTACCCTCTTCTGTGTCTGGAGAACCCTCTCCTCGGTATGTGAAGTATCATCTGGGTATGTTTATAAAATGCTAACGTGCTTACAATAGACATCCAGGCTCCTGGGTATGGATGACCCTGAAGTAAAATGATGCTAAGTTCCAGATGCTGATAATATTACTTAGTGATGCCGCTCTCCTGGAGAAGTATGATCTGAAGCCCAATGATGCTATCCTCGCTGAGGACAAGCACATGGGTATCTACGAGGACCTGATTGCCCGCGACGCCAAGTTGATCCCCGGTGGTGCCGCCCAGAACACCGCTCGTGGTGCTCAGGTATGTATTAAATGCTCTCTTGATCTCCAGTATTAATAGTATTGGTATTGACAATGTTATTAGTACATGCTCCCTGAGCAGTCCGTTGTCTACATCGGTTGTATCGGTAAGGACAAGTACGGTGACATCCTCAAGCAGACTTGCGAGGAGGCCGGTGTCCACACCGAGTACCGTATCGATGAGGCTCAGCCCACCGGTAAGTGTGGTGTTGTCATCACTGGCCACGACCGCAGCATGTGCACCCACCTTGCTGCTGCCAACGAGTACAAGATTGAGCACCTCAAGCAGCCCGAGATCTGGTCTCTGGTCGAGAAGGCCCAGGTCTACTACGTCGGTGGCTACCACCTGACTGTCTGCGTGCCCGCCATCATCGCCCTTGGTGAGGAGGCTGCCGCTAAGAACAAGGTATGTCATTTTCATTCCGATGCATTGGACCTCTTTTCTAATCTGTTTATCTTCATCAGGCCTTCATGCTCTCTATCTCTGCTCCTTTCATTGCTCAGTTCTTCAAGGACCAGCTGGACAGCGTCCTGCCCTACACCGACTACACCTTCTGTAACGAGACTGAGGCTATTGCCTACTCCGAGGGCCACCAGTGGGGCACCGAGGACATCACCGAGATCGCCAAGAAGCTCGCTCAGCTCCCCAAGAAGAACACCCAACGTCCCCGTGTTGCCATTGTCACCCAGGGCACTCTCCCCACCATTGTCGCCATCGGCTCTGCTTCCGGTACCGTCGAGGTGAAGGAGTTCAAGGTCCGCGAGATCTCCAAGGATGCCATCAACGACACCAACGGTGCTGGGTGAGTGATATTGATCTGAGCAACCCCGCATTCATTGATGCTAACCTCTGTCCCATATAGTGATGCCTTCGCCGGTGGTTTCTGCGCTGGTATCGTCTCTGGCAAGTCCCTCGATGACAGCATCGACATGGGTCAGTGGCTCGCCAGCAAGAGCATCCAGGAGCTTGGACCTTCGTGAGTTTTCCCCAAAGTAATACATTGCAAGAATACTAGCTAACAACTTTCAGCTTCCCCTCCCCCAAGCAGACCTACTCTCGCTCCTAAGCGTTTATAATGTAGGCTACGAAGAAAAGCATAGACTACCAAAACACCTTCAACACATCTCCCAACCAAATTTTGGAAGATTTCGTGCAATTCAGTTCAACAACCGGATGCGCACCACTTGACTTTGGATGATTCAACCCTCTATACCCAATTTTTTCCTTTTCTTAAACCTTGATGACTTCAACGTACTGTCTGAAAAATCGAACAAAACCATACTTTCTTGAGAATCTTGTCCTCCCATTATTTGTGGCTATTCTTGTTACGGCCACTTGATGAATGGCCATATTTGGGCGATCTACATGAAAGAGCCCATCCCGTAAACTACTATGAAAAGAAGCATGTAAAACGCAAAATTGAATTTCAACTGCCTAACCGGCACGATGCTGTCAAGAGGGTAATAGGCCCTACGCAATCTGCAGACCCATACTCATTTCAATCACCACATGTTCGTGCCGCATAATTCTTCAAACAACGAATGAAAATACGACAAGGCTAAGGTTGATGGGAATAACACGGTTCCAGGCCATGTTACATGAAAAGAAGAAAAGGCAGAAAACAAAACGAAACAAGCGTCTCCTCCAATGGCAGATTGCCCATGTTCATATTCCTCGTATTGATCATGTCGCGTGTTGAACGCACGTATCCGTCCAGACAAATTGCGAGGAAAGCGAGGACTGAAGAAGTTCCTGCATTGTGGAAAAAAACCATAAGCGTCCTCGCCACCAGAGGACTAGTGCGGGATCTGCCACTTGGGAACTGGCTAGCAGTAATACAATCTCGTCTGGTCGTTGTAAAGGTGCATACTGCCAGAGCAGGCCTGAACCTGTAGACTCAACGCAAACAAAGTCGCATCGCAGTACACAGGCGGCCACGCCCAGAGACAAACACAGTACACGCCAGGATAGTTGGAGGTCGAGTTGCACTGTTAATTCTGACAGCTTGCCCGGCTGGTAGTGTAATATGCATATGCACATAGATGAACTAAAAAATGAGAGGCTTGGATATTCGAATCAGCCTCCTTGGCCACAGGGTGGGGTTTGACCGACTGCTCCAAGCTGTGTTGCAGGCTTGCGCCCTCCAATCCCGGAGCTGTAGGGAGTTGCCCCGGCGAGGCTGCTGGCAATGAAAGCGTCATTGGCCCATGAGGGATGTCCCAGGCTGCTGGACGTCGTCTGGCTTGGGAGTTCAAATGCACCGAAGGTCGCTCGGCTATGATCCCAGCCGCTGGCGGTGGGACGAGCATGAGACACGTTGGATGACACCCACGGCGTGGGCATGGATCCTACATCCATTGAGTTTGAAAACTGGGTCTGGGCCATCAGGTGCTGTCGGAACATGAGCTCGTTTGCTAGCTGATCTTGCGACGGTGAGCGTTCCGAGGGCATGGCATTCCCAGCAGCCATGGGGTGCAGTGGAGCTCGCTGGCCAGGTTGTGGACCAAGGCCAGGGGGCGTTCGTGGAGGGGCGGTGTCTCTCAGCGGCGTCCAAATGCTGGGGAGACTGGGGATGGCAGGCCGCGGGGTATATGACTGAGCCGATGGTGCTCTGAGAGGCTCGGCTGCATTCATGAGTGGTGGACCAAGCCCAGGTGGCGGGGCGATTGGGGTGCTGAGTGGTGGGGAGTTTTCATCACGGAACGGATAAGCATTGGCATTGGGTGATACATGCGTAGGCGTCGATATCTCCCCCGAGCTCATGAAAGCAAATTGGTCATTGGGCGGGGTTTCATACGTGTCCGAGTCAACAAGTCGCTCAACGCCTTCGACGATCTGATGCATGTTGGCGGACATAGATGCTGATGCAGACTGGGAACCGCCGAACAGACTTTGGGCTTCTGCGACAGAGCACGGATTTTGAACAGCCTGAGGGATATCCTCACGCTCGATGCTCGCAGCCGAAAGTACATGCTGGCGGCCATGAGGGCTGGAATAGAATTGCGAAGGCAGATCCTCTTCCTGATAGATAAATGTCTTCTTATCTTCACTATCCACAAGAGCCACCGGGATTTTCTAAACGAGATTAGCAAGCTGCTTGTTTGCTTTGAATACCTTAAGAGATTTTCACGTACTCCCCTCACAACCAAGTCAAGTCCATCAATCACGAATTCACGAATTCGATAGAGCATTTCCATGTTGGGGTGACTTCTTTCAATTCCAAGATCGTGCATCCGGGGCTTTGACTGATCACCACCTCCAACGTATCGGCGAGAAGTGGCATCCTGATCCAGAGGTGCAAAACCAAGACTTTCTTCGTCTTCTTCCAATAGATATTCGACCTCAGGAAGGCTGACCACATCGAACGAGGATGCGAGCAGGCTCAGCGTACCGGCATACATTTTCCAGAACTCTTTGATTTGAATCGAGAGCGCCGAATCCTTTTCCTCTTTCTGCTCAACCAGAGACTGGTTATTTGCAAGTAGCCAGGAGCTGTAATGGCGAAGCGCGGGCAGGATCCGGCGAGCAACCACAGACACCTTGTCCGGGATAGGCATTGCGTCTTTGCTGTTCGGATCTTCAAAAGAAGCAGTCCGCTCTAGTTCGACCAAAAGTATTTGCAGTAAGGTGAAAAATGTCTTCACATTGATGCGTTGGAAAAATACGCGTGCTTCCAAGACAGACTCCTCTGAAAGGTGGGTAAGCAGATGCATGATCAATGATAATGTTTCGAACTCTTACCAATGGACCGGACCTTAGCAAAATCCTCGGCCGCAATATTGATGAGACAGAACTTCTGAAGTGTCCCTTCTAGTGACCGTTCTCTAATTTCCACTGCTAGTTGACTTAGAACTTCACTCTCTAACTCATCATGCTCCGGGAAGTCGGTTCCTTTGTAACATTTGGCATGGAGATAGAGAAACCACGGAGTCAAGGCCCTTCCAGGGATACCGGCATCTTCCGGTCGGATCAGCTCTCGTTTAGCCCACGCGCTCATGATTTTTCGGAGTTCAATCTCCAGATTTCCTTTTGCAGTAGGATGGGGTTCTTGGGCTGAAAGGGCTCTGTAGAGATGATAGGTAGCACGAAGATGATTTCCATCCGCGAGAGCGATAATTGCCAATTGGTTCTGAGATGCACCCGATGCAGGGTTGATCACCGACGCCAAATCATAATAACCGATGGCAGGGCCCCAGTTGCGATCTTTGCTGACGAGTTCCGATTCACGATAGCGGGAAAGGTCTCCCAGCCGGATAAGAGTCGCGTGGCATGACTGGAGAATGAGCCTGCGCAGATCATTGGAGGGCTTGATAGGAGGCTGGCCGGACAGATCTAGAAACAACCGTGGGTCAGCGTGTCTAGAAACCCGGCGCGCAGTTTGTATACCAGCCTTACTCTCAAAGTTGAACTTGCGCGCAACTCTCTCCAACTCAACGATCCCCCCAAAGCGCGATGACAAATGCTGGATGTATCCTCGGTAAAATCGCTGGCTTGATTTGATGAAATCGAGGTAATGGCGTTCGAGCTTCCGCCTCTCAACTGGCTTTTTCTTGCCGTGCTCTTCGCGAAACTAATTGACACACAAACACAGTCAGCGAATCCACACTTGCGAAAAGCTTCGGTGGGGTACTCACGCGAAGCAACTGCTTGCGAAACCGATTGTTCACTTTCAAGTGCGCATCCCAAAGGCGACTTTCCACATCGACCTCGCGGGAAGCATTGAAGTCGAGGAGGATTGCATTTTGAGAACAGGTCCGGAACCTATGTGAGAAGAGGTCAGCATTGAGTCGGCGTGCGCGCGGGGCTCGTCACTAACTCGGAGAGGAAATGTTCGAATTCATCGAATGTGCGCCGTTCTTGCGAGAAACATTGCAAAAGCTCCTTCTCAGCTTCTATCGCAGTCCTGTATCACACAACTGGTCAATGTTCACAATCCAGCCGAAATCGAGGGGAAAGCACTGACTTCCAGGCATCCGTGAACGAGGGCGCCATCAGGAAGTTAGCCCGGGGATGCCGAGCGTCAACCTCGCCGGTCAGATGGCTATGGCTTGGAATATGAGCGGCGGAGGAGCCATCAGTATGTGAAAGACATGAAAGCGCACGCTGATGGGGATGAGAGTCGAGAGTATGAAAATGCATAAATGCGGTCCTGGTCTACTATCCGCGATGATTGGTGTTGCCAAGGCGGGAGGTATCGTGTCCCGTATGCTGATTACGGGTTTATTTCATCTCATCAACACAGTACATATGTACTACCTACATAAGGTACATAGTACAGTCAACAACAAGTCAAGGGAAGGTGAAGATAAATACACCGATTGTCCAATCGAAAGTATCGAGGTTTATAGACCGTCTTTTATAGATCACCGTGCTCCACTACATTACCACCCCTCCTCATACGGAGGGTTGTAGCATCCATAGAAGAGAGTTGGTATTTTTGCCGTCCGTCGATGTTTTCAGAATAAGGTGCACATGTGGTTTAAATACTGATGTATAAATTATTTTTAAGTTTGGATTTTATTGAGCCTTTTGTACGAGTTGATATTATAGTGCTGCTACACGTACTTGCATTAAAATTTGCCCGAACCCTAACGCGAGCGACGTCTAAAGTAAGAGACCAGGAAATCTAAAGATAAATGGAAAGTAAAATTGACATTGATAAACATCCATGGATATTACTACACATACCTGCTTTGTTCAAACCCTACAGTCTGAAGCCTACAAATAGCTAGCCGCTAACCTTTGAAATCAACCGTCATCCTAAAAAATTATAAAATCACATATAAAACCTCCTTGTGTATTCTATACGGAGAAGGCGGAGAGTGCAAGAAATTAAGTCTTGCATGGTCGCTGTACTCCTCCGTACACTCGCCAAATTGACCTATCAATCATGTGCAAGGCGAATTAGACCATGTCTAAACGACTTCGAAGCCGCTCGAGATCTCCATCTCTTGATCAAGACTCAACATCAGTATCCTCAATCGCAGTGAATACTACGACTCCCCCTTCTGAGCGCAACAAGCTCATCGACAGTGGTACCAACATCCTCCCCGAGGTGATGCATTGCTCCTTACCGCCTCACCGCGAAACGCTCTCGTTCACATCCTACGAGGATTATGAGGTCCATTATCTTCAATCCCATGTCAACCGCTGTTCCGAGTGCAGCAAGAACTTCCCCACTGGTCATTTGCTCAACATACACATCGAGGAGAATCATGACCCGCTAGCTGCTGCACGGCGAGCCCGTGGAGACAAGACTGTAAGCCCTAGCCCGCATCCTATCAATTGGTTTATACGCTTTACTAAATAAAACCAAAGTACGGATGCTTCATCGAAGATTGCGAGCGAAAATGCTCAACCCCACAGAAACGACGGCTACATCTTATCGACAAGCACATGTTTCCCCGGGTATGGTTCCAGATCAAAATAGCGCCCCTACGTCACTAACACATTCTACAGAGTTACAACTTTTACATTGTCAATGATGGCATCGATACACAAACATCTATGCTGCGACCCATGAACAGCCACAGACGACGCATCTCAACGTCATCTGCTCTGGAGGGCAGGTTGCGGCGCCGAAGCTCGGCGTCTCAATCAAACCCACCGGCAACAGCTATCCCTGAAAAGAAATCACCAAATGACATGGACATTGATGAGCTGGAAAAGTCTATGTCTGCTCTGAAGTTCGTGCCTACAAGCGTCACTAGAAATCGCAACAAGGCGCCTGGCAAATAGTCTTGCCCATAGACGTTGTGCTCGTTTGGATATCAATACGCAACCCTTCATATGAGAGATGAGATAATGACCAAAATGGATATATAGAGACGAATATACTTTGTACTAGCCTTTTTTTTGCACATGCAGGGACCATCCCCATCCATGTTGTACCACTCAAACTCGAATATAAAGTCTCGAAGAAAAAAAAAAGGAACAGGCTCAAGAATGGAAAACAGAGTTACTTTTGGGATCATCACTATATGCAAGTTCTAGAAGAAACAAAAGGAGGCCCAAATGAAACAAGATAAGAAGTAGCTATTGTCCACAACAAACACCGGTAGGGTATAGACAGCACTAAGCAAGTGACGAAGTCATAATACATATAGATCAAACAAACATTGAACGCAAATAACCTTACGTCCCAGTCCCCCATATACAGTAACTCCCTGACACATCATCCAAAAAAGAAAACATAGGATCATTAGTATGGCCATTCCAAAGAGGCCATTATTTTTTTTTTCTTGGCAGAGACGTTGCATCTTTGCACCAAAATTGAGTGGATCAAGCATCCAAGCCCAATCCCCGTGCACCTGGCACACTCACATTCACTGCACCCGGAGGTTCTCTGCTCAATGGAACAAAGACCTAACCTTCCGGGTGACAGACCCCTCGAGATATTCAAATTAGAATTCCAGGAGATCCGCATATGCATCCAAGCTTGAGCCTACCAAATCAACGATCGCCCAGCTGGTATTGCCCTTGAAAGTGCGCGCCCAGACACGGACGATCGCAACACTAAGCTGCCGCACTTTATAAGGATTCGCCATGAAGTCCATATCCGGTGCACCAGGCGGATCAACAGCCATTTCGGTTTCATCCATCATGCTCTTGATCCACAGGAGCAACTTTCGCTCGTGCTCCGACAATCTCTGCTCAGACTGTGTTGTGGGAATAGCAAGTAGCCAGCGACTAAGAAGGAAAGCGCATTCCAGACTGCAGAGCGAATGCTGGATGCTCCAGAAGAACGAATGTGTCCTCGCCACAAAGTCAATTCCCAGTCGTACCGGGATTGAAAGAGCATGGGCTGAGTGAAGCAGCGCCATAATCAGCCGTGGGCTACGTGCGATAGCAGGGGACTCGGCCAAAGCTCCTGCAATTTGGGCTGGATCTTGTGTGATGAGGTGGCGGCAGGGACCCAAGTCAACATGTAAACGGATGTAGGCGAGACCCAACAGAGCTGTGGAAGTAAATGCAATTGGACCAGCCGGATTCTGGGGATCGATGCTGGACTCGGGTGTGCGCTTCCATAGAGACTTCCACGCACTCAATGAGTTGTCCAATACATTCAAATCATCAGGTCTCAAACTAGTGCCCTGCATATGAGGCGCGGAAAGACAGAGCTGTCGAGCAAAGAAAATCTGTTGGATGATGGCGTGGATGAGGATATAGTTTCCAAGGGGAGATATGGGTGCCGACGGAATTGACATGGATGATTTCAGGAAGAGTCTGGCAAAGGCCTCTTGGAAAGGCACATCTGATCCCTGCCTGATGCGATGAACGCGGCGCCATTGCGGGGCATTGCTTGCTTTCCAGAGATCGTGAGAACACGGCATGTTTAACTTCAACTCCCCATTCAAAATCAGAGGAGGAATGTTATACATGATCGAGTGGAGGTTGAAGAAACAGTACACAATAAGCTTTGTGCGTCGGTTGCCTTCTCTCCGTACCCACTCTTCCCAGCTGATAGGGTCTGACGTGGGAGGTAATTCAGACAAGCCATGTTCACGCACAAGCCTGGCCAAAGTACTCTGGAGCGAGAGAATCTCCCGCAAGAGCTCTGGGTGTCGTTCCCAGGACGCGAAGACGGTCAGCAGCAAAAATGTTCGAATCACTTCCATATGAGCATCTGAGTCATCCAGCGTGTATATTGATGCATTGAGTGGTGCGTTTGGCATTTGCTGATGATGTTGGAAAGGGCTGCTCGCTGTGTTAGAAATCATCGATGAACCACGAGAGTTAGGAAACCCAGATGGTGGGGATATATAGTTCCACGACGGCTGAGGCACTTGCTTGCTGTCTCTCCGACGAAGTCGTTCCAATAAAATAGCTTTGGCTGCATGGAAAAGGTCGATACCCCGGCTATTTTCAAACCGATAGTGTGAACCAGCAGCTGCCAGCGCTAGCGTAAGTTCAGGGGAAGTTTTAGCAACCGATAGCGTAGGGACATGTATAAACGGAAGATGTTCGTTCAATCCGTTGATATACCCGGCGAAGAACCGAGATAGTGCATGCCGCGATGGCGGAACAAATCCTTTCGGAAGAACATATGAAAACTCTTCAAGTTTCGAAATGAACGCTTGACGATCTGAATTAGAGATGTCCCATGCTGGTCGCGTACTCTCATCAGCAAGGCCGATACGATCGTCCATTTCGTGAGATTCCGGTTGCAGTGATGGCAGCCGAGATCCAAAATTCGAAAAGGATGGATGGTCTTCCGTGGGGCCCCGCGGGTCATTCATGATATCGCCGCCAAGTCGTGTTGACATCGTCTCACGGGGCGGTTTCGAATCGATCGCCATACCTGGCGGTAGCATGGGCTCCTCCACCGACGAGAAAACGCCTGAGTCCCAGTCAGACGACAGACCCACACTTTCCAAGAAAACCGTGAAATCCTGGACAGGGTCCCCAAGATCAGTGAGATCGAGAATCGAAGGCTCTACACCATAATTATCGGCAATTGCCCTCTCCTGGATATGAGGAAGTGGTTGTGATGTAGGAACGGCTGTGTGTTGTGGTTTTCTCATGGACTCTAGGCTCTCCTGTTGACCCTCCAAAGCGACATGGCTTGCGGCGTGAGATAAAAGATTTAAATCATATCCCCATGAGGGATTAAAGTGAGGTGTGTCTATAATCGATGGAGTCTGGACCTGGATTTCAGGTGGTGGAGGGGGTACTTGGGTGTGGACTGGGATGGCATCTGCAAGCTCTAACATGCGCGACTCATGATGGGCGGGTTGGATGAGGTTGGACTGAATTGGTATTTCATGGTTGTTTTCGTGACCATTCTGAGCCCGATGTTCTCGACTGGCTGCACTTTCGGCAGGGTGGACTAATCGCTCATGTCGCACTAGAAGGTCACTGCGAAAAAATTATATTGATAAGCGATTGGCATTCTATTCCGGGGATTAAGCGCAATAGGAGCGTACCTCCGAGCAAACGATTTGGAGCAAATGTCACATGAAAAGGGTTTCTCCTTCGTATCTGTTGTCCTACATTAGACGAATTCCAAGAAGCCGGGAGCAAGAGGGGGTTACTCAACGGGTGCGGAGATGGCGTTGGAGATGCTCTAAGCGAGCAAAAGATCGACTGCAATATTCACACGACAGGGACTTTCGGTGAGTAGCACCTTTCTTTTTAGATTTGGCTGATTTCTCGTCCTCCATCGTTTTTGGGGTTTTGGGGATGGAATGGGGGAGCGCAATAGAGAGGGGAAGAATTTGAGGCCGCGGGCTGTTTGAGCGGGGAAATTGGACTAAAACCCCCACAGTGAGGGGACGGTCACGTGTTGTATAGAGCTAGATGGGCTACAAGTATACAAGCACATGAAATACTTGTTTTTTTATTCTACATTATGCAAAATGGTCTGATCCCTTTACTCCATGGCCTGAAATGTGTTGGAGATAAGCCTAGTGCTTGATGCTGATGCCCAGGCCGGGTATGCATGCGCTCGGGTCTCCACTGGTGCGGAGAGCGTTATTCGATTGCAAATAATTGTCCGGTATGATAAGGTCGGCTGAAAAGTACATATGAAGCATTGGTGGGATAGATATTATGTCCATAACAACCTTGATATTGCGAAAAGACTCCAGGTAAAGGTTATAGGACTCCCGTCTAAACGCCCTATTGCTTTATTCGTACGTAGTAGAGAGAAACCACCGATGCTTCATGAGGTTTTCGCTTCCTTTTGGACTGAGTATGTATGAAGTAGTAAGTAGACAAAGGATAGGAGAAGATGGTAGTTCTTATGTTGTAGTGTTTTATAGCAGTATGAAGTACGGAGGTAGATAGAACAAATATATATACCCCGTCTACTATCCTTCTTTCTACTCCGTCGAGACAACATCGCTCTTTAATTGAGTTCAGTAGATCCCCACTAGCGATTAAATGCACCCCAACTAAATTAATAATATGTCTAAGACAAGCCTATACTTCGGTTAGGCAGTTTCACCTCATAGAGCCAGTGTTTCACTAGTGGGGGCTCGTCCACGGGTACCACTTTTTCGTTTTAGTGCTTTATCGTCGCTGGGGCTGAAATGGGATTCAAAAGATAATTCATTGTGGAACTGGTCCAATAAATATATATGTAACCGACCTGAAAGTTAAGGCGATGTCTATCTGAGACCTTCTCTAAGCTGGGAAGAACTATCATGGCCGAAAGGATGGCGGTGCCAGCTTCAGCTCTTCTATAGTGTTGATACCACTGGATATAAGGATATATGGCAAACTGCGTCTGGTTGGTGCCGATGGTCCGCTATAGGATGCTAGGAGCGTCCTGGCTTAGACAAGCCGATGAGACTCTTCAGAGAATAGCATACTAATACTCTTATGTGCGGGTAGAAAACTTGTAGCTCTTCATCCTCAGACATGAACAAAGATTTGAGAGACCTAAAAGCTGCCCAGGTGTGGACCAATATTAAGCAGCATATATTTTGGTTCCAAAGGTTCTTCCGCTATATCTTTTCAGCCGCACCCTAAAAGCGGATTAGATGACTATATTGTAGGTGAATATCGGCAAAAACAGCCTCCAGAGACCGTCAATCTATATTGTCAGGCAAGGGGGGTGGCGAGCTACATGTACAATCTACAGCTCATAACCTTATCAAAGTCCCTGTGTACAGACGTTGTATATCGTATGTATTTTTTTTCTGTAGACTTTAAGAGTATACATATACTCCGTAGATAGGCATATAGTTAGATGAACCAACTAATATATAAGTAGAGCGCCTAATTATTCAAAG